CAATTGACTGTTTGCTGGACTCAGCCGCTTCGGCAGGCAAAGTCTTACAGACCGGCAATAAGCGTGCCGGGCCGGCAAATTCTCACCTTAAAGTGTCACCGTGCCTGACCTTGTGCCAGATCCGGATTCCGCCCAGAAACAGCACATCACCATCCACTGACATTCAGAAGCTTGATCGCCACAGGCCACCGCCAGGCAACCTTGGCACGTGCTTTCGCGATTTCGCAGATTTATAATAGGACGACAATCGCAAAACAGACGGCGATAATAATAGAGAAACGCGGTCTACCTGGGGAACACTGCATAGACAAGGGAGGGACATTTGGAAGATCGAAGAACAGACGAACGACTGCCCCCGCCAAGACCCAAGATAGAAGCTCCAGCGTGCAGACGACAAGCAGTGCATCAACTTCATGGTTGACCTCGATTTCACGACTTTCTTCATTCATCACCCAACAAACGGAATAGAACATCAAACGAATACATATAACATCAACCCCATCGCTTTTCTCACTCCGGACATCCGCGTCAGTTAGACATCCTGCGACATAAGTAGACACAGCAGTCTTTCATCAACGTGCTGCCGCGCAGCCATTCCTAATCCCTTCACTTTGTCCCGGATCCAAGGCCGTGATACTCGACCGCCACCATGGAGTTCAACATCGAGTAGGATTCACTCTCAACATGATAGGTTCTTAGTGTGTAAAAACTCATATAACTGACATGAGGGTAATACAGCGACCTGCCAGTTCTGTTTCCTTACCCAAGGATATATCCAGGTATGTGAACCTACATACATGAGATACCATCACAAGTGCTGACAAACTGGCCATCATAGAACAATATGCGTACATGGTGGATCTGAAAAGTGAGCATTCAACAAATACTTCACACTCATCATCACAGGCTCACTAACCACACCCTCAGAGACCCTCGATGCAGGCGGGAACTGCGTCCTGGAAATGCCTTCGGGCACAGGCAAGACCGTCACCCTCTTATCACTCATCGTCGCCTACCAGCAATACTACCCAGAGCACCGGAAACTGATATACTGTTCACGAACAATGTCCGAAATCGAAAAGGCCCTGGTCGAGCTGAGAGCCCTCATGAAGTTCCGAGCCGAGCGGTTGGGGCGCGAAGAAGAGTTCCGGGGTCTCGGGTTGACAAGTCGAAAGAACCTGTGCCTGCACCCCTCAGTCAAGCGAGAGAAGAGTGGCACCATTGTCGACGCGAGGTGTCGTAGCTTGACGGCCGGCTTCGTCAAGGAGAAGAGGGAAAAGGGCGAGAATGTGGAGACGTGCATCTACCATGACAACCTCGATCTTCTTGAACAAGGTAACCTGATCCCGAACGGTATTTGGACACTGGATGGTCTCTTGAGGTACGGTGAGGAGAAGAAGCAGTGTCCTTATTTCACTGCCAGGAGGATGGTAGGTCATAAACAGCCCCATGATGGATTGTCACTTTACTAACAGCTTGTGTAGATGCAATACTGCAACGTCATCATCTACTCCTACCACTACCTCCTAGATCCCAAGATCGCCGAGCGCGTATCCAAGGATCTCTCCAAGGACTGCATCGTCGTCTTTGACGAGGCTCACAACATCGACAACGTCTGTATCGAGTCTCTAAGTACCGACATCACCCAAGATTCACTTATGAGGGCAACCAGGGGTGCTCAGAACTTGGAGGCCAAGATCGCCGAGATGAAGGATTCCGATCAAGAGAAACTCCAGTCCGAGTACGAAAAGCTAGTCGAAGGACTCAAAGGTCTCGATGAAGGACGACAGGAGGATGCGTTCATGGCCAATCCAACACTGCCCGATGATCTGCTCAAGGAGGCCGTCCCCGGTAATATCAGGCGAGCCGAGCACTTCGTTGCCTTCCTCAGGAGATTCATCGAGTACCTCAAGACTCGCATGAAGGTCCGCCAGGTCATCTCGGAAACGCCGCCATCCTTTCTTGCCCATCTGAAAGAATACACCTTCATCGAGAAGAAACCGCTCCGGTTCTGCGCCGAGCGTCTAACCTCGCTAGTCCGGACGCTCGAACTCACCAACATCGAAGACTACCGCCCCTTACAAGAAGTAGCCACCTTCGCAACCCTCGTCGCCACCTACGAAAAGGGCTTCCTGCTGATCCTCGAGCCTTACGAGTCTGACACGGCCAAGACGCCCAACCCAGTCCTGCACTTCACCTGCCTCGACGCCGCCATCGCCATCAAGCCCGTCTTCGACCGCTTCTCCTCCGTCATCATCACATCGGGAACCATCTCCCCGCTTGAAATGTACCCGAAAATGCTCAACTTTGAAACCGTCGTGCAAGAATCCTACGCGATGACGCTCGCCCGCCGCTCCTTCTTACCCATGATCGTCACCCGCGGCTCGGACCAGGCCTCTATCTCGACCTCCTTCCAAGTCCGCAACGAGCCCTCGGTGGTGCGCAACTACGGCAACCTGCTGACCGAATTCGCCCGCATGACCCCCGACGGCATGGTCGTCTTCTTCCCTTCCTACTTGTACATGGAATCCATCATCTCCATGTGGCAAGGCATGGGCATCCTCGACGAAGTGTGGAAGCACAAGCTCATCCTGGTCGAAACGCCCGACGCACAAGAGACCTCCCTGGCGCTTGAAACCTACCGCACAGCCTGCTGCAATGGGCGTGGCGCCGTTTTATTGTGTGTCGCGCGCGGTAAGGTGTCTGAGGGCATCGACTTCGACCACCAGTACGGCCGTACGGTGCTGTGCATCGGCGTGCCGTTCCAGTACACCGAGTCGCGCATCCTGAAAGCCCGGTTGGAGTTTCTGCGCGAGACATACCGCATCCGCGAAAACGACTTCTTGTCGTTCGACGCCATGCGCCACGCTGCGCAGTGTCTGGGCCGCGTTCTGCGCGGTAAAGACGACTACGGCGTGATGGTGTTGGCGGACAGACGGTTCATGAAAAAGCGCGCGCAGCTGCCCAAGTGGATCAACCAGGCTTTGTTGGACGCCAACACGAACCTGAGCACGGATATGGCGGTGGGTAATGCCAGGGCTTTCTTGAAGCAGATGGCGCAGCCGTTTAGTAGTAAGGATCAGGAGGGCGTGAGTATTTGGGGCATGAAGGACCTCAGGAGACATCAGGAGAAGATGGCGGAGGATCTGATTGTTGAGCTGAAGACGGCGAGGGAGGAGGAGGAGCGCGAGAGGAAGAGGAGGGAGGAGGAGGAAAGGAGACGGTTAGAGGAGGAGAGGGATCGGGTTAGTGATTATGAGATGGATGAGGATGATGAGGCGGAGATGATGGCCCTTGATGCGAGGATTGGTTAGATTTAGGGATTGGAGGTGGAGGTGGTTTTTGAGTCGGATGGACTATAGGTATGTAGATGAACTGAATGAGATTGTTATTTGTGGAATTATATGCTCGGATTGGTTGCATTATATCGGCCAGGGGCGTGTTCCAGTTGGCACATGCGTAAAATATATCGGAAACTTGTCACAGTCTCACAACCTTGATCATCAATCATTGATACCCATATACTCTCCTAAGTTAGAGGTCCAATTACAAGATATGCTAGGTAGGTATCTAACCAACACTCCACCTCTAAACCACCTATCTATCCTACTTCATCAATCCCTCACCCACTCCCTAACCCCCAAGTACTTTGGTGCCTTCCTCTTCCCCTTCCCCTTCCCCTTCCAATCATTCGGCATCCCCTCCAAGATTTCCACCTCCGGATCACCCTCTTCTTCTTCCTCTTCACCTTCCTCTTCCTCTTCCTCTGGGTCATCACTATCCTTCCTTTTCCTTTTCTCTTTCTCTTTAAACCTGCCTTCCCTTCCTCTACCTCCCGTCGTTTGAGCCATATAAGCCGCCGTATTCCCAACCGGCCTACCCCACGCATGTACCTTCATCCCCGGCCCCAACCCTTCCTCCAAGAACCTCCTCGCCGGCATAATCTTTGTCGTCCTCTCCGTCCTCTCCACAAGTAGAGTCTCCCGATACTCCTCCTTTTTTTCTGTTCTCTTTCCGTATAGGTACTTTATGTGCAAGGGGGCTCAAGTCATTGGCGGCACTAGGCCTAATACCTCTACTCTGTTGGCTACCTATAATCTTATAGTTGTTGGCGATGTCAAGATATTCTTGTCGCCTTTTGTCTGCTTGCTCTTGCGCTTTCTGTTGCATTTTTTGTTTCTCCCTCTCGATTTCCATCATTATCCTGTTATTCTTGTCGGTTAACTTGTTGTTCTCTTTCTCTATTTCCGTCATCATCGTCGTCATGTTCCTGCTGCTGTGGATGAAAGCTGGAGGCAGCAGCTTTTTCCCTCCATCATCCTCTTGTCCTCGTCCTCCTCCACCACTTGTCTCTGCATCTTCTCCTCCAGCACCCCCTACTCCTTCTGTTGTTCCTCCTTCATTTCCACCACCCGCTCCAGCCTCCCACCTCCTCTCTTTCCTCTCTTTCCTCTTCTCCTCACCCTCTTTTTCCTTTGCGCTTCTTGTCGTCTGTAGATTGCCATCACATTTCCGACATAGGTCTATGCCAACTGTCCTGGTTTCTTTGTTTGTCCACCCTTCGGGACTGGGACAAGATGGGTTGGGGGCGGAGGTGGAGTTGGGGTTGTATGACCGAAAGGCGACGTTGGCGAGGAAACATTTTGTTTCGGAGGTGCGGGTTTGGGTGATAGTTAGGCATAAAGGGCAGAGGGTGCGGGTTATGTTGTTGGTGCACATTTTTTATTGGCCTGTCTGTGAAGAAGGGCAGTTAGTAAGTTAGGTAAGGTAGTGAAATGTGATGTGTCGCTGGGGGTTTGGGTGTTAGGGTTGCGATCCGTCAAGGGTGGTGGTTATATAAGTATAGTTGGAAGGATGACTGTGATTGAGTTATTATCATCTTCTGCTACAGCTATGGAAGTTTGTTAGAAGTAGGTATGAATGACAGCGTGGTATATACAAACTACTATCGCCAAACAATTAGGTATATGACTGGTAGAGGACGGCTCCTCTCACAGTCATCATTGCTTCCTCGGAACCACCTTCAACAGCGACGCCACCCTCGACCTCTTGCTCAATCCCACTCTGTACTTGACTTTGCCTTGCGTAGACAAAAAGCTGGTTGGCTTGATGATCTCTTTCTCCTTTTTTGTGTCCTTGTCCTTGTCATTATCCTCATCTTTTTCTTTCGTAGTAGGAGGTTCAGGAGATGGAGCAGGCTTTGCACCAGGGACAGGAGTAGTTTCCTCCTCCCGGGTATCCTTGTTACTCTTTACGTTTCCGTCGTCTTCTTCTAGTTCCTTTTTCAGGTCATGATCTTGATCATCGTCTTCAGAATCTTCTACCTGAACCTTTGACTTTGAACGGCCATTCTTCTTTGCTGTAGACGCCGAAACCTCCTGCACGACCTTGTTTTTAGGTGGCCTGCCTCTTTTTCCTTTTGTTGGTGGCAGTGGTGGTGGCGGTGCCGCTGTCGCCGCTGGTCGCCCACGTTTACGTGGAGGTTCTTCCTCTTCCTCCTCCTCGTCGTCCTGGTCACTTGGTGGTATTTCTGGCTCCCCCTCTTCGACTTCCTTTTCAGGTTCTGATATCTCTTCTGGTGGATCCGAGAGGTTTCCATCACTTTCGCTGTCGTCTATGACTATGGGCGCAGACGCCTTCCGTGTTCTTGTGTTGGTGTTGTCGGTGCCACGCCTTCTCCTGCCTGTGGTTGGTGCAGGTGAGGTTAGCTCATCTCCCTCATCAGGTTCGGGTGCTGGAGTCGGTTGTTTGGGTGCTTTTTGGGTGGCGGCAACATCGGACTTTCGTGAACGGCCACGCCTTCTTTTTGGTGGTGGCTGTTCAGGCTCCGTGGGCTCTAGAACCTCTTCTGGTTGTTGATACTCGGTAGCTTCAAAGCTATTGTCCAGAATAGTATCTTCTTCGGTAACCGTCTGGACACGTTCTTTCTTCTTTCGCCCTCTCTTCTTCGGAACGGTATTGCTGAGCGTAGCAGGCTCAACAGGTTTCTCGGCAGTTTGTTCATTCAGCGATTTATCATTGCCTAGAATTGTCGACGGATGATTGTCCGTTGCATCAGGGACGTGATCAGCATTATCCTCCGCACTCATCTCCCGAATTTCTGCCAGCCGACTACTCCCTAACGACTCAGTCACATCTTCTCCAAGGACCTGAGTAGCCTTCCTCTTTTCCCCACTTGTGCGAATCCCAGGCGACCCTCCACCAATAATATCTGGGGAAGATGCCGGAAAAGCTGTTCTAACTCTCGCCGGAGTCCCCATCTCTAGGCTGCCCAATCCCAAACCCGACGTCAGAGTCATCACAGCTGCCGCTGCAGCGTCCAGCGGATTCCCAGCACGATCGCGTAGCATCTCACTCAAGTTAGAGGGCACAATAGTAGTCATGCCACTCGACTTGTACACGGTTCCGGCCCCGGCATATAACAGTCCGTCTCCAAGCATTTGTGGTGGATACGGATCTGATGGCGGTACAGCAGGTAACGAAGACCTTGGAGAGATGTTTTCTTGTGTAGCCAGATTGTCCTGTGTAGCCAGGATTTCTTGTGTTCCCTGAGTGGACAAGCTGACTATCCTGTATTCCTCTTTCTGGCTAGCCGTAAGGGTACTCGGAGCAATGTATAAGCGCTGGGTCGCGGTGGCATTGGTAGACAAGCTGCTTGTCGAGGCATTCTCTTCGCTTGATATTGGTTTTTGGTAGCTACGGAGCTGGACGACGGAAGAAGGCGCATGTTCGGACGGGGGTAGTGGGATGAAGCTGATGTCATCGTGATCGGGTGTCGCATCGGGTTGCGCCACGGGGAGACTGTTGGTCGAGGCTTGCGGCGCGCGTTTCGTCGTCTTTGTCTTCTTCTTGGGTATTGAAGGGACTGTATAGTCATCGTCTTCATCGTCGGGGAAGTCGTAGGGGTCTATTCGGACGATCGATGGTTGTGATATCTCTTCCTTCTCTTCAGGACTCGTTTTGGTATTGGCTTGTGTTCGCTTGCCGATTTGTAATGCGCCGCTTTCGCCTTCACCAGTCTTCCCTTTCCCGTCGCCACTTTTCCTAGGAGTAGTGACCTGGGTAAGCTCGGTCAGATCGATGACGTTCTCGCCAATCTTTCGCTTCAGCGGTCGACGGCTGGCGGGTACTGGGTCGGTAATCGAGGAGGATTGGTCGCTCTTATGCGTTGGTGGCTGGAGCCCTTGTGTTGTGATGTTGGTGCCTATGTAGGTTCCTGCGATTATGACCGCTCTTTGTTCGTCATAGACGCGCTGGAAGAAGGATAGGTCCGTCGAGACGTTGCTACCATCATGGTGACTGTGATTCCCTTCCTGAGCTTCGTTGTCTTGCACGGGCGCGGGTGCGGGCGCGTCTTGGATATCGTCAATGGCGTCGTCGATGGGGTCGTCGATGTGGTCGAAGTCGCTTTCCTCGTCATCCGAAGCGGCAATCTCCCTCAGCGAAGCCATTTCAGGTCGGTAGTCTATTGGAGATATGATAAAGCAAATGGATAATGTAGCTGTCGATGTTGTTCCAGAGCGGGGCGGCGACTTCGTGGTTGCCAGGCGAGACGCGTCTTTGGGCCGAAGCAATTAAACATTGGAACGCGCGGTCACGATGCCAAGACCGGGAGACCTCCCACCTAAGTGGCTTGAGCTCCTCAAACAACCCTAACCCGTATCCTAAAGCATACGGTGGACATAGTAAGCCCAGCAATACGATACAGGTCAAGGACCGGAGAGGTTGCTCCTATGTAGCACATTAGTCCATTTGGATAGGGTAGTCCGTAGACGTGCTGAATTCTTGCGGTTTGAACATCGTTGAAAAATATTGTTAATCGGGTGCTCGCATTTAATTCCCCATTCATTTTGCCTGACAGCTGCAGTGATGGCGTGCATGTTTAACATGTGCGTGTCCGCCATACTGTATGCGGCTTTGCCGAAGCGGTAGCAGAGCCTGATATATGGATGCCCAAAAGGTACTCGCATGCAGAAGTTGAAAACTTTCTGTTCCACATCAAGAAGTTGCCGGGAATGGCTCACGGAGGTTTCATGTATATGTAGAGGAGTTATCCGTGAAGTCTCAACTCAAACTAAATCGATGAGTGTGGAGTGATGTTCAGGTAGTACAATGTGAAGTTTACCAAGCAATGGGAGGGTATAACTTCGTTATATGGTGGCAACTGTCGGAACTGAGAGACTCTTGCCAGACAACGGAATGATAGTGTCGTCTGCCGACTTATAGTCTATTAGCCGTTGCCGTAGTGGAAAGAAGCTCCAGGTGAGGATATCAAGTCGTGAAAAGGCAAGCAACGTGGTCGGATTTGCCACGGTGAGCAGGTAGTCGTTCTATCCCAACGGCATGTGAGCTCTTGATATCATCGCATGCCTCCAACGGGAGAGTTGAAGACGCCATCATGATAAATTCAGGAACACCAATTTACTGCTCAGTCATGACCTGGATTTCTCTTTGCCGTGTGTTGAAAGATGAGTCGACCGCACGTGTAGAATGTGACCCGACGTGACCCGACGTGACCCGACGTGACCCGACCAGCACTTCAGGTCGTCTTCCCACCACGCGAATGTGGTGAAACCCATCGGTGAGCTTTAAGGTCGGCAGGGGAGGGGTGATGGGTATGATAGACACAAAGGAGGAGGAGGGGAAAGAGGGAGCCAAAGATTATGCTGTGTAACACATAGGCTTCTGGAAGGCAAGCATCAAGCCGCCATCACTTGTGTCGCTTGTATGCTGTGTAATGAAGGGATAGTGTGTCCGGAATAGTGCATATTGCTCGTCTATGATACGATTCCTTGACAACTGCAAGTCCATTGTACTGTGTGCATGCGAGCGGGAAATGAATGGTGTCTGTGGCAGGAAATGGCGACGGCTGATTCCAAGGTTTTGGTGGTGTTCTAGTGCATGATCGTTGGATGTGATGAGATCCAGCACATCATGTGTGAAAAGACGTTTGATGGGCTTCGATGGCGTCGTCATGCCATGATATCTTGCCGAGTGTGCCCAGGCCGGTCTCAGCCTGGTTCCTGGTTTCCGGGGGTAGTGATTCTGGTCCCGGCGATTGCGACGACAGCGAAGATGAATATGGAGATGGAGGAAGGAGAAGTTGCCAAATCGAGGTGATGAACTGGACAGTGGAAACAGAAAGGGGACTTAACAATTTACTCAAGTCGGCACCTGTGCCTGGCTTATCCCGATCTGGCTTAGAATGGAAGTAACGGTCTATCATGAACCAATGAGAATGGCATACATGAGCGGAGACCCGGAATGAGCCCCGCTAAACCTCGGCGGGGAAGGGCCACTCTTGTCACTATCAGTCACGGTGTCAATAGACTTCAGTTCCGTCTTCCACTTCAATCTTTCAACTTCTCTTCCTTGGATTGAAACATGAGCTTTCCTCCTTCTACAATCTCCATCTCCCACACATCCTGCCGCCGACCAACAACATGCGACTGACACATTCCAAATTCCCCCATTGGTCCCGACATTTCAGCCTCAAGACGAATGGGGTGTATGAGAAATCATTTCCATGGCCATCTCGTCCCGTTACGGCCCGCATGGACGCAGCATGTTGACAAGTCGTTGATATTTTTCTACTTGTTGTACAACATCGCGTACTGCGTGATTGTCTCCCGGCCCGTCTCACTCACATCCTCAATCACGTCCATCATGCGTCAGCACTACGTTCTTTCAACGTTGGGATGGTTGGCGAGGGGATGCTTGAGGACTGTGGTTGGTTTTCGGCCGCCACCATTCAGCATCGTCTATCGATGTATCGCGCCACGGATCACTTTGAAAAGCAGCCCATCAAGCTGCCACGGTGGGGGTTGCGATGTGACGCTTTCATGTCACTGTTTCATTGTTATATCCAAACACCTCAGTGGGTGATGATGATGCTCTCTACCTCTATCTTTCATGTCATGGCATCATCCTCGATTCATTCACCACCAACGACTGATCAGACACCGGTCGTATTCCTGTCCGGCTTCGTTGGCTATCACCAAAAATATCTTTATTTTGTCTTCTTTTCTTCTGATATGGTCCCTCTGACTGCCTCTCAACGCTCTTCAGCCGAATCTTTGTTTTATCAGCATATGGCATTGGCCAAGGTCGGCACCAATGGCCACGATCAAACAGGCTAGCATGGGGTGTCAGCTATAGCCCCTTGCAATTAATGGACTTCTCTCTGGACCCAGAATTCCCGTCTTGAGGTTCTGGAAACTGCATACGTCTTCTTTCTCTTGGCTAGCTTCACTCTACTTGTCCATATTTCCACTTCATATCCCGTCCACAGTATCATAATGCACCGTCATATAGGTCGCCAGTCACGGCCAATTCTGCCCCTGCTCGCCCTTCAACGTCTGATTCCACTCACTGGTGATCCAGTGTGCAAGCAGCCAGCCTTCCACTTACTTTCGTTTCCCGTTTCTCCCGCATGAGATCACGGCCTTCCTTCATTGCCGACCCCGGCTTAGACTGACACCAGATAAAGCTCCGTACCCATGACCCAGGGCAGAGTCGTGAGACGGCAGACAGAGGCTAACCGGCCATACTCACCCAAGCGCGGAACATGACCATGGCTCCATATCCATCACTTTAATGATACCGAGACCTGTCAAGGGAATAGGCATTTCCTTTGACAGCAAACAGCCCCGTGTCGAGGCTCGACCTCGCTATCCTTGCTATGCCTCGTAAGGGTTGGACACCCGTCGGCGCGTCGCTGAGGGCCCTTGTTCATCTCGACATATGGCATGGTCCGATATCTCATGTACATACGTAGCGACCGTTGTTCCTGGGTTGCCGATCAGGTATATATAAGAGTCCTGACTGTCTTGTCGTTTCTTTTTCTTCTCCAGAGTATCATCACACACACCACGGCTTACTTGACATATCTTAACTTGTCATCCCTCAAGCATCCTCCTGCGGACTCATACCCTTCTTTAATCCTACCACAGCACTAGCCAAAATGAGCGGCGGCGGACAACCAGGCGGTGGTTTCTACAAGTATCGGTGCAAGCACTTTTACACCTACGAATGCATGAATTGGGTCTGGGTCAACCACGCTGCTTGTGCAACCTGCCTGGTAAGACCAAGCATTTTCCCTGTAGAGTATCACATGTGCTAACTCACTGGCAGGCCATGGGAAGGGGAGAAGAATCAGACGTCGCTCTATCGGCAACACGCTTCGAGATACGCGTACCTCGGGCTCTAGATGGCATGCTGTCCTACGAATCAGCATGGGTTGCCCCTCCCGTCTTTACTGGATTCGAACCAACATTCAAGACCAGAAATGCACCTATGAGCGGCAACAACAGCTCCACCACGAGTCTGGGTGATTTTACCCCGGCATTCAGAGGGTCTCCTCCGGAGGTGTTTCCTACCACTATGACGACGACTGACACGCCTCAACCTGTCATGACCACAACAGGCGTGTACCGAATGGGTTAAATAGGGAGGGGAGGCATGAGTAAACATATCCACGGAAACCCCGCTTTTCAGACTGCCTTTAAGCGCGAAATTCGACACGGGAAGACATTGGCTTGGGAATTCCTTCAAAGGGGGAAAAAGAAAGGACTTGGATACCGGCGTGACTTCAGGCGCCATGAGATTGCTGTTTTGATACCCCCCATACATACGGAGCTTCAAAGGGCACTGGGTTTCTTCTTGATTGCATTTCTCTTTTAGCAGCAGCAGCACCGCACACGGAATCATCATTTCAGTTAAAGTGTGTTACTATTCTGTGAATTCATAACTTGCTCACCGAATCGTGCCACCAATGCAGAAAGAGTTCCAACGGCCCATTGATCGACCACGCAGTTCAACCCACCTATCCACTATCCTTCTCACCTTATAGCTCTGACCACCTAAGACCAAACAATACCACCTAGCTGTTACGACTCACCTTAAAAAGATGCCAGCGCATAAAAATCGACAAGGAACGGCTTCACCGGCAAGCAGGACCGGCGTCTAGAATACCACCCACACTGCTGAAATCCACGTTCCACCGCAATCCACTTCCACATGTTCGTTAACCGCACAAACCGTTATGTACCGGTAAATATGCCACCCCTGCTTGTTGTTCCTCGATGGCCGATGGTCGATTACCGAATCAAAATGTGTCAATGCAACGGTATTGCCCGCATTGACAGATACGATGCAGTGTGCATGTTTTAGCTCACAAGCGAGTTCGCTTCTGATCCTTCCTCAAGGAACTCGTCTAATATTTTTTTTATCGTCCCTTGCCTTATCTTCACATGTCTTTTAACCATACCCATGCCTACGCTCATGCTCCACCACAAGAAGCCCATTATTTATCATAGACATGATACACGGACACTGCATTCGGGGAAGGTCACCTTGCTGGAAGGTTGCCACGGACTACTGACTAGGTAGGTCCCTCTACGTAGATGCAAGTACCTTCCTACCTGGAGAATCACAATTGACGGAAGGTCAAAGGTAAAAAGATTTAGCCATCGCTGGTTGACACTTACCTAGCTAACAGTTGAAGATCCATGCGGGCCCGGAGTGGGGTGACGGATTAGTAAACTGTTCCGTATACAGGTGTAGGTGGAAGGAACGAGCCACCTAGGGGTACATAGAGGTATGTCCAGGGGTCGGGAAGGAACAACCAATGAGAAACGATCGAGAGACCACCCGGCAGGAACAATCGAGAAACAACGGGAAAGAACAATTGAGAAGGTCAGTGAAGGAATGAAAGACGTTAGTTGGGTCATTCGATACTTACAAGCTGGAACCTATGAAAAATCCAACGGCCAAGATCGGCAGTCAGTACCTAACACAAACAAAGTTACACTTCAAACTTGCTGAGAACACAGTGCGTACCAAATATTCCAAAATACATCAACTTATACAGCTAAGTAACTGCAAGTTGACGTGTCTCATGAGTCCTCCCGTCCTGGCTCCTCCCTTCATTTTAACTTCTTCCCGTACGTAATCGTGGTTGACTACCTCTACGATGAAGCCACGCAATTCTGGTGGGCACAGAAGACTGAGGGATACCTAGAGCTTGAAGTAAAAGAAAAAAGAAAGCCTGCAGCAATGCCCTGGTTGAAGGGAGAGGGACATTGCAGGAAAAGATTCCCAGTAATCCGTCCCGGTCCCTAACTCCCCATTGCGCGTTCTAAGTTTCGTTTCGGGGCCGTCCCGTCCCGTCTTCCTGTGCCGTCGCCGTGCCGATTATTCCTTCCACATATTTTCTTGTGTTTTGTGAACAAAACTAACCACCTACAGGCTCCCTAGTGTCCAGGTAGGTAGGTGACTACGTCGTAAACTCTAGGAAGCAGAAATAACTAAAGGTAAGTAGGTATTGAGTAATGAACAGTGGGAGTGACACTGCACCAAATCTGTTGTTGCCCGGTTCTGCCACAGAGTACACAAGCATTTTGTACAGTCGGAATCGATCAACAATATCTTCTCTTCCCCTTCCTCCGTCTTCGTTGTGTTTGCTGCGGCTCTGCAAAGGGACGGAATGGAAGATGGGAATCCCGAAGCACCCGTCCCAAGCTGAGTTGTGAGTTGTTCCATCACAGCCCAGTTGCGAGAGAACGATGTGCAACATGAAACAGTGTTTTCGGAGACTTTCCCCTCGACAATCTTGCTTGTTGTACAGTACTAGATGGGTCTATGACTTCACATGGAAAGCACTGTTGACAAACAATGCCAACCTAAGGATTTTCTATAGATACGAGACATTGTCTGTCTCAGAGAAGCTTTTAACAACTCTAAATGATAGTAATCACGAGCACGATGTTGATCTGAACTCAAGTTGTCCCATTGACAGTACCGGTCGACAATAATATATACTCGTCTGTCTAGCCCAGACGAGTAGTGTAAAACCTTCCCTCGAAAAGCAAGCTAAGTTGAACAAGTCACCTCGCCTCATCCAAATTCCTACGTAGAAAAAGCCCAACGGGTATCACCGATCAAGCCTCAGTATGTTAAATGGCCAAACACGCCGGTATGCTCAACGCTATGTCACATCTTTCAATGACGGTGGTTCCTTCGTGCTCATCATCTCACGGGGTATCCGTCGCATGTAATCGCATAAACACCACTGTAGATGAACGGCACTTTTGAAACGAAACTAAAGATGATCCCAGACCGTGCGGCGTCCGGCATTCGTGCCTGAAAACCGTTGGAACTATGTAACACTGTTTGAAGCACTAAAGCTTAGCGTTGTTTGCTTAAAATAGAGTGCGAAGTGGAACAATGCTGGACGGAGGAAGCTAAACTGAATGGGAAAGGGGAACGATTTTCGATATCGGTATTTTCCGATGTTAGTTTAGTCTCTCGGAAGTTTGGAAGGAAACGAGAGACGGCCCGAGAGATTCCACTTCGTGTCGCCACTCAGTGCCAGGTCCATCAGGTGAGGATTAACTTGAGGATAGTTTCGCCTGGATAATTCGCTGTTTCATAGCTCAGTTCACTGGCCCGACGTCAACGGAGTTGGGTGGGTTAGTGGCTGCTAGTGCGGTGTGAACACGAGGCACGGAAGCTTCCATGCGCATCAGTAGCTTCACCTTTCAAACCGCGTCATCAAAGCGGCATATCAAACCGTAAACAAGACGGCTCGATCGATGAGCCCAGTTCGTGAACCTGACCCTGTCCTGCCATGGCAAAGCTGAAGACCCCCGGTAACCCCCACCAAACATCCCTACAAGGATGTAACGGCATGGTGTTTTCCCTCCTTTCCTAATGGGACCGTTAGGTGAAACATCGAACGATATAATCTCCTGGTTCCGTCTCCGATGAACAATCACGGAGGCTTCGGGAGCAAGTGCAAGGCGGCATTGTAGGAATGATGTGATGATGCCAACCGGCACCGAGATAGGTACCCAAGTTGCTCCCTAGTTTGCAAGCAAGCAAGCAAGCAAGCAAGCAAGGCTACCACGCTACGCCACATCGGTAATGGGAACCCCTTACCTACCCACTAGATCGACACTTACAGCCGTTATATCTGAGATCCCGGAGGATATCGAAACGTCCGGCATTCCTTTCAAACACCGGCGGAGAACCCGCATACCATCACAACTCGATATCACACGGTGTCGCACAGACATTCGCTGATGATCACGGTACGGATGAGATGATAGGGCCTTACCAGTTTAGCGATGTCGATTCGGCGCCGGTTAATGCCGCTGCTAAGTTGAGTTTGAAATACCTACTTCAAAGTCAGTATCGGACCACGTGAATGGCAACCGAAAACCGGAGCTTGGAAGTGGAGGGGGGAGACTTATCCTCAAAAAGTGCAGAGGGGTTGTTCCTCCCGCCATCTTTCAGGAACGAGGAACAACCGGGGACCACCTTCCAGGAAGCCAGTCCCCTATCCTAAAGGGCCAGAACTCCAAACAACAAAGCTAGCCTCCGCAAGGACGCAGATTCGGCCAGAAGCGAAGACCAAGAAAGAGAGGATCCGAAGGCCAGACAAGTACGAAACTTTGACTCCAACTCGAGATGGGTCCCGACTTTTGGTTCTCTTCCCCAGAGTCCACAACCACCATCCTCTGAAAATCCAGGGGCTGCAAAAGCATTGGTTCTCAACGAGTGTGGCCCAAAGACACGCTTCTTCCCCCGAACGGACACGGACACCAACACGGACGCGGACACCCCCAGAATGGACACTCCCACAGGACACTAAACACCCAACCACCACTCTCACAGTCCAAACCAGCAAGCCATGGCGGACCTGCTCAATCCCCCAAAAGAAACCGCACCGTCATTAACACAGCAGTCGTCAAGTGTCGGCAGCCAAATCGATAGCCGGATCGTCGAGATAGCCGTCCCACGAGTCTTTCCGTGTGTAGAGCACGGCCAACTGAGACTAGCTTTTGTATCCTCTCCGCACTCTCGTACCAACCGAGAAAGTGTGAAGGAGGGCATTTCCGCACGGACAAAATGCGTCCTCAAAAACCGTGCTATCATCTTTCTCCCGAAAGTGAACTTTTCAGCGCACTCCAGTCGAAAGGAAAGTGTCTGCCAAAGAGCTCCTCTCCTTTCGGATCAAAGATTTGAAACAAACGTGGTTCTGGCGTCCAATTCGCGACGTAGGACAAAGCCATACGTGTAAATCGGTTGATGCGCCTGGCCGGGGATCTCAATGACACAACAGCCAATGACACGTTGACGGTATGTTGCCGAACGCGGTTCCACAGAGTCAGTGGAGGTTATCCGGGAGAAAAGCGTACAAGTGGGTATCCGCTCCTGCGCATGCGATACAAGAGAGATCTGAGGGTGCAGAGAGCGCGACAGACAGGCGTGAAAAGAATCCTTCCCAACATTTCCGTTTGTAGTCGTACAGCCCCAGCTCACCACACAAGTGCAGTGATTCAGGCGAGGCAAGCTGAAGACGCGAAAGATGAAATGAGGGATGTGATCGTATGTAGCCGTATCTTCGCTCTCCCCTCGTCACTCCACAGAGCATGCGTCGCGAAACGTAAAGCTCCAAGAGTCAGAGCCAGAAAGAACTTCCGGATGACAGGCATGGCAGGGCACCCAAAATGTATCCTTCCCCAACGCGGTGTACCTAGCCACGGGACATCTGCAAAGCAATCCGCTATGGTGACCAGAGTACTGCGTCCAGTGATCCAGTCCTGACGAGCGACCTCAGGCCAGAGGTTCTCACCAGCTTTTGACTCATGGGACCAGACACCTCGCCCATCAGGCGCACCGAAGTGCAACCAAGATGACTGGAACTTCTCTCCTTGCCGGTCAGTCCTTGCCATCAAGCAGAATACCAAGAATCTAGAGGACGCAACTTTTCAGCGGCGCCATAGACCCCGAAAGTAAACACCACGATAACGCGGACGTAGAAGGCGAAGGGTCGATTTGACTGCCGAAGCGCGCAAGACTTGTAATGTGTAACCAGCGTATACGTAGGGTTAAGTTCCGAGACCAATTCACTCTGGGCGCCGGCAAGGGTAGGATAAATCCCGAAATCCGCAGTAATCCCATGCGCGGCAAAGCTTGAGAAGGCTCCTGATGCAGGACTCGAAGCTGCGACGTACTGCGGAAGAACCGGACATCCGAGCGGCCACGAAGGACATTCCTTTACGGGAAAACCGGAATCGGAGAACTGTAGGGGAGGCGTCGTGCTCAGAGAGAGGGTTGAAAGACTCGATGGGAATGGCTGTCGTCGTCGTTCGGGCCAGCGCGTTTTGGCTGTGTATCTCGACAGGATCGAGTTCTGACTGTATTTCGCGTGGGTTTCCAAGGATCGAAACAGAGACCGACTTGAGGCTGGGCCCATTCGGGCATTGCGAGGATCAATATGGTTGGGCGTTGGAGGTCGAAGGTATTGTCTTTGTTGGTGAAAGAGATAAAAGGAGAAAGGAGGGGAACGTTAGAAGACGCGTTGGAACTGTGAGATACGACTGGCAACACTGTGCACATACCTCAGTGTGCACCGTGCGCCAATGAGGTAAGGATGGCCCACTGTGAGCGCCTCGACTTTGGCAGGTCCAGGTTTGTACACAGGCGCGAGGTCACGGGTGCTGTCCACTGTACATCTAGCGGATGGCAGTCACCTCCAGCCACTGACAATTGGCTAATCTTCTTTCACCTTCCACGCCTCGCCACGGCAACGAGATCTTGAACTCATTCATGTTGTCAGACAGATTAACATATCATATTCACTGTGGGATGAACGATTCCATGACCTTGAACTCCTAGATAGTTAGTCTGTCACTTATCAATACCACGAATTCACAAGACGCGCACTCGCGATTCAAGTGCTGATTAATCAACGTCATCGACTCGAAAAAGTATCAGCACCCGGGTTCATCCTCATCTATCACCGCGTAAAGAAGGATTGCGTTCGCTTCTTCTCAGTGTAACCAGCAAGGCGTCACGATGGTGGACCCCAATATGGACCCCAGCCCCGAAGAGCTCGAGACTCTCAAGCAGGCCATGGGGGGCGGCGACAAGAAGAAGACGGAAAAGACAGCGCGTCAAAAGTTGATGGAGCAGATCATGGATCTTGGTGGGAAAGCATTCAACCCAGACTCAAAGGGTGACTCGCAAGCGCGGGCCCAAGCTGTTAGGGATTTTGAGGCACTCATTGAAAGGCAAGCCTCCTCATCTTTTTGTTGTCTTAGGGTGTCTGACGGCTCGGTCTGACCTGTGACCACCTCTACAGGACCAAGACATTATCACTGCTGGCCTCCCTGAACATCCTCATCAGGCCCGGCCACACCCCCGACTGGTTGCGCCTTAAGCTCAGGGAATACCTGACGGTGATACCTCTCCGCGAGGAAGGCGTTAGGGCCTGTCTGGAATTCGCCTTTGCCGTTCATCCTTCCAGCACCGTCAAGCTGTCCGAGGCCGCTGTACCACAGAAGAGAGGAGCCAACATCACTCACGAGGCCCTTGTGTTGGCCAGTAATCTGTTGTCGGTACCGCCTTCTACCGTAACTCCGGATGAGTGGTACTCGGGTATCGCACCGCAGTTGTTTGCGCTGCTTGATGGCGGAGAGGGCCCCGAGCTCAAGAAGGTTGTTGCCTATGTTATTGGATTCGGAATTCTGGGCCGCAAGGCCTCTGGTGCTCCAGGTATGCTTCCTGATTGTAAACGAAGGAAACGTTCCTGCGGCAGAATGTTAACTCTTGTCAAGGCACCGCCGGCTGGAAATACCTTGCGGAGCCCCTGCTACACCACATCAAGCCACCTCCAGGCGGATTACCCAAGACAGAGACTGGCGATGGTGACGACGAAATCATTGACCTAAGTAAGGACAAGGTCCTGGTTAAGCAGAAGGACCTAGTAACGGCACTGCAGAGGATACACACACTGCTAGTTTCACACCCGAACCCTGGCCTGTGCAAGCGGCTGCTCTCTCCTTTACTGCTGCCGCTGTGGGCGCTTACCACCTGGCCAAACTCAGAAAAGCCGTTGAGCGAAAAGATCACGGAACCTGCTTCGGCACTTCTCAGGATCTTTCTCAAGCTTTCGCCTTCTGCTCTTGTTCTGTTAGCGCTAGTCCACAATTTGGGCTACGTTGGTGGCTTTGACAAGAAGCCCGAATGGGTGTACAAGCAGACGGAACAAGGAGAGATCGAAATCGTTGATACCAACCGCCCTCTGCATAAGGCAGGCGAACAATACATCGGCCTCTCACTTACAGAAATCGACCAAAAGATTCCCAAACTGCTGGAGTTGGTCGACTCGACCTTTTCCGAAGCCGATGTCTCCTCAGTATTCCTCGATCTCTTCGGGCGCTGGCTCAAGTCAACCCGAGGCCAGAAAAAGAGCGGAATTCAAATCATCAAAGAGGAAGAGGAGGAGAAAGACCCAATAGCTCAGTTCACCGAAGTCAAGCTCCTCCTAGCCATGATGGAAAAGTTCCCTGAGAAACTCGCCGGACAACCCAAACACATCCTCGAGCTAGTCAGCCAGGTGCTCTCCGAAGCCACCAAAGAAACCACCTCCGAAGAAGCTGGAGAGGACGAAGTAATCAGAGTAGCCCTCAGTCTGCTCAACATGGTCGTCACCGTCCCCGGTTTCCAAAAGAAGCGCGTCGACCCTGACGTTCTTCGTACCATTGAATCCTCCCTCGAAGCCCTCTCCAAGACCGGCGATAACGACAACGCCAAAACAGCTTCCAACCTGACGCTCCTCCTTCGCTACCGCGACGAAATTGACGCTCTCGAAGCCGAAGCCGGCGAATCCACCACCACACCCGGTGGTCCCGAAGACCGCCAAGTCGAAGACCGCAAAACCTACTCCCTCGCAATCTCCTACATCACCACGCCCGACTCCCCGCCCCCCGTCCGGTCGGAAGGTCTCAGCCTCATCTCCGGCCTCATAACCTCGCACTCTCCCATCCTCGACATCCCCGGCATCTTAGTCCTCCTCTCCACTTTGATTACCGAACCCAACTCTTCCGAAGAAGATTACATCCACCTCCGCTGCATCAAGCTCTACACCCAACTCTCTTCTCAGCACCCCCGCGCGGTGCTTACAGACTTAATAGACCGCTACCTCGACCCATCCGAACGCGCGCTATCAACAATCGACGCCCGTCTCCGTTTCGGCGAAGCCCTAATGCAAGTCATCGACCGCCTCGGCGAGACCTTCACGGGCGACTTGTCGAAAATGACCTGCGAAGCTTTGATTAGTCTCGCCTCGCGCAGGGGTCACAGACCCAAGACTATGGCTCGCCAAGCGCGCGAAGCCAAAGCCCGCGAGCAGAAACATAAAGAAGCGGAAGACGCGTGGGACGGTAGCGTGCCGGATATTTCTGACCCTATTAGTCCCGAGGAGCAAGCGAGGTTGGATATCCTTGAGGCTATTGTTGATGGCTGGTCCGCTGGCACTTCCAAAACAGGCGAAGAGGATGTGCGGGTTCGCGCCTCGGCTTTATCCATTCTGGCGAACTGCATTGAAACGAACATTGTTGGTGTGGGCGCGGTGTTGGCCATGGCGAGCGTGGATTTGTGTGTCAATGTTGTGCAGGTTGAGAGGCAGATCGAGAAGGGGATTCTGAGGAGGGCGGCGGTGAGGTTGATTATGAGCTTTATTAAGGCGCTGGATGAGGCGAAGACGGAAGGAAAGGTGCTGGGGATTGCGTTTGGGAGTGAGACGCAGGAGCAGATGAGGACCATTTTGGGGTATGTGGAGCAGACGGATGAGGATGGGCTGGTGAGGGAGTATTGTCGGGATGTGTTGGAGAGCTTGGAGAATTGGAAGATGGGGAGTTTGGTGGATGACGTTAGCTTGAGGCAGGCGAGAGGAGGTGGGTTTGGTGGTGGGGGTGGGTTGACGAAGTTGGCTGGGTTGGTTGTTGATCCGGAGAGGTCGACTTCTCGTGGTGGTGGTAGCGGTGGTGAGAGCGGTGGAAGTAGTGGTGGTGTTGAGATGTTTGGTGGTAGACCTAGGATTGAGGAGATTGAGTAGAAGATGCTCTGCTAGCCTAAATCGTAAAAGTCACAATCGTTTTCTGTCAAAATTTGAACAGTGTTCTCCATTCGGTTTCCACAGATTGACGACGGTATCGACACTTTTTGAGCTGTATATCGTTTCTCTATTGTCATTTCAGCACAGAGCCGCGTCAACCACAGGGCGTTTCCTGGGTACATGTCTTATTCTCAGGTGTGTCAGACTCAAGCTAGGTCATGAAGGCTCGGTCAACGTGGTGGCATGGACATGAAGATTAAATCCAAGTAATGACCAATGACCAGTCCTTTTTAACAGCATCTGGCAACATCGCGAATTCTGGTAATAACTAACCCAACAGTAGGCAATGCTTCAGGTAACCTGCCTTAACATAGGCCAAATTAGATAGAGATGATGAGGATGAAGATGATAATGCATGCAAAAATGGTATAAAATTCAATTTCTTTTCCCAGAATCCATTTGCCAAAAACTCCTCTGCCTTTTTTCCAGGTACCGCCTTGGATTACTTCCCTTTTACACTGGTGGCACCAGCAGTGCCGCCTCCTTCTTCGTCTTCTTTCTTCCCTTCCTCCATCTCTTCTTGCTCTTCTTCATATTCTCCTTCTTCTCCAAGTTCTCATCCTTGGCCTCAACCACCACACCAACAAGGTCGATGAACTCCGTCACGTTCATGGGCGTGAGACTCGGCTTATCTTTCTTGGTGTCTTTCTCTTCAGAACCGCCACTCACTGTAGTAGCAGCAACAGCAGAAGAAGATGGGGAAGAAGACTTCTTCTTTCTTTTCCTATCTCTTGAACGCCACTAACGAGCGCTGCCGCTGCCCTTGATGGCTTGCCTCCGCTTGACCTTGTCGGTGATACGAGTCAGCGCCGACTTTATCTCGCCCTTCTCAAAGGTATCGAGGTCATAGTAGACGGGGGCAATTTCCTGATTATGTTTGTTAGCAAGAGTCGATTCCGAGTTAAATCAGAAAAAGATGGGGATACATACAAGAAGCCACTCAGGACGAATGTTGGTCACCGTCCTGACGTACTGCTTGGTGGTGAGCACGAACTCATTGTAAACGACCCAGTCGTAAGGGCTCGTCACCGACGTGCTGGGATGGATCATAACAAGCTGGTCGTCCTTGACCGTCTTGTACACCTTGCTGTTGCTGCTCTCGCGCATGGCAACCTGCATGAAGAAGCCAGCCAGAAGCGCGCGGCGGATGTTGGTGTAGTAGTTCTTGTCCTGGAACGGCGTGCTGACCAGGTCAATGTCGTGCGTCTCCATAATACGCTTGAGCTGGGCCCGGACGTTGTCGGCGCTCGACAGGTGGCGGTACGAGAGGAAGTGCTCGTGGCACCAACGCTTCATGTCCTCGCCGTTGGTCTCGGCGCCCTTGTAGGCGTGGTAGGCGTTTAGCAGCGTCAGGTGGTCGCCGTCGGGGTGGGCAAACTGCATCTTCATCTCGTCGGCACGCTTGCGCGCGTTGTTGGGGCGCACCCATATCGAGGGGACGGAGAGAAGGGATACGATGGAGAGGATCTCGTTAGAGCAGTAGAACTCGGGCGACGAGATAAGCATAACGGCAAGGGCGGGGTCGAGCGGGAACTCGGAGGCCATACCACCGAGGCGCGTAAGCTCACCATCGTCGTCCAAGCAGGCGAGGTAGTTGAGCTCCTCCAGGGCGCGCATCATGGTCTCGGGCGCAGGAGGGTCCATGAGATCGAAATGTACCAAATCCTCGACACCAAGCTTCTTCAACTCCAAAACAGTGTTGGCCAAGTTAGACCGGAGAATTTCAGGGTAAGTCTGCTCAATAAGCTCCTTCTTGAAAGCCTTCTCGGTGTAAAGACGGAAGCATTTACCGGGCCGTGTACGACCGGCACGACCAGCTCTTTGCTGAGCAGAGGCCTTCGAAATAGGAGAAACCAACAGGGACTCGACACGAGAGCGGGGGTTGTAAATCTTTTGCTTGCTGAAACCGGGGTCGACGACGTAGACGATACCATCGATTGTCAAGGACGTTTCGGCAATGTTGGTCGAGACAATGACCTTGCGACCAGGCCTGCCACCCTTGCGCAGGGGCTCGGGAGCCTTTTCGAAAATGCGCTGCTGGTGCGCAGGAGGGAGAGTGCCGTAAAGAGGGTAGACCTTCATGGGGCCAGCATCCGACTCGCGAATCATATCGTCCACCTCCAAGCTGATTCTCCTGCAAGCATCCTCAATCTCCTCCTCACCGGTAAGGAAGAGCAGGATGTCTCCCTCGGGCTCGGTGGCGTGAATCTGCAGCACGGTCCGTACGGCGGCCTCGAGGTAGTCACGCTCGGGCTCGGGGGTATAGAAGATCTCGACGGGGAAGGTACGACCGGGGACGGCGAGCAATGGGGCGTTGTAGAAGTAGGACTGGAACTTTTGGGCATCGAGGGTGGCAGACATGACAATGATCTTGAGGTCTTTGCGGCGGGCGGCGATCTGCTTGAGCAGGGCCATGAGGATATCGGTCGCGAGGGTACGTTCGTGGGCTTCATCGAGAATGATGCAGCTGTAGCGGGACATGTCGTGGTCGTGCATAGACTCGCGCAGGAGCTGACCATCGGTCATGTACTTGAGCATGGTCTTGGGGCCGGTCCTGTTCTCGAAACGGATGCTGTAACCGACTTCCTGGCCCAGCTCGACATCCAACTCGTTCGCGACACGCTGGGCAACCGACATGGCCGCCACTCTTCGGGGCTGGGTACAGGCGATGAGCTTGCCGTTCGTGTGGGGGAGCTCGTCGTAGAGGACGTATTGGGGAATCTGGGTGGTCTTTCCGGAACCCGTCTCACCGACGAAGACGAGGATCTGGGTGTTGTGGTACATGTCGAGGAACTCCTGGCGCTGCTTGTGGACGGGGAGGTCGCGCCTCGTCTTGAGGATGTCGAAGTATCTCTGCGAGTGCGGCTGGCCAGTCCACGGGTTGAGCTCCGAGTCCTCGGCCTGGGCAGCCTGGACAGCGGTGGTATTGTGTCTCTCGAAGGAGTCGAGGGGCGATTCAAAGTCGCCATTGTTGCCGTTGCCGTTGCCGTTGCCGTCCTCGTTAAGGTGGGCGAGATAGGGGTTGTACTTTTCGGGGGCAACATCACCGTTCTCGGCGCGCTTGATGCGCTTCGAGTCCTGGCCGTTGTCCTCCATGTTGGATCTCTTGACGCCTTTGTCGTCGTGGCTGGCCATTGTAGTACCGACTGTCGAGGGCAGCAGGCCTTTTATCGTGTTTCGGAGTGGGAGGTGTTGCGACAGACCGAAGGAGAAGGAAGAGAAGCGGCGATAGGAAAATGGGAAGGCGGAGTGTCGATTATGGCACCTCCAGTGGCAGTGATGAACAGTGAAATAAAGTGGAGGGCAGTGGGCAGGCAAGCTGAGAGTTCCCTTCCGGTCTGCGAGGCTACAACTTTTTTTTTGTTTGTCAGAGCGACCTGACCGGGGCAGTTCCTGGCAGCAAGGACGTCTGGCCAATGGAAAAGATCAGCGATAAGCTTTAATGGAGTACAGGTCTTGGCAAGAGAGAGTGATAGCACTGATAAGCAGATAAAGATGGACTCTTTTCATCACTGTAGCATTGGACCCTGATGGGCACTAATTTTTGCACCACTGGCCTGTGAGGTTGCTGCACGGCAAAGAAGTAGAAAGAGCAAATGCAGGCAGAACGGAAGCCCAAGTTAGATGCTGCACTGATTAAGTTTGTAACATTGTGACATTTGTAACTTTGGCGTACTAAAGTTGGATGCATTCGATTCAAAGTGTTGAGGTTTCTGTCATTCAAATATCCCACCTCTCTATTTGGGATTAATCCCGTAGCTGTACCCCTCCGTTTGTTTACTTTGGGCTTTGTGAAGTTGAATGTTCGACTTTTTTTTTCTCTGGCGCTTCTTCCCTGAGAAATATCCACTGCCATGGGGTCTGTCAGTCTTTGAAGAAGTTCCATTCGGCTGCCGTCGAGTCTTTCCAATTTTCCAAGGGTCCATATTCAAGGCTCAGGTACCTCTATAAGTACATACTATACCTCTATACAGCCCCACGCTGCTGTACCACCTCAAGTCTAACCTGGACATCGCGGGGTTGTTTACATCTCGCCAACTATCTTCTACTCATTTTCACAAAGAGACACCGTCATTATGTCTTCAAATCGCGGGTTCAATCCCGAGTCCGAGTCTTTCGAGCAGCGGCCGCCCTTCTACATTGGCCAACATGATTCCCACAGACATGAGTCGCCCACTGACAGCCAGTACGGTCAAATCTTGGACAGTGGTGTAAGTCTTCACGCAGATCCCCACTTGTCACAGCTTCGGAAATATTAACACATGAGATAGTTCAACTTTGTCACCACCCCCATCACCAACGAGCACTTTCACCAGCGCGTGATCGACCTGTACAAGAGCCATCTCCAAGAACGGGAACAGTGGGTCAACGAACGGGGACTCACTGATGCCCAAAAGGCCAACCCTTCGCTGCCCCTCGTTACAGTCCCGACCTTGACGGACGACGATACCTCTCTGTTCCCCAGCAGCTATGTCGGCTCTCTTATCGCCTACACCAGCCCATGGATCGACCTCTGCTCTTCTGATCCCATCATCTCAGACATCTCCCGCCAGGTGTTGAACCTTGAGCTCGCCTACGCCAACTTCTGCGGTTCCAGGACCATCATTATTCCCGGCCCAAGACAGGATGACGGCCGTGCTGTTGCTCAGTTTGCCCGTGCGATTCAGGAGGCTCAGGAGGTGGGAGGCCGTGTGAATCTTGTGATCCACCTGCCCATGTACCGCGAGCCTGGCTTGGAGGAGGAAGCAGAGACGCTTTCTGCCCTTCTTGGTGGAGAGGGTAGCAAGGAGGTCGTCAAGGCCGATGCCAAGGGCACCGAGATCGATCTCTTCAGCACCTGGGACAGCTGGCACACCATCCGGACCGTTTGCAAGTACAGTGGCCGTCTGTTTGTCGCCCTGCGCATTCCCAAGCGGGTACCTGAAAAGGACCTGCAGGAGCGCTGGTTCTCGGAACCGCTGCACTACTTGACCCTGGACAAGAACATCTTTTCGCTGAACAAGGCCGGCCATCCTTCCCTCACCCGTCACCATCAGGACCTGATCAACCGTTATATGCGCCTCAAGAATCACCCTTGGTTGATCCTGAATAATGTTGGCCCCTCGGCGGAAAGCCTCGCTGAGGCTCCCAGCAAGATGGAGATCGACTACCCTCCTCTTTCCGAGGCCAGCAAAGCGATCAAGGAGAACCGCAAGCCGTATGCTCCTCCCTTCAACGACTACGTCGACTACATGAAGTACCTCGAGCGCCACCAGCCTCCTTACTCGGCCATGGAGACCCCGTCGCTCGTCAGCTTCCAGGACTGGCTCCAGTCTCCCCTCCAGCCGCTCTCGGACAACCTCGAGTCGGCCACATACGAGGTCTTCGAGGGCGACCCGGTCAAGTACGACCAATACGAGAAGGCCGTGGCCGAGGCCATGCTCGAGTGGAAGAAGTACAACCGGCCAATCTCCTCCGTCACCCCCGAAACTCCCGACGGCAAGGACCTAATCGTAGCCGTCGCCGGCGCCGGCCGTGGCCCCTTAGTCGCCCGCGTTCTCCGCGCCGCGAAATCCACCAACACCTCCATCCAGCTCTGGGCTTTGGAGAAGAACCAGAACGCCTACGTCTACCTCCTCCGCCGCAACAAGCGCGAGTGGAACAACTCGGTAACCGTTATCAAGACCGACATGCGCGAGTGGGAGGGTCCCCGCCTGGCCGCCAACCCCAACGTGATCACCAAGCTCGACATCCTGGTCACCGAGCTCTTGGGTTCCTTCGGTGACAACGAGCTCTCCCCCGAATGCCTCGACGGCATCCAGCGCCACATCGCCCGGCCGCACGGCATCTCGATCCCCTACAGCTACACCGCGCACCTCTCGCCCATCGCCCACCCGCGCATCTTCGCCGACCTGTCCAACCGCGTCGTGTCCGACCCCAACGCCTTCGACATCCCCTGGGTGACCCGCCTCTTCCAGCTCGCCTACGTCGCGCAAAAGGTTCCCAAGCACGGTCGCTTCCAGCAAGCCTGGGAGTTCGTGCACCCCGTTGAGGTATCCCGCGCCGACGACTTCTCCGCCAAGAACGGCCGCGCGAAAAAGTACGTGACGCACGGCAGCGGCAGCATGTACGGCTCCAGCGGTATCAACGAGCATAATGCCCGCCATTGCCACTTGACGTTTGTGTGTCCCACTAGGGGCGTCATTCATGGTCTGGCGGGATACTTTGAAAGTGTCCTGTATAAGCATCAGGAGGAGGGCAAGACGCCGGTGGAGATTAGCATCTTGCCAGATCAGATTGATCGGAAGAGCAAGGATATGATTTCTTGGTTTCCCATTTTCTTCCCCTTGAGGGTGAGTTTTTTTCTCTTTTCTTTTCGTTCTTCCTTTCCTCATTTTTGTTTCCTCCCATTATTCTCTTCCTTTCCTGGTCTCCGCGGTTTTTTGGGTGACGATTGCTGACTGACACGGTTAATTGCAAATAGCAACCCCTCTACTTCCCCCAAGACACCGAGCTAGAAGTCAGCATGTGGCGCCAGACCGACGACACAAAGGTATGGTACGAGTGGATGGTCGAGGTGTTCGCCTGGGTTGGTCCCAAGACCCGTATCAAGGTCGGCGCTTCCGAGATGCATAGCAGTCGCAAGGTTGCCTGCATTTTTGGTTAGAAGGGAGGACCTGAACAGTGGAGGTAGCTAGAGATGGTGGGCATGACTGGCTGGGTCGGGTGTTAGGAGTGTATGTAAGTAAAATACTGCCAGGGGAAAGGTCAAAAAGTCTTGTTTTAGCGAAAGAAAAAAGAAGTTCCGAAAACCCTGGATAGATGGAATGTTCACAATCGGAAAGCCGCGAAGTGTATGATGATGGCTGCCCGTGACGGTGGTCGTGTGATCGGTGATCAGGTAAAAGTTGCGACCCAAAGATTCACGCCTCTTGCATTTTTATTGAAAGACCAGGAAACCAAACGCCGTCTCCGTATTTCTAACTCATCCCACCTATGCCCGTCCTTTTCTTTGCTCGGATGGTCCCGACAAGTTTTGTTTGTCTCTCTTCTGTGTCGAGTTCTTCCACCATCATCGCCTAGCTTTGATCTTGATGGTGATGTTCAAATGGTAGGTACCTGCTCCTTTGATACGTAGTCTTGCGCAGGAGATAGATGCAACGCCCTTTGCCGGATAGACGCCTTGGTACCCATCCGTCCGCCTTTGCCCTCTCTCTGAAGCCCAATACGCCTTCCCATACTGAGTCCCATTGTGCAGGCCCGGTATCATAGCTTGTGCAACCCTCGCAAAGCGCATTTTAATTATCATTGGGGAGCCAACTTCGGAGAGCGGTGGGAGGGTTGTGGTTCGGTTCGGTTCGGTTTCGGTCGGTAAAGTAGGTAGATCCATCTGCTCTTCTTCTTCCCAACGCATATCACAGGGTATTCTTTTCCTCACGCGTTGCCTATTCGGCCCTCCGCCCTATCCATTTCTTCTACTGATGAAAATAAGTTCACTCCTCCATCTTGGTGTCGCCGCCTGTTTCCGCCTCATCGGCCTTCTTGATATAGAGAACGTTGTTACACCTGTTTTGTTATAAACATTAGCACCAGTTCTCTCTTCCTGTCGCATCATGACTTGCCATATTGCTGCAAGCAAAACAATCCTAGAGAGTGTAGGACTTACCTGATCAAGACCTGCCCCAACGCGCCCGTAAACTTGCGGTTAATGTACTCCTTCGTGTCGCTGAGCTGGATGTTCATGTAGCTGTCGATGCTCTGTTCACATGGAATTGATTAGCCTGGGCCTACTATTCTGTTTCCCTTCTATCGTCCTCGCTTTCCGCCATGACACCATGAATGACCGTGGGCAATCCAACCAAGAACCAGCATAAAATGAGCCAGGAAGCCAGGCTGAAAGATATTGGGATATTGGATACGTACAACAAGACGGCCAACATACTCCGTCTCTCCCCACTTCAAGCGAACCGTCACCAGGCTGTTGACGAGATCTTGGAGGAAGGGACGGGGGTTAACTGGGACGAAAGACATGTTGTCGGTTTCGGTTTGTTCTGGTTGGTGTGGTTGTTTGTGGTTCGGGCGCCTTGTGTGTATTCACAGGCTGGTGGAAGATGGGGCGTCTCGAAAGTTGGATTCGCGATTCGGCTTGGTGCTAATGGATGTCGTATTCGTCGGGTTTCTTGGAAGTCGAAGACGGATTGGTCGAGTTGACGCGACAAGGTCGGAGGTTGATCGTGAAAGGTGGTAGGTTGTAAAAAGTTGGGAAGAGATATGGGATTGGCGTTGATTGCTATGATGGAAGAAGCTCCAACTGGGACTGTCTGCAGTGATGGACCTTTGCGGCGTTGGAGTAGCGCGACGATGGACGTTCCTCTGTTACGAGGTACGTGTGGAGCCCCGACGCGATAAGCTGATTGGATGTATCGCCAAGTCTGCAAAGCTGTTGCATAGGAGGGTTAGGGTTGTCGGGGGATCATCGATCTGACGACAACGACAACGACGAGCATCAAGACACAAAACGTCGCATATTACACAATTGACATCCTGTTTCTCAGATACATGGACAATTTCATATATAAGTACCTTAAATTCCGCCAGAGTTTTGCTTACATTCCTTCTTGATGCTATCCCCCATGTCCTTTACCACGCCTTCGTCACGACCCTCGAGGGTGCCTTCTTCTCAAGGTGGTTCCTGCCTGATGATATATGGATGGGTGAGGAAGTTGGAATTTCCCTAAGGGAAAGAATTGCCACGGGGAACGGGCGTTCTTTTGGGGCCTCGTCCTTTACCGTTATGCGGGAAGGAGACTGGCTTGGACATCCAAGTTAACCTGACCATATTCATCATCAATGGGACATATCCATCATCTACGGCGTTCCATGGATCGACGCAACGAGAGGTAATTCCTAACTTTCAAGCATCCGCACAACGACTGCCGCAGGCGTGGTGAGTACCATGGGACTTTGGCGAATTATCCAAACGAATCAGATGTCAAGCGTCCTTCCGACCGACAGCGAGACACCATATACTAAACACTACTAAGTATGTACATGCTAAAATTGACAGAATGCCTTGACTCCTTTTGACCCAATCCTGCATCCCTGAATCCAGAATCCAATCCAAGCACAAGAAACACCAAAAACGAATGACAGAATCTGGTCCAGTTCATGCTCTACCGCATTGTCTTGCTTTGATTGTTCTTTGAGTTTAAACAACATCAAGCTCTCGTCGACTTCGCCTGTCCGAAGTACGCCCATCATCACGCCTCAAACTCAACCCCTCTATGATCCATGACGCTTCATTTCTCGTCAAACCCCCAAAAAACATCTTCGTTTCTGTTTGTCGTTCGTACACCACACCGGACCCTTCATTAAAGCTTGCTAGCTTGACTGCGGCAGCAAAAGACCACTCAGACCATCCGTAACCCCTTTTCACCCCCTTTCCTACCGCTTTCATTTTCCATCAATTCTAAGGGTGATTGCTAATGCTGTAAGGTCAGACAACGTTTGAGTTATAAAGTCGATGACATCACTATGATTGGTTGATTGATCGGGTAATGAAGTCGAAGAGAGATGCGTTCGCTCTGCATCTCGCTCTCTGTGCACCGATGGACCATCTTCCGCCCCCAAAAAGCGCATTCGGGATATCGTGCCTGACCTCTTGCAACATATGCGTCTGTCTCTCAACAAAATCGGTGGTTGGCACCAAGTAGTTTTCTCTAGCCCTGGCTGTGGTCGTATGCGTCTTCGCCGATCCCAATGCTTGCCCGCATTTGTTGTTCCTGTTGGGTATGCGCTCGACCTTGCCCTGCCCAAGGAGCCAGGGCCTCACAATCGGGCCAACAGCCCCCCAACCTACCACCTCGATGGCATTAGATCCACGGCGTTGGTGACATCCCCCGCTCACCATACTTTCCTCGACTAGCCCAGCTATTTGTCACCGATTCCATCGCTCCCGTCTCCGTCATGGTGCTGTTAATAGTACCTCCTTCGGGAAGGTTTTGAAGGTTTGTCGTCGGAGTTGGACTACCAGTACGGCTCTTCAAACTTTGCAAGCTCTGCCACCGACTGGGAGTCATCAACGACGGTTCCGCCGACGATGGCATGTCCGAACTCGCCGCCTCCATCGGCACCACCGCCTCCAGCTCGGCGAATTGGCTCCCGGGGTGCTCGACGGGACGCCCGTACCCGTACGCTTGACTTGGATTCCGACTGGGTCCCAGACTTTGACTCGGACTCTGAAGTGGACTCTGCCAAACCGGCGATAATTGAGCCCGCTCCGGCTCTGCAGGCTTTCCAGGCGGCGGCGTAGCGCCGGAAGTACCTGTTGATCGTGTATCCGAGAACATGCTCATGTGCCTCGATGAGTGATGGCCCCGGTCCGACGCTGCCGTCGATGCGGCCACGTACGAACAGGCCTCTTCCGATAGCTCGTAATGCGGCTGCATGTCCTTGGGCGGCACAGGCGGACCATTTCTGCTGCTGAGACCACCACCACCACCGCCTTTGCTGCTGCGGGTTCCGACGATCCCGGTAGTTCCTCTACGTCGTAGTCGCTTTTTCCGCCGCCAGCGCGTAAAGAAGAAGAGTCCAACTGAGCCGGCGGCAATGAGAGCGAAAGCTGCAGATCCGACTCCGATGCCGATGGCCGCCCCCGTGCTTACACCGCCGCTACTACTGCTGGTCGTCGCTGCTGATGGGTCGGTGATCGTTGGCTGAGATGTCGTCAATAAGGGGTTGGTGGTGGTTGGCGTTTCTGAGGCCTCGGTGTTGGGGACGCCCCCGTCATGCTTGGCTCCGAGGACTACTTGGATACCATAGGCGCCGATGCCGCCTCGTCGCTCGGATACGGTTGTGTGAGCACCCATGGTTCCGTCAGATACAATGGTGACACCCATCTGGACCTCGGCTCCCTTGGGAAAGGTTGTCGTACATGCTAGCGTTTGAGCAGTGTTGTCAGCGCAGGTAAAGGTGACACTGTTTATATGTTAATATTGCTGGCAGCCGTGTCGAGGAGGAAAAAAAGGGTTATCATACGCTCCGCTCGGACAGCAGACAACTGCCGTTCGAGTCTCACCCGCTGCCTCTGTCTCTGTTGCAGGAATCCCAGAGCGCAAACATGGTGCTACCGTGTATCCCTTGGGACAAAAGCCAGGGTTATAGTAGTTGGTCGGGTTCGCATCGTAACCGTCAGGAAAGCAGTTCGAATCAGTGGTGTAGAGAGGACCGTGGATGTATTGGGATGTGCTCCCCTTCCAGACCTGATATATCTGAGGTGTGTTGGTGGTACAACTGGCTGGTGGTGTGAAGGTCGTCGTCAAAGAGCCAAGATTCGTCATGGTGGTGCCGCACTACGCATTCAAGCGGGCAGCTCTTATTTCATCTCAGATCCAACGCCCAATCGAGGTAAGAAGCATTATAGGTAGGGTTAACGAGAGCGGCGCGCGTGGGTAGAGATAGATGTTCAGTGTTCTCACTTCACTCGCTCGGTCGACAACGCTTTGCAACTGAAGCTGAGCCTTTCTGGTCGGAAAACAGCAACGTCGGGAGCAGAAGAGGAAATGGATGAGGGTTGCATAGTCCAAGTTCCGTTGTTCCCTTGACGACACCCGGAAGAACGAAAACCTGAACTAGCCCATGGACAAGATGGGACTGTTGGTGAAAGATGCAACCTGGAGTGCAAATGGGCGGGCTGGCGGGTTTGGCACACCGTCAGGGGCACACCCGCCGCCCGCTTCAATACCCACGCAGTAGGCGCCCTGCTGGGAAATGTAACCTATCGTGCCCATGGGTGCCCCCATCACCGAATCACTGGTTGCCAAGGCCAAAGGATGAATGAGGAGATGAACCTCACTCATTTGGGTCTAGACGCGATAAACAGCCCAATGGGAATGCCAATTTGGAAGCTAGCCCCGGAGAGAAGGTTGAGAGCGAAGCGGTCGGTCACCGTTAAGCGTCAGCTTTTTGGGGTTACGGCTCCTCCTGCGTGCGCGGCGGGATACGCGATGAATGTTAACCGGATCCTCGGGTGTCGCGGTGAGGTTGGGGGAGAATGATTGCGACAACTTGAGTTCATGATGAACCTGAGCGTACGCTGATTGGTGTCTTGTGTGCTTCTGCCAGTTCTTAGTGAGAGCATCTCGACAGATTCAAAAAGACCAGATCAATTTGATGATGAGAGTTCTTCGAGAAGGTCGCAGCTGAACAAAGGCGTAAACCCAATTGGGAACGAGGACCCATCGTGCCCCTGCATTGCCGCAAAACCCGCTCCCGGAGCTGACTGTGATCGGGCGGGGATCGGGGGTTTGGTGGCGCCTGGCCTATAGGTATCAATGGATGAGGCAATGAGAAATGTTCGAATCAAGCGCCGTGTCTTGGGATGTGTAAGATCTGAGCTGACATGGCTGATGACATAGGAACAAGGCTATGCTCAGCTTGAGCCCTATGGAAATTAAAGAGAAGCAAGTACGTAAACAAACACCCGACTCGGTGATTACCGCTGGCATTCGGGAAGGACGTGATTTGGAGAAGACCCGAATGGAAAGTGCTACGAGTCTGCTCTGGCAGTGAATAGCGACTCAGCGTGTTAAAACACTCCAGATCTGTAACGACAATGATCTTGGTGATGGCCTCATGTCGCAGTCGGGAAGAGAGGTCGGATTGAAGTCCCGGGCCGATTGAATGATCGCTGATAAGACGGGACGGGATCACCAATGCATTGCTTTAGTGGAGTGGTCCCACCTGTCAAGTTATGCCAAGACAGCTGTCAGCTCTGTCAAGCGAGTAGCTCATTGGCCTGTCAGCAGCTGTCAAGGGCTGCCGTCTGGACTTCCTTTCCAAGACTCCAACAACAACAACTCCAACAATCCCCTCCTCTTCCCCTCAACCACAAGTTCATCAAGACAGCGCCCAGCATGATTCGCTTGAGTCAGGCCTCATTCCAAAGCAACGACGTCGATTATTTGTCATTTTCACATGCTGTGCTCAATTCTCCGGAAGTGTCCTCCCAAAGCCGCATATCAAGCTTCATGGAAGCACCCAAGCAGCCTTTTACTTCCATCCGGAGACGGGAGCTCTGGAGCGAGCAATGCATTTGTGTTGATGCTCGACTCATCATCCGCTAAGCTGTGTCACGGCTCTCACTCATTTGGCTATAATATACATACAATGACAGCATGCTGCAATTCCAAACCCTTTCTCTCCGTCTGCCTTGCACACAGGTCCTTCCTGGCTGATTGTTGACAATAGCGGGAAACTCTCCCGGACGCAGTGACGCTTAATCCACACTTAGCTGACCAACTCCGTAGTACCTGCTCTGCTTCGACTATTTGCAACGACTGGTGAAGATGGAAGCCGCGATGATCCCTGAGGGCGGTATATGGACGAACCGCTTCATCTTTTGCGTTGCGGCTCCTCCATATAATCAACAGTGCACTCCCTGAGCTTCACCTCCTACTCCTAGGCCTCCACGACTCGAAGCTCAGTGTGTTCGCTTCCTATATTCACGATCCTATTCTTTCGTTTCATCACTAGTCCCTATTTTACAACGACCCATCAACTCCATCCTAGAGAAGCCGCGAGCTCGAGGCAGGAACCTCAACCGCAGCTATGATGGGCATCATTTCCACGACTCTGGCCTCCGTTCTGGCCGGAACCGCTCTGGCGCAGTCATCTCCAAATACCAGAGACGAGACCGTCACGGAACGTGTATGGTCCTCTATCGCATGGGTTATGCATGGCGACCGGAGTCCTCTCGGTGTACCGGGCTCTCCCCCTACCCTGACTCCCCTAGGTGCTCAACAACTCCTTGACCGAGGCACAGTTCTTCGCAATCGGTACATAGTGGCTGCCCATGAACCGGAAAGTTTCGACGTCTCCAAGCTCATTGGAGCCAAGCTCGTGGGCCTGAGCACGAACGCCATCGACAACACGCAGCTGGATATTGTTGCGAGCGCGGACAGTTACAACTTTCACAGTGCTCTGGCCTTCATGCAGGGCCTATATCCCCCATCAACACGGGTGTTTAATGGGACAGACGGTATAGCAGCTGCGCTGCTTGCCAATACCGAAATCTTGGATTATCCTCTGGAAGGATACCAGTATCCGGTTATCAGGTCTCCGTCAGTCGACGACCCTGAATCGGTTTCGTATGGGAACCCCAAAAGTACGAGCATAGATAAGCGAGATAGCTAACAATTATCACTATTAGGGTCGACGCAAATAAACTCTGCCCCCAGTATCTGCACTCTTTGGACAGCTTCGAGAATGACACGCACGTGGAAAGGTTCTACAACGATACGATAGCCTTCTACAAAGCCGAATGGGAACGGATCTTCCACGGCGACAACATCCAGTACCCTGTGGGCTTGGCGGACTTCCATCATGCGTACGCATTCTACGACCACGTCCAGTACCTCTACACGCACGACAACGCCACAAAAAGTCAACTAAATTCCAGCTTTGTTGATTACTTTGGCAGTCTCGCAGCTTCCGAGCAGCGCGAAAAGCACGGTAATTTGACAGTGTCCGGAAGGGACGAAGGTGACAAGATCCGTGCTGTTGCAGGCCGCACCATGGCCGGCAAAGTCATGAAGTGGTTCAACAGCAATATCCAGGCCCAAGGACACACCAACAAGCTCAACATGGCTTTTACCTCCATAGAGCCTTTCGTGGCATTTTTCTCCTTGTCAGGGCTGATGGATGGGCCATCCGGTCATTTGTTTCAAAACCACGTCCCCAACCCAAGCGCAGCCATTATTTTTGAGCTCTTCTCTAAGGGCGGTAGCTACTCGGAATACCCCCCCGATGAGGATCTCTGGGTCCGGTTCCTCTACGACGACGGCAAACGCGACTCTCTCCCACAAGAATACGCCCTCTTCGGTAACGGCAACTCGCAATCGGTAATGCCACTCAGCGAGTTCAGGCACTCCATAGGTCGGATCGCTCTCAATTCCTCCTCCAACTGGTGCGACACGTGCGACAGTCCTGCCTCTTTTTGTCTCGTAACCAAAGGCACCACCGATGGCGACGACACAAGCGGTTCTGACCCCCATTCACCTGCTGTCCATGACAGTCAGGGTCTTAAAATGGGCCCAACCATCGCCGGTGCAATCGGCGCCGCCTCAGCTGTCGCCGCCATCGGACTCGGCCTCCTCGCAGCCACCCTCTGCGCCGGTCTGCGCTTCCACCGCGCCGGCTCGGAGAAAAGGCGAGAGCAGGAACGCATGTTTCGCATGATGAATCTGGGCAGCGCTTACAACAATAGCCAGAAAAACAACAACCGGAACCCAGCAGATGCCGACGTCACGTACGCCAAAAACGGAATTCGACACGAGCGCGTAGGAAGCTGGGAGATGCACAATGGATTCAGTACGAGCCCATATGGTACCAGCAACACCGGTAGTGCCGATGCTGTTCTGGGTGGTACCAACAAGGAGGGCGGTGGCGGGCTCGGTCGTGTGTATACGGGCAATGGCAATGATGCTGGGTTTTACTCGCCTAGGCCTGGTGGCGGCACTGGCTCAAGCTCATCGAAGCAGCGGCAGGTTAGCGTGGATGATGATGATCGGGCGAGTTACTTTGGGGCTAAGCCGGCGAAGCCGAGGGATTTTACTGCGTGAGTTGGGTGTGTTTGCCTTTAGGCGCTCCGTATTGCGTACAAAAACATCCGTACTCTTTGCATTGGATTTTGGAAATCGTACGAGGTTGGATCATCAAGACTCGGGAGGTGGCGTTCAAAGGATGTGGGATTGGGGGTGAGAGTGGGTTTGTTTACTTTACCCCTTTTCTAGACTACTCAGTCCACGTTGCCATTGGCGATCACAGATCGCCGTGTGCTATGTATGGAGCAGTAGGGCGATGGCGTTCGGTCGGGACTCGGGAGAGATCGGGAGCCCGTCAAAGCTTGAGCTTGACCGCTGGTGGCCATTCTGTGATAGATTGGTAGATGGCAATACTACCTAGTTGGAATACATTCGTCTGCTGGAGCACTTTTCACTTTGTTCTTCGTGTTTTTCTCTCTCTTACGTGCCGTGGTAGCTTATCAAGATCATCACCTCACCTCATATGAACCTATGTCTGAAAAACTCTGAAGCAGTGAAAAATAGCACTCATCAATACTGACCACGCCATCTTCCTTCCTGCCCAGGCTGTCTCTTGCACATGCATAACTCGCACTTTCCCTGACTCCCAGTCCAACTTGGCCAAAAAAGCGACATACAACACCAGATTATTCGCCAGTCGTCACCGATCTGACTACTAGTCTGGCGGTCACCGGCTTATCTAGGGGAGATCAGACGGGATCCCGAGTTTGGCCATGGTGCCTATGGTCGTATGTGTTTTCGAGTTGCATTGCTGTTGGTCGTTGAATGTGGGAAGAGAGATTGGTTTGGGGAGGTTATATACCACATCTGGAGGCATGTTTGCGCAGGATGCAGTAATGGCTGTCCTTTAACTGGCTAGACTGGGTACAAAGACTCACGTTTTCTATTCATTCTCTGGAGCAGAAGTTACTCCCGGTTTCATAGCCGCAGAGTCAAACGAAGAGGCTCCAGGAAACCCACGAACCCAACGATGATCTGAAAGGGAGCCAGGCTACTCTCACCGGATAGAGTGCATACGTGATCGGTTTTTATTGCCTTTTGTCTTTTTCTTTTTTTCTTTTTCTTTTTTTCTTTTTTCTTTTTTCTTTTTTTCTTTTTTCTTTCTTTTTTTGGTACTGCATAACCTCCTCGTCTTCCCCGAACTTTTCAAAGCAGAGGTTACTCTCGGGCTTATGTACCACAGCATACCAGCAGGTTGGGCGAAGAGGTTCCAGCAAAATGAAACAGCAAAGCCCATACCCTAACAATAAAAGCGAAAACGACAACGACCCCACGAATCTGTCTCGTCTCCGCGAACTTGCGAAGTGCGGTCAAGGGCGAACGATGAACGAAACGAACGAAACTGAACAACTGGGGTCTCGTCTAGTCCGGTCCGGTCACGGGATCATCAAAGCCAAACACAAACCTCTGTTTTTAGTGTGTGTACAGTATGTAGGACTTCGGCTTTCTCGCCGCCAAAGCGTTCTTATCTGTGCTGTGTAGCGGTCGGAATGGTTTGGTGAGTGGAGAACAGGGTGATCTCGTCTGTTGTTCGGTGTTTTCTTTTCGTTCGTCTTCTTCGCGTCAGCCAAGAAAAGAATGGGGTTGAAGCGGAGCTGTATTGTAATGTAACGCGGATTTCGTCTCCAGTTCTCCAGACTCCACCCTTGCGATCTCGGGATCCCATTCACTGACACTCGGACTCACACCGTTCGGTACATATTTTTTTGGTTTGTACATTGGCGTGCATACCAGGTACCTATGTCACAGCTAGACGACCCTTTGTTAGGTTTGGTTCAAAGCGAGTGTTTGACGATCTAGAAGGACGGAGATGATAGGGAAGAAATTGCGACCGCAATGCGTGACAGCTGTGGATGGAACTCTTGTAAGTTATTGAGGGTTAACCCATGTTTTTTTTTTGTTTTTTTTTTGGTCTATGGCAAACGGGTGGAAACGAACTGGAAAAGGGAACTGTCATATGACAAGAAGAAGTTATCATGTATGCCTTCCACCTGTGTTCTCTCTTTGGGAGCAAATGGATATATTTTGAACGTGTGGTTATGGTAAAGGTAGTCATCGTAACTGAGTGAGTGGGATAGACACCATAGCACCCAGCGGTGAGACTGATGATGAACACTCACCGTCTGTCTCCGCAAAACGATGTCATCATGAAGGAAGCCCATCCACAAGGAAGCAGTTCGGTATTCAGGAGATCGTTTTCGCTATTTGATCTGAAGCTTTTTCCCGAACGAACGGGACTCCAAAGCCAAGTCTATCAGAGTGACGCTATCGCAGATCCGGGGAAAATGCAACTGACAAAGGCTTGGCATTCAGGGCAAACCAAAACATGGACCATGTTTCTTTTGATTGGACGCTTCTTGGTGTTACATCCCAAACGGGACTCTTTCTTCTGCGTAACAACTGGACTAGGGACTGCTGGACGGGTCGATGGAAGAAGCATGCATATCGATGCGAATGAAACTTCGTGATTTGATTGAGGGAGAGCGCGGGTTGAATCCCATTTTGGGAGGACATGTCCGTTGTTCCTGTTTTCCAGGTTGGGAATTTGGCTGGCAAGTCAAAAGTCTGGGGTAAAGAATCTAGCGTGTCGGTACTTGATTTCGATCTGATGATATCCTTTGATCCGGGGAGAGTCAGGTCTGTTACTGCTCCAAACAAAGACTATCGTTGCTCTTCCATAGGTAGGCATCTACAATTCCTCTGCTTTGAACAGTTCGTCGACAGTGTTCGGAAGTCTTTACCTAAAACATGAACTCTGAATTCTTTCTTTCAGCTTTGCAATACGGTACTCACAATGCAAACATTTTGCGCCGTACTTATGCATGCCTTATCTTTTTTTCCCCGTCGCGGGGGTTTGAGAACGACTCGTGGCTTTACAGTCACCATCTCCACAAATATCCGGTCAGCCGGAGGGAGGGTCGTGGTAGTTTTCCAAAAGAAGCCAGGGCTGACCCATCACCAGGCTCTTGTTTTCCGTGTGTGTGAGTACAAATGCGCGGCACTGCAATGTCAACTTGACTGCATTGGATAGCGGCGGCAACCCCCATGTGCTTGGCTGCCTGCCTGTGCTCGTGGCTTTCACATGTCTTTTTCGTCCTCAAGATGGAATGCGGCAGGGCAACGGCATGGAACCGTCTGAATTACGCCATGTATCTGTGCTGCAGTATCGACATATGCTAGCACGTGCAATTTCTGTAGGCATGAGCAGGTGCACTATCTGTGGCTCTTGTCAACCTCAACTACACATCTTGAAAATGAAGAATCTCGGTCCAGAAAACAATCCAAGAGAAAACAACAACTGAAAAGCGACTTGCGAACATCACCAATAATGTCCAGTGGATGTCAACCCCAGAATGGAGAAAAGGCTTGTCACCCCGCAAACTGGAACCTCTTGGGCCAATGAGGGTCCACTTGGCACGACTCGTCTCATCCCGTCCAAGTCCCAGGAATACCGTATCGTCGTCGCCTTTCCAACTGCCTCCCGCTTGTCCGAGCAAGATCCCCACGATCCCCCTTCCAACGTCCACTTGGTCTGTGATACCGTACCAACCCGGAGCTCGTCACTGGTCAGACAAAGAAAGCAGCCTGCACATCCTCTCGCTCCTCGCTTCTCGGGCCGCCGCGATACACTTTACGGTTCCTCCTCCTGTGTCGGTGGTGTCCCTCTCGCTGGAATCGCAACTGGAACCTCGCGCCTGAATGCCCCAAAGTTACCGGCGAAAACGAGTAATTTACCGCCACCCGTAACCATCCTTTGCAGAATTCCAGGTACGTCCTCAATGTATCTCTACCACCATACCCAAACACCCCCGGTCAGGCCAAGGGCACGACGACCACCACAACGTCATTGTCGCCAAGGGGGGTTCAGAACCACAGTCCATCCCATCTCCAGCACATGCTTTGATCCACGGGGAAGGGCTTGGTATGTTTTAGTCTAGTCTGGGGAACACGTGCGTTCATGACCAAGGCAGCTGACCAGTGACCACACAGGACTCATAGTCTAGATATTGGATACTCAGAGAGGGTTTGCTTGTCTGTCTTGATATCTAGGAATCATCAATCTATCCGCTTTCATCTCTGTCGAAAATTCCAGAATTGATCCTACCTTTACTCTCATCCTCATCCGGCTTCTACCAAATCTTATACGGCCACGTACATCCACTACTGTACTACCGAGAAAGGAGCATCAAGATCGGTTGGAACCTCCGCTATCTGTCTCGGTACGTTGTACAATTCCTGGTTGAACTTCCTTTTGCTTTTACGAAACCCTACGGGCTACGGCAGTTCCACGCATCTGGACCAGTTGGGCACATTCCGACATGTTAGGTACTCGGACTTGCGGAGAAAACAAAAAAGAACCCCTGAAGATTGGACGGGTTACCGCTACATTCGCGGTGTTCACACCCCAGGGGGGGGGCACTTCCACTTACACGCGCGCACACTACGGCTGAAGGAGGGCCACCGAGGGAGCTGCCACATGCTCCAGCTGCCACCTCTCGCTGTCACAGCAACTCTCGGTGTCGTCTTTTGGTACCTCGAATTGCTATCTCGGGCTTTTCCAAGGGGACAAGAGGTAGTTCCACTCTGTCCCCAGAGCTCCATTCTCCAGTTGTTCATGACTCTCACTGACTGTACTTTCCGGGTTGTCCGCTACCTACCTGTGTGGGTCTGGCGCTGTTCTTCTCTCTGCCTGCTCCCCTTGCTTGAGCTCCCCTCACCATGCCCATTCGGCTTATACACCTTGATACTGTACCAGTGTACATTGAGACCCTCCTCTCCATACTCCCCTTCCCCGGCTCCCACTCCCCCTTCGTATAGTTATACCTTCATAAGCCCGGCCGAGAACCGGACGCTTTCCTCAAGCCCTTTCCCTGTCTCTTATATCCTCCCAACTTCCTTCAAAAAGAAATCAAGAACATCAACTCTGTTTCGAGTGGCATGCCATCTTATTGTCTTCAAGACTGCCATTATTTCTACCGTACAGCCTTGCGTGGCTTGAACATCAACACTCGAGTCTCATCTTTATACGCCTAACTACCACACTTCCACACACACAGCCTGAAGCTGCCTCACACCAAACTAAACTGACACAATGACTCTTACTGAAGTTCGCACATTTACTCCTCCGAGAGCTTTCGGGGACGCCATCAGCCAGCCCGTTTCCACACCAGTTATCACAACTTCGACAACACCGCGCTCCATCCCCGACCTCCACATCACACTTAGGCCCGCCATTAGCCCATCACTACAGGCTCGCAAGTACAGCATGGCATCTACTCCTGAAGAGAAGCCCAAGGGCGGCATCACATTTGCCCACCAGGACAAGCTCCCTAAGCTTCCTATCCCAGAACTCGAAAGCACCTGCCAGAAATATCTTTCTTCCCTAAAACCACTCCAGACACACAGGGAACATGCCGAGACAAGGCGTGCCATTCAGGAGTTTCTTCAAACAGACGGCCCCGAGCTGCATGAGAAGTTGAAGAAGTATGATGAGGGACAGACGAGCTATATCGAGCAGTTCTGTAAGTCTTTGAGCAAGTAGACCCTTAGTATCCGGCCATGTTCCGCTGACATCTTCAGGGTATGATTCGTACCTTAACTACGACAACCCTGTCGTTCTCAACTTGAACCCCTTCTTTTTGCTCGAAGATGACCCGACACCGGCTCGCAACAACCAAGTTACTAGGGCCGCCTCCTTGATCGCGTCAGCTTTGGAGTTCGTAAGGGCAGTCCGCAGGGAGGAGCTCCCACCAGACACCGTCAGGGGCACTCCCCTAGACATGTACCAGTACTCACGCCTCTTTGGTACCGCTCGTGTTCCCACCGACTCTGGATGCCAGATCCAACAAGATGACAAGACGAAGCACATTGTCGTCATGTGCCATGGCCAGTTCTACTGGTTCGATGTTTTGGATGACAACTCGGACGCCATCATGACCGAGAAGGATATTGCCATCAACCTTCAGACCATCGTCGACGACGCCCGACAAACCCCGATCCAAGAGGCTGCTAAGAGCGCCCTCGGTGTGTTGAGCACAGAGAACCGGAAGGTTTGGTCGGGACTCCGGGACGTCCTGACGAGGGATCCTGGTTCCAACAATGCCGACTGTCTGAGCATAGTCGATAGTGCCCTCTTCATTGTCTGCCTGGATTACACCGAGCCAACAAGCGCTGCTGCTCTCTGCCAGAACATGCTTTGCGGCACTAGCGAGATCGAGAAGGGAGTCCAGATCGGCACCTGCACCAACCGCTGGTACGACAAGCTTCAGATCATCGTGTGCAAGAACGGCAGCGCCGGTATCAACTTCGAGCACACCGGTGTTGACGGCCACACCGTGCTGCGCTTCGCCAGCGACATCTACACCGACACCATCCTCCGCTTCGCCCGGTCCATCAACGGCAAGGCTCCCTCGATGTGGGCTTCGACCAGTCCCGACCCGTCCAAGCGCGACCCCGAGAGCTTCGGAGACGTGAGCACCACTCCCCACAAGCTCGAGTGGGACATGGGCCCCGAGCTCAGCGTCGCTGTCCGCTTCGCCGAGACCCGCCTCGCCGATCTCATCGAGCAGAACGAGTTCCAGTGCCTCGATTTCCACGGCTACGGCAAGAACTTCATCACCTCCATGGGCTTTTCCCCCGACGCCTTTGTGCAGATGGCCTTCCAGGCCGCCTACTACGGCCTCTACGGCCGGGTCGAGTGCACCTACGAGCCCGCCATGACCAAGATGTTCCTCCACGGCCGCACCGAGGCCATCCGCACCGTCTCGGACGACTCGGTCAATTTCGTCCAGACCTTCTGGGCCGACGCCCCCGGCGACCAAAAGATCGAAGCCCTTCACAAGGCCTGTCAGGCCCACGTCAACAAGACCCGCGACTGCGCGAAAGCTCAGGGCTGCGATAGGCACTTGTACGCCATGCTCTGTCTCTGGCAGCGCATGCAGGACGATGACGCGGCCAGCACCACTTCCGGTAGCAGCATGAACGGCTACTCCTTCGAAGACGGCGCCTCCACCTCCGTCATCGGCTCGCCCTCCAAGGACTCCCTCTTCTCCCAGTCCATGGACTCTCACAACTCAGGCGGTGGTTCCGGTGCCGGTGGCGGTGGCCGCGAACGCAACGGCTCGATCAACTCCGGTATCTCTGCCACCGCTTCCCAGCGCGGCGGCGCATCCCATCAGCTCCCCGCCATCTTCGGCGACGCCGGCTGGGACAAGCTCAACACCACCATCCTGTCCACCTCCAATTGCGGCAACCCGTCCCTGCGCCACTTTGGTTTCGGCCCCGTCTCCGGCGAGGGTTTTGGTATCGGCTACATCATCAAGGACGAGTGCATCTCCATCTGCGTGTCCTCTCGCCATCGTCAGACCCGCCGTTTCGTCGACACTTTGGAGTCCTACCTCCTCGAGATCCGCCGCATCCTCCGCATTGCCGCCCGCAACGCCGCCACCGCCAATGGTGGTAACGCCGCCTGCCCAGCGGCGAACAAGGGCATGAGCAGGGCGAGGGAGATCGATGCCGCTTCCGCGACTAACGGCCAGGAAGGAAAGCCGGTTCGGCCCAAGATCGGGAGCAGGATCAAGTCCCGCGGGAGACTGATTACCGGTCAAAGCAGTGGCCTCGGCCAGGGTCCCACAAGTACCTATAACGGAGGAAGTAGTGTGGGAAATATCAAGGGCACGGGAGGCGGGAGTGTTAGTAGTGCGATGGAGGAGAGCGTGGTGATGAGTGAGGATGACGAGATTGGTGGTTGTAAGTTTTCTCATTTTTTAACCTTGATGACACTGGCGGGATGAGTGGCTAACCAAAGTGTGTTTGTGACAGATGGTTTTTTCGACGCCGGCATGCTCCAGCAAGCGCTCAAGGCGCGCCAGCATGGTCACCACTACCATCATTCGCACAACAACGAGAGCAGCAGTGATGATCGGAGTAACCAAAGCAGACAGAGGAGAAGTAGGAGGGATGTGGGCAAGAAGTTGCCTTTGATTGATTACTAGAGTTAGATTTCCTTTACGTTTTTGATACACCATGGGTTGGTTCTGATTGTTTACCTCGGCCGTTTGGTATAGGTTACCTGGGGTTTGGTTAGCGCTGCTTTTTGGATGATCTTGGATTTTGGTATACCGCGATGGAGGGAGAGACAGATACAGATACAGAGATGGCAAGATGGGATGTGAAGACGTACCGTACATACCCTGGAAGGAGACGGTGGATGATATCTACAGTTGATGCTATACTTTGTTCATCTCTTCAAAGTCCCACGTGACCAAAAACAGGTACCTACGTAATGAACTGTTGCAAGGTACGATAGGGAGGTAGTTGTTGTTGTTATTTTAACGTCTACTTCCGCCTCCCGTAGGGCATGAGACGTGCCACATCGGTGAATCTAGCATACAAAAATAGGAGCAGTGCCCTAACTGTCCACCAAACCCTTTAATCCGAGGGCAAACCGAGGCCTATTGCCAGTGTAAATCATGTGTTGCCCATAGCGTAGACGCGGCCCAACACTTATAATCGAATCGCCCAGTGAGCGAGCACGATAGGGAGGTAGTGATCAGTAGAACTAGAGTTTCTGTCTGTCTATCGGAGGGACGCCTGACAGCCCGATGCCATTGGTTTGATAATTCATCGGTACACTCCTCGAAAGATACTCGCCCACCAAAAGGCACCAAGTCCGTCTTTGTGCGAACGCTCCGGTCAGGTTGAAAATTGAAAGGTTACCTTACATCTCAGCCAATCTCTTGTTCAGAGTTACTAGTGACCAATGTAATGGTAAAAAAAATAAATAAAAAAGAAGCAGCAACGCTCCTTCCCCTCACCCTTCCCATCCAATTCTTTCCTTCTACCCCTCAGCTCCTTCCCCCTTCCTACCTGCCATTCCGAGCCATCAGGTCCATGGCGGATCAATTTTGTATCTCCCAACCCTAGTCGGGTGGACGACTCACTCGCCTGTCCTTTCCTTCACTCGAGGTAGTCTTTAAATCTCGCTTTCTATCTCCTTAAATCAGTCAAGAAGCTCATCATCACCTCGAGCCTCTCGCCTCAGCTTTGCTTTGTAGGTACCTGTTCGCTCACTTCGTCTCACTTTCACAACAAAGGCATATATATATATGTATAGAGAGAAAGAGAACGAAATACGACTAGAGCTAGATCTACGTACTGGTAGGTAGCGAAGGACACTACCTTACTTCATTCAACCCCTGTGCTCCTAGGCTTCTTACCATCCTGACACTGACACTGACACTGACACTCTGCCACTCTGTTTAGACACTCGGGACACTCTTAATACTATTAACATCCGTTCGCACCTCTTTATGTTCCGTTGCCCTGCCTGGACACGCTCACTACTTCCAACGAACAAAGTTCAAGCAATACCCAGCCAGTCTTCCCCTCTGGGACAATTGTCTGAGTGTCTGAGTTGGAAGTTTTCAGTCTTGATTGAAGTTTGTTCCTTGAGATGAGTGCCCTGCGCCAACGGGGGGATACGGTGGGTGGCAGGTCTTACTGTGGTACTGAATATCTCCCGATCTCTACTAATAGTACTTTATGACTTGGAAGAACTGCACTCACCCTTTACCCCTTGCCATTCTTCCTCTTCCCCCTTTCTGGTGAACTTTTCGAGAAGAATTAATAATAAAAAATAAAAAATAAAATAAAAAATAAAGAGAGAAAAGTATGGTTGTTGCTGTTGAACGACTCCTTGTTGTTTCTTTTGATTCATGATGATCCCAATGTCTTTTGCTCCTTCGTCCGAACAAAACTGCCCACGGATGTGAGAAGGTCTTTACGTGCTATCAGATGCTAGCAACGACACAGGCCCCCTGCTCCGACATTTGTTGCTTAGATGCGACTTTTGTAAAATAATGTTGGGGTTCATTGTTAACATAGCTCGAGGTAGGTTCGCGTTGCTCTTTTTGGGACTGGCGCTGGCCAGATGACCAGCTTCAGTGCACCAAAGAGAACGCACTCCATGGCAGCTGCCAGTTCACCCAGATTTGTTATGCCTGGTAAATATTCTCTTTAGCTTTCTCCATTGCAGGCTTTCATTCTCTTCTCGCTCAGCCATCTGGTAGTTGCTTGAATCACAGTGGATTTTCCCTGTGAACATGAGGGGCTTTTTGACATGCCACAGGAAGTAATAAAGCGTTGCTGAACTGGACTTGGATAGACCCAGCCTTTCGTGTACTTACCTCAATGGTAAGTGGCTGAAAAGGTCTCTGAGCGCTCACCTTATATGTAATAACCAAATGGAACATGTCAGGAAACATCTGCACAGCATCGACCCTTTTCTGACGAAAGTCGAACACTGACCATGGGTGACCGTCTCGAGATGGAACTGACTTGGCTGTAAAATCTTCTGAAATTCCAAGCTCATCATACACACAAAAGGGGTTTCATTCCCTTCTTTTCCCATCTTCCTCCCTCCGTCTTCCTGTTGATGCTTCAGAGGCCCTGTTCACTCCCTTTTTAAAGCAGATGACGTAACCGTACCTGCCGCTTCACTTTCGCCCAGTCCAGTAGAAACGCGCGCGAACAATCAGGAGAGCCGTAGTAGTCGGTCGGTTGGTTTGGAAGTTGGGTTGTTCATGTTATAAGATTTGCTCTGCTCTTCTTAGGAAACTCGGAAAAAATGTATATAATTTACAGAGCATCGTTAAGGAGCTTGTTCATCTTGGCAAGCTTGGCGGAGACGGAAAGGTCGATGGTACGGTCGCCGATCTCGACAACGAGGCCGCCGATGATATCGGAGTTGACCTGTTCAAGTTTGAGTCAGATATAAGTATGTGCCAAAGCTTTGGGGTATAGCTCCAGTTCTGCCGAGTTTGGGATCGGTGAGATAAGATAAACGCACCTTGTTGGTGACCTTGAGCTTCTTGCCAGAGCCGACGTAGGCGGACTTGGTGACAGCGGACTCGAGGCGGTTGAGGGTCTTGTTGTCGAGGGGCTATATAGTGATGGTTCAGCATTTCGTTAGCACTTCTGTTTCCCATCTCTTTGTGTTTCGAGGTTCATCCAGGATCCCCCCATTTCCAGCCAGAGCTTCCGCCTATGCCCAAGTCCAATTCCATTGCCGTCGTATTCATCGTCGTGGTTCCTCCCACAAGCTCGATCCCCCTTTCCCCATAATCCTCGTAGTCTCCCTCTTTCTTCTTATCCTTCTCCCATCCACCAAACAACGTAACGGAACAAAGCGAGCGTACCTGGGCGCTGGTAACGACCATCTCGACCTCGCCGCGGGAGGCGCTCATGAGCTCGCCGAACTTGGAGACGACGCCGGGGAGGAGACCGAGACGGTTGTTCTCGGCGAGGGTGGCGAGGAAGTTCTTGATGGTCTCGCCGGAGACATTGGCGCTCTTCTGAAGCTCGGCAACGATGGCGCTCTTGTCGGCGGGGGAGAGGGTGGGAGTCGCGAGGATGTGGGCGAGCTTGGGGTCCTTAGCGAGGAGGTTTCCGAGGCCGGTGATGGCCTTGGCGGTAGGCTCGAGGGCGTTGGTCTTGACGGCGGCCGTGTACTATATCATGTGTAAATGACGCAGGGAACTAGTTAGCTCTCTGCTACATCTCCAGTCCATGCTTTCGATCATCGTTCGGTTCGGTTTTATGGGGGTGAGAGCTTCAATCGACGGAGCCCCATGAGCACGGGAGCTCGGGGACTAATCAATTGGCCGTGACGTCGTGATTCGGGGCGCGAAGGGCGTACCAGAGCAGTGGCATAGGTGCCGTCAACACCGAAGAGGGCGACGGGAGCCTTGACCTTGCTGGAGGCGGCGGCGGCGGCGTAGGTACGGGCCTGGGTGTTGATAACCCGCGCGGGGCGGAGCAGGGCCTGTCGCGACAACATGATGGGCGTGTGGGATATGATGCGGGTGGACGGGGAACCTCGATGTCGTGAAGTCAAGCTCCGGTATCAGTTTTGTCAAAGTAACGGGTGGGTTTGGAGCCGCTCGGCAAAATCGTGTCTGCCTCAGGCTGCAAATCCTGGAGCTGCCCGCTGCGCCGTCCGTCGTTACCTCTGCCAAGCCTTTTTAGCCCGCCAGCTGCCCAGTGCTTTCTCTCTGCTTTCTCTCCGGAACTGCCCGTGCCAAGTGGGGCAAGCAACATCCTGATAACGTTATCGGTGCCATCCCGTCTGCGCATCACTCCCAACTGTATTCATGCATCCTTGACATTGACATCAAGTCCCATGTGATGTGAGGTTGGCCGATTTTGATGCTGCAGCATTATGGTATTAAAAAGCGTCTATCTCCGGGGGAAGCTCCAGGCCTCTCTGTCCCTCTCTACAACGGAAAATCAAAAAGAGATCCCGGTGACCCTGTACGCGCCTCACCAAAAGCATGCGCCGCCCTTCCTGGATTCCGTAGTACCTCCATCCCTTATCAGTCCATAGTTGCCAGCCCGCCGTACCAACCAAACGAATGCTTGTAACGGAAACAATCCGCGCCCAACCTAAACGCCGACCTGCCTAGCCCTGTCAAATAACCATGCGCCGATGCCCAAGCCATAAAAGATTTTTGTCGTCTAGTCGCTGCGCAACATGCTGTCAACCAAGTCGCCTAGAGGCCCCCAGAAATCCTTGCCGGTTGCCAGGTTGTGCTCGTCGATGAACAGCACATACTGCTTGAAGCTGGTGTTGAGATGCGGCTCCAAGCCCAGTTCTCGAATAACGGGGTAGTGGTGGCAGTAAATGTGCGCGTAAACGCGGTACATGCGCTTGAAGATCTGGCGGACAAGCGCCGGGAAAGACTTGGGGAACGGAACTCCAATTCTGCTTGGTAGGACGGCCTCGTTGTCAATGTTGCCCTGAACCCAGGTCATGAGCTGCTCGATGTAGGCGGGAGCAGGCATCTTGGTCGGTCGCTTGTAGTTTTCCGTATCCTGCCACAAGTACTCGAACCTGTACTGTGTCAGCGTGTTGGTCTTCATGTACAAGCTTTTGTTCGAACGTACTCGTCGGTCGCCTTCATCTCGGGGCAAGTCTGGGGCGAGCAGAATTCGGTAATGGCGCCATAGAGGAGGTTGATTTGGTTGTAGAAGTCCACCACTAGCATGACTGGTTAGCGGATGCCCCTGGGCGAGACGGGTTGGGTCGGGAGGGTGGAAGCTCACTGTTGACAGCCAACCACTCATTCTCATCTTCACCCTCAGGCAGCTTCACCACCTTTCGCAAACTACCTCCGCCAAGTGTTGCTTCGGCATATTGTCGCAGCTGGTAGCTGGTTGCACCGCCCTTGCCGCTGGCGCGAGGTCGGAACTGATTGCGCGTACGCTGGTTTCTAGCGTAAAACCATGTTAGCAACTATTTGACCTGATTTTCCACCTCTGGCTGTTTCCGAGCTCGCAGGGCGTCCCAGTTATGCGTTGTGTTCGGCTTCGTGGAAAGGAGATGGATGCGACGGCGAGCGAGCTCATCCTCGCTTCGTTTCCAAATTACGTCATCGGATCGCCAAGTCTCGGTGATGGCTCGTAAAGGGCGGGAAAGGGGGAAGAGCTCAACGTACACAGTGGTGAGAAAGGAGCTCATGGCGACGGCCAAAAATGTTCGAGATGTTCGGAAGGATGTTTGGTGAACTGTGACAAAGTGGTTGCACGAGTTAGCGGACGGGCACAGCTGATATGTCATTTGTTGGCGGGTGACATCTGAGTTGGCAATAGGAATGGTCCTTGTCGCATGACCGTGGAAGGGCGAACACGTACCGATACAAGCAAATGCGCCAGATGCCGGATGCTAGAAGATCAAGACAAAATGGTGCTTAGCTCGACTTCTCAACCGGCCGTGTATTGGTATAAGGGGTGAAGCAGAGGTTGAGTGTTTGTGGAGGACATTGAAAGGGAGAGGAAGAGACACACGGCATGGATGTTTTAATTGTTTACCCTACCTTGAGGGATGCGCCCGACCGACCTGACAACGACAAGTCAAGTTCGCGCTGGCAACAGCGAATCACAGGCGGGCCCTTTGATGGCACAGCAGCTGGGCAGCCGGGAAGCTTTTAGCGCCTGCCATGTCCCCGCATTAGGCTCGTCAGTAGTGGGGTCATTTCAGCTCTGGCTCCACTGGTTTGAAGGGTCTCGGCCGCCCATTTCAACCTCGAAAGGACCCGAATTTTCAACGCTTTTTCTTCAGAACAACATTCTCACATCAGGATATAAGCCAACATAACACCCAGCCAGAATGAAGGCCTGGGTTTGTTCTGTCATTGGTTATCATTTCATAAATACCAAGCTCTACCACATGGTATTGTCACCCAGCTTCCTCCAACAACTGCCAGAGGCTTGGAGCTGTCTTCATTTTGATGAGCCTCGCTGAAGGACCCATCTGGCTATGGATTTGTCGATGAACACATCCACACATAGCCTCCATCCGGTGGAGCATGGGAAGTTCCGAATCGCGGGTCGACGGCACTCCCGATCTCGCTAGAGCAGCACAGCACATGGCAAATCGACAGTAAACATCCACTGTCATTCATCTCGGAGATTCCGTTGTGCGGTAGTAGCCGTATAAGCGTCCGTGAGAGTGGTTGTCTAGTGGCTCACTACGCGTATTCGGGGCATCAGAAAACACTTGGACCGGATGGTGGAAGATCACACCCCTCGGGATATCCTCAACCGAGCTTCTGACCACAACGTCAACGACGCCAATGCACCCCGCAATCGACAACCTTGGGGATAACAGGGACCGGAGATAATGGCTAAATGTCTTCTCTGTGACCATCTTTGCCCTCTTCGGGACATCTAGCCCCCTCACTTTCTCCAGACTACTGGGCGAACAGGCTAATAACGGCTTCATCAAGTTGACCATCCATGGTTTGCCCTATGGAACGTCTGGATGAATGAGGAGAAATGTATGCCAAGATGAAGCTATTGACCTCACCCAGAGGTAGGCACAACACCCCCAAAGTATATCATGAAGGTTTCCCTAGGACTATGACAGGAAGTATCCGATAGCTCAAGTGAGCTATGTGCAAGCAACAATGTGGCATCTCATCCTGCTCCTCTCCTGCTTAGGGGCAGTCGAAGCCAAAATCTCTCCCCACCAAAGACAAAAAGTAGTCCAAGCCTACAACCCCCGACGAAACACCAGCTCAGACTCTACACCCCTTCAAGTAGGAAACGGCAACTTCGCCTTCGGCGCCGACATCACCGGTCTCCAAACCTTCAAGCCCTACGCCACATTGTCAACATGGGGTTGGCACAACTTCAGCCTACCCACCACGCCGAACCAGACATCCGTCGACGACTTCACAGGCTTGCAGTGGTGGACTCACGACAGGCTGGTGACTTATGACCAGCCTAATCCAGCCCAGAACGACATCTCGCAATGGCTTATCCAGAACCCCCAGCGGGTTAAACTGGGGAATATCGGCTTTGCCTTCCCCCGTGATGGCGATGAGAAAGACAAAAATGTCACGGAGGCGGACCTGGAGAAGAAGACGCAGACACTCGATATATGGTCAGGAGTCTTAAAGTCGTCCTTTGCCTACAAGGGCGTTCCTGTATCCGTAAACACAGCGGTCGACCCAGACTCTGATACCGTCTTGGTAGAGGTTGATTCCAAGCTGCTGCAGTCAGGTGGTCTCGGTCTCTTCTTTGATTTCCCCTATTCCGACCGCAATAAATTCGACGCTCCTTTCGTCGGCGTGTGGAACGCAACAGACAAGCACACGACGGTCTTGCAGCACCAGACCTCTCACTCCGCCGTGATCCAGCACTCTTTGGGGCAAACGACGTATTACCTTACTTTGCAATGGGAGGGGGGAGAAGCGACGATCACTGGTCCGGCTAAGGGAACTCATCGGTATTTTCTGAGGATGAATAACAGCAAGACAACAACGAGGAGGTTGCGGCTCAAGGCTACTTTTTTACCTGAACCACTGGATGCAACTAGCACTGCAACAGTCACTACGACTCCTTCTTTCACCAAGTTACTAGCCAGAACGCAAAACTGGTGGAACACCTACTGGATAGCCGGCGCCTTTGTCGATCTCTCCCGCGTTATCAACTCCAAGTCCAGTCCATCGTCTCTCCAGGCCAACGCAACCGAACTCCAAAGCCGCATCCTCCTCTCCCTCTACCTCCTCGCCGTCAACTCCGCCTCCTCCCTCCCGCCCCAAGAATCCGGTCTAGTCAACAACGGCTGGTACGGCAAATTCCACCTAGAAATGGTCCTCTGGAACACCCTTCACTTCGCACGCTGGAACCATTTCCCCTTGTTCTGGCGCAGTTTACCCACCACTTACACTCTATTCCTGCCTTCTTCCCTTGCCCGTGCCCGAGAGCAGGGGTATAAGGGAGCGAGATGGGGCAAAATGACGGACCCTACTGGCCGTAGCGCGCCGGGGGAGATTAATTCTTTGTTGATCTGGCAGCAGCCGCATCCGATGTTTTTCGCTGAGACGGAGTGGCGGTCTTTTCCTAATGCGACCACCTTAAAAAAGTGGGAGGAGGTGCTGGAGCAGACGGCCGAGTTTATGGTTTATTACGCCTGGTTCAACCAGTCGACGGGGTATTATGACTTGGGACCGCCGATGTATCCTGTTTCGGAAAACACTAATCCCAATGCCACGATAAACCCGACCTTCGAGCTGGCGTACTGGCGCTTTGGGCTGGATGTCGCGTGCAAGTGGAAGCAGAGACAGAATAAGACTGTTCCCGAGGAGTGGACGCGTGTACGGGATAACTTGGCGCCGTTGCCGGTTGTGGATGGGACGTATGCGGTCTATGAGGGTATACCGGGCATGTGGAGGGATAATAAGACGACGAACGATCACCCGGCTATGGCGGGGATTTATGGTTTGCTACCCGCGCCGGCGAGTGGGCAACCGCCCTTGGATATGGATGTGCTGAGGAGGACGGCCGAATATATCAAGCGGTATTGGGCGTTGGAGGAGTCGTATGGGTGGGATTTCTCGATGCTGGCGATGAATGCCCTTAGGCTGGGGGACGAAGAGCAGGCGATTGAGTATTTGCTGCATCCCATCTTTCAGTTCGATGATGCTGGGTATCCGGTGGGCGGGTCGCGGGTGCCGACGCCTTATTTCCCGAACTCGGCGTCGTTGTTGTTGGCGGTGGCGATGATGGCGGGCGGGTGGGATGGGAGTGAAGGGAAACATTTCCCCAAGGGGTGGGAGGAGGTTGAAGTGGATGGGTTCGTGCCGGCTATGTGAGAAAGGGGTCCTAGGAAACAGTGTTAGTCGTAGATATCGTTCGTGACCTTATCCTACCCAAAGTATGATCAGTGTCAAGATTGACTGGAAGGCTGAACTCGAGGCAATCCATCAAATCGGTAAGTTTGGTAACGGTAAAATACACTTTGTGTTTTCTCGGCGACCTTGGTGTAAGGCTTGTTTGCGATCTTCCTTTTGTATGATAAAGTCGCAGCTGGGGCGGATAGCATTTCACAATATTCTGCTTCCAACCGCCCATCCCATTCCCTTTGGCAACCCCCCTTCCTCATCTCTCCATCTCAGGGTATGAATCATAGCAAGATAATGTTTGGTCGTCTCCTCCCCGTCTCTTCGTTCCGGATTTTGTTAAAGCGTACCGATGTCGTGATCATATCGTTCATAGAAGCGCCTCCCCAACGTTCTCCCCTTCAAAGCCAATGGTGGAAAGCTTCTTGACCTTGCGCTTCTCCTTGGCCTTCTCCTCGGCCTTCTTCTGCTTGGCTAGCGTCTGCACCAGTTCGAGGTCGGCAAGGTCGTAGCCCGGGGGCGCGTCGTCGTCGCGGTCCAAGTCGATCTCGCCCATAAGGAGCACGTTCTCGCCGCGAACAACAAAGAGGCCCCGGTCGACGTCAGCGTAAAGCCCCCTGGTCTGGGCGGGTGACTGCGTGCCTGGAGGCACGAATATCCTCTCCTTTGTTTGTTGTAGTACTAGGTTGGCTAGTATGGTGGGGAAAAAAAGTGGTTTCGTGTTAACACAGGTCACCTCCTCATGCTCGTGCTTGCTCGTTCGTGCGTGTGTAGGTGGTGGTCATATGTGTTGTGATGATGAGAGGTAGGTAAGGTAGGTTCATGGAGGCATACCAAACTGATCCCAACTGCGGAGGATGCCCGTGAGCTTTCGTCCGTCGCGCAATGCTACCATTAGCTTCTCTGTTGGCACCCGATCGCTCGTGTCAGCCTAGTTCTTCCAGTCCAAATGTGTGTCGTTGATGTTCCTTCTTACTATCGGTAAGGTCGAGGAGTTGGGCAGCTGTGGTGAACATTTGTGCGGGCAACTGCTGGGGCTGGGGAGGACGGCCGCCTCCAAGGAGTCCCGGCTGGCCGGGGCCCTGAGGGAAGGGCGGTGGTGGGGGTTGATCGTTTATCGAGAGGTGTTCCATGGCTGTGTATATGATGATGGTCTATGTCTTCCAGTCCATTTGTGAGGTTTCGGGAAGTGTCTTCAGCGTTGTTGAATTGGGGAGCGGGATGGCCATGATGCGACGGGACAGCTGCCCACCCTGACGTTGCCTGCCGCCCGCGTACGTAGCTGCCGTCCTGACCTTGTACTCCTTGCTCCGCTGTTGGTGCAGCTCACCCCCACTTTCCACTATGAGCGGGTCCCTTGAGGGACAGCCCGAGTCTGCACAGACCTTCTCACTTACACGGCTCCTACCATAATCATTTAGCTGACTCTTTTGTCGCAGCTTCCGGCAGGCAAAACCTGCTCGTGTAAGTCAGCCACATGAATGTGCGCCTTGGTTGAGCCACAGTAACCCTCAGCTTGAAGCCTCAACTGCCACTGCTGTAGGTTGCTCTTACAGCGCCTATGCGGTGGAGCTGCATCACTGTAAACACCACTGCCAGGAACCCTGTGTCAAGCCGGTGGTCGGACGTGGACCGACTTCAATCTGGCTCTTGCCTGCAGTGCCGCTGCCGCATTCTCCTCCCACCACTGCACTTCGGCTCATCCTGCTGTCAACCCCAATTCATCCTATTTCTCCATCTGCACTCCATCTGCACAATACGTCTTTTCGTTGTCGACAATTATTTACGAAAACCATACGAGGACTATGTCCGAATCCTCCTCGACCGCCAGAAGCCTTACCTTTTTCCTTGCCTTTGCGCTGTAACCTTTCTGCGTGCCCGTCCACCGGCAGACGAGGGCAACTTTCTTCCCATCGTCCACTCGACTTTTGACTTCTAGTCTCCCAGCCTCAAATCTCTGCACCACCGGGGCACCCATTCTCTTGCCCACTCACCTCGCCTTTACCTCACCTTCTCCTACTCGGTCTGTACCTCTGTACTCGAAATCAAGCAAATTGAGCAACGCACGTACGAGCGGCCCTTCGCCATGGCCTCTACCGACGTTACCATGGCCGACGCGCCTTCCGGTCGGCCTGATCGCCGCTCCATCGCTTCCCCTCCACCCGGCCAGTCGCAGTCACAGTCTAAGAGAGACAAACGTCGCCAGATGCTCGCCGAGCGTATCGCAACCCTTTCTGAAAAATGGAGCAAAGAAAGAGACCAGACGTTCCGTGAACAATTACAGAAAATCCAGATTGACACCAGCCTGGTCATGCGAGTCGACCCCTATGTCGACCGACCTTTGGACAGCTTCGAAGAGGACCAGAGACGACTCAACCAGCTCAATGGCACCGACCCCGATGGAGTCCCGCGATCCCTGCTTGACATGGCTGGCCCCAAGTTTGCCAAGTGGATGGAGAAAGTACAGGATCTCGCAGAGCAACGCGATTATGCTCTCACCAAATACAAAGTACGTCTTCCCTGTCATAACCTTTCAGCTCTCCTTCAGTCCTGGTGCCAATGCTGACTCTTGGTTCCACAGTTCGACTACGAGAAGAAGATCGCCGAATACCTCAACACGCATGCCTATAAGACGGAGCTTGCGAACAGAGAACACAAGGCACTTGCTTCGACCCTCCGCGATCGATTGATCAACATCATCACTTCAAAGAAATACAGACTCAACAAGGAAAAGGAGGCCCTCGAGATCGCCGATGCGTCCGCCCTACTCTTGCACCCCAATCAATTCAGCATCACAAACCCAGCCAGCCCGGGAGGCACCCATGGCAAGCGGGCCACCCGCCTGCGAAGAGAAATGGAGGATACAATCGGCATGGATGGCAAGAAAAGAAAACGCAACATGAATGACGACGACGGTTCCCCAGCACCACAACGTCGCGCACTCGATCCAAACAGCACCACACCCCTTTGGCAGACAGACCGTCTGGTCCAACGCAAGACCACCGGCCCCATTTACAGCATTGACAAGTTGTTCACGGACAAGGAACTATCCATGACCTACAACCAGTCCGCTTTGGCGGCCCACAAGTACATTCTCACCCATAAGCCGCGGTTTGACGACTATGGCCGCCCGATCTCGTCCCCCGAGGGCAGTGTTTCCGGTAGCGGCGACCTTGACGATCCCGACTCGGAGTCGGCTCCCTCGGCGCCGATGATGGAGAGGAATGTGTCGCACGCTACTCGCAGCAACAAGATGGGGCTAACAATCCCAACTTTGACGACAGACTCATGGGCTTGGAGATGCTCGCTAACTTCGACTTCCCCGGTAACCTTGAGCGTTTGACTAGTAGTCAGGACCCTAAGCAGCCTCCTGCCTTCCCGTCACAATACGTCAAGGGCCACGCAAAGCAGTCTGACTTCAATACCCCAGCAGCGCTCGCTAGTGACGACGTGAGCGGGGACTTGATGGTTATGCACGCCCTGAAGCAGTACGACCAGCTGAATGGCATGGGTGCCAATCTACAGACTGAGCATGGAAGCATGAAGCTTCTCCAATCGGTGTCGCTCCCAATCAAGGACCGCAGGTTTGTGTCTTTTGTTCAGGGTGAGCGGCCGTCGGAGAACGAACTCAGAGAGCGTCTTGGTCTTCCCCCGATCAAGGCGCCAGTTGAGCCCGAGAGATCTGAGCCAACCAATGGCCTCGGTCTCGGCACCCCATCAAAGGGCGGTCGCTCGGGTACTCCGTCCCACCATGCGTCTCCTGCTAAGGCGCTTGGGGGTGTCTCTATGAGCAGGCAGTCTAGCGCCAACGGCGGCGTGGCTATGAGCCGGACCAGCAGCAGAAAGGGACGCGGCGGCCGCGGTGGTTAACAACGAGGCGGTAGAGCGAGACGCGGCTGTGGAGCGGAGAAAGGATTCGACGAGAGCTATAAGTGGTTCGCCATGACGAAGGAGAGTAATGCACAGCGCCGTTTGGCACTTTGGCGCTTTCACATTTTACACTGGGTGTTTTTCCCATATGCGATGGCGGCTGTGTTGGCTCCATGACAAGCAGGAAGAAAAGCAGGGACGGAGAGGCGTTTGTTCAGATCTGGATCGAGGGTTGCGCATACATTGAAGGGGTTACGGAGTTTAAGGGAACCTCACTGGACTTTTATTACAGGTGCTACTCGAGCACTCGATGCTTTCATACCTGCTGTTTGAGCATTAGGTATCATGTTATAGATACTTTTCGGTTCGTTCATTACCTTGGGGTCGTCCGCGTGTCGTTTCGCATCGCGTTGGTGTTTTTGGAGCCCATATTTTCCTTCCAAATCGTCAACATCACCTACCACATAGCGAGTTGCCAGATGGGTTTTGCTAGCTGATCTATCATATAGTAAGACTGACAATCATTTCAACTAGACATCACTGAAAGCTACCAACTTGACGAAAGAGCAAAGATAAAGGAGAATATCCCGAATACATCGACACTTATCTGCATAGGACATTTGAAACCCACCACTCAACTCTATCAAAGAGAAATGCTTCCCAAATCACACAGAACCCTCCAACCCTCTCTCGACTACTGACGAGTACCACAAGCTCCAAACCAACACTCACCCACCATCCTCTCAAGGTCCAAAAACCAGTGCCCTAACCTCAATACTCTCCCGTCCCTCCGCATCCGCCCTCTGTCTCGGATCCTCAAAAGCCGTATGCGGCACCCTACCCCCCTTCACTTTCTTCCCTTCCTCCAATCCCTCCTTACCAGCCCAACTATCAAAGCACTCCAACAAAACCCTCTCATCCCCCGTCATCCCGCTCAAAAAGTACCACTTCTGGTCTTCATCATGCAACACCCCCGCCGTCTGGCCCGTATATCCATCCTTATACCTGTGTTCCACCGGCACGATATCCTCGTCCTTGACCGTCTGCGAACTAGCAAACGCTAGCGGGAAGGATTCCACGGGTCCCTTGTTCAACGGTCTCCAGACGTTCACGATACGGTATCGACCTTGCAGTAACTTCTCGGCCTCCTCGGGGGAAGAAGCATGTCGTCGCACGCGCTGCGCGGTGGAAAAGGCCGTTTGGTCGATATGGACGCGCTGCACCGGACCCCTGGGGGAAGAGGGGTCGGTGCGTCGGATGGTGTGGTCGAAGATTATCACTTTGGAGGAACCGGGGATGGTGTTGAGTAGAAGGGAGGTGACTTCAGGGTAGTAGTTCTCGGAAATGGATGCGTCAGAGGTAAAATTGGAGCCGTTTTTGGAAGGGTCTTCCTCGGCGGAGGGGGGCAGGTTGGAAAGGATTTGGAAGGCGTCATTTTCCAATGTGAAGGAGGTTTCTTGCCCGCGGATGTCGTGGATGGTGATGGGGAGGGTTTGGTAGGAGAAGTTACGCTCGGGAACACCGGGCGGGGGGTCGACGTTGTTGAAGGGGGTTGAGCCGTCGGTGGGCGGGACGTAGAAGTGGAGGGGGGCGACGACGTCGCCGCGGGGGACGCGGTCTCCTGTGGTGGCCGTGGTGGTGGTGGTTGTTGTGGACATGGTGATGGTTTGTGATAGGGTGGGTGGTGGGAGTTTGGAAATAAGGAGTGGGAAATGTCTTGAGTGTCAAAGATGCTACTGCTTCTGCTGCTGATTATCTTCCAAATCACAAAGATGAAGGGGGGATGCGAGCTGGTTTATATCTTCAAACATTCACATCAACAGTCCTCTCCGTCACATCACACCAAGTACAGTTAAAACGGCGAAGAAGGCCTCACGGCTATGGACATTAGTAACAGCGGTGATGATTTCAAAGCAATGTGCGGATTATAGTTGTTCAACAAGGTGCTGTGTACCAGTCCGTCTCAGTGCTGAGACGCTTTCCCGTGTTTGATGACTTACACGTGCCATTACGGGAAGAATGGGAAGACAAGGGAAAAGTAACGAATGTGAAGCCATCCGCTAGCACGATCACGTCATGTAAAAGGCGCGTCCATGCCGTAATGGGATATGCGGACTAGAGACTTACAGGCCCGCCGCCCTTGCAGTGTTACTGCAGACGTGATGGTTTCCTGCCGATGGTGTCCTCGGATGAGATGAACCGTACAATAGAATTAGTAATCCGGGTTGGAATGGTGTAAAGATGGAGTTAGCCTTTCCAGCTGCCTTCTGACGGGATTGATATCCCCGTGACAGACGCCCTTTGTGATGTGAGATGGCGGCATGATTCCGACTACCGTGTTGTAGGTCTTTCTGATAGTCAACGGTCATTCAGTCTGATGTTGTTCATCTTAAAGTGACGTCTGCGGGAGAGGGGCCCGTACATGACTAAGCATTCCCAGCCCTGAAAATGTGGACTCCTTCAACCTGTCGTTCTGCCAGCTGAAGAACGGGGTTTTGCCGAGCCGCGGGGACACTTTTGCGGTCGCATTCTCATTGGCGGGCAATTACAAGCTGTTGCTTGGCGACGGATCCAAACTTGTCAATCAATCATGGGTCGGGTCGCCTCAACAACGACGGGGAATTCCAAAGTAAACAATTGCTAGCAGCGGCTTTCAGATTCGCACCCTTTTGGATAGAGGCTTATGCGCATGCGCCCTCTGCTGCATCATTTGCAAACATTTACATATTGCTTGACCATCCATTCCATTAACTGCGTTGTATCCACCATCAGCACCACCACCACCACCATACTGGGCCTCATGCGCCCACAACCAGGGCTGCCATGGACGAGGACGAAGACGCGTCCATGATGTCGGTCGACGACACTTCGACGTCCACGGATCCACTCCTCGAGACCGCCGCCACACCAGCCTCTCGCTCCGTGACACCAGCGATCCCAGCCCGCCAACCCTCATCGGCGCGTCGCGGTCGCCCTAGGAACCAGAACCAGCCCACTCCGCGATCACAGCGAGTCCAAGCCCTCCGAGAAAGCACACCGAGAAAGCGCATGTTCGAATTGGACGTTGGAGATGCGCGATCGCCCCAGCGCTTGCTGGTCACCGTCGAAGCCGAAAGCTCGAGAGTCACTTCAAGAAGCAGCGTTAGTCGCCGTCTGTTTCAGCACTCGACGCCAACCGCTCGCAGCACAATTCGCGAAAGAGAAAGGACGACATCGGTTACGGTTCCCTTGCGCGGCGTGGAGGATGACGGAGACGACGAGATTACTCGACTTGGCGAATTTGTTACACCGAGGCCGCGCGGAAGGCCACCGCGAACAGCTACTCCAGGCACAGCCTTGCGCTCAGAGACACCGAAGACGACGACTCGCCCGATGCGACCAGCGACCCCCGGATTCCGACTGCGCGAAGCACGATCATCGTCCAAGGACGTCTTGGATTCGGATGTCACCATCGATTTCAGCAAGCTCGGGTTTGCATCAGGTACAAAGCGGCGGATGAGCTTGACACCAGGGCCTAGCAGTCGTGCGCCGAAGCGGAGGAAGAATGCTGCGGGTACATCGCCAGTGAGACAGCCTAGCTTGCTGGGTCCAGGCTCTACGCGAAGGAAACGAGGCCGTCCAAGGAAGGATTCGATTGCGCACGACGAGTTTTCCGCCCTCATAGACCGAGATCTTACGGCGCTTAAAGAAGACGACTCCGACCATGAGCCTGGGCCCCAAGCCGAATCCAGTCGCGACCAACAAAACCGAGACCGAATTCGAGATCAGGCTGAAGAACACATCCGTCGCGAGCGCATTTTCCAACGAGGACCGTCAAACGTTATCTTGAGCAATACATACATTGGAGCTCCCTCGAGTGATGTTCCTAGGCCAGACGAGTCGGAAGGTGACCTATGGTTGGACAACTCGTTCAACCCACCTCAAGACACACCGGCCGCTCGACGATGGAACGGGGCACCTAGAGCACAACCCTCCAGGGTCGAGCAGCTGCGACCGGAACCTGTGCGTCGAGAAACACCCCAATTGGAGTCGGAGCTTTCGCATGGAGACGAATACGTCGAGTTCGCAGACTTTGGTGGTGGCGAATCGCATAGCGACATCGAATCGGAGCTGGACGATGAGAACGCGACACCAAGGGATACACCCATTCAGCCGACAGAAACTAGGTTACCAGGCGAAGAATTCACAATGATAGACCCCTATTCGCTACTATCTATGCAGCAAAATTCGAGCTATGTCGAGGAGCAAGGCCACGAAGCGCAAAACGAGGAAGCTCGCGATGGCGACACGACAAGCTTTTACATCAATAAAACCATCAAGTCGTTACGAATAAGTCAGCAGGAGCAGGAATCGGACGAGCGGGAAACTCATAATAGGACAGTCGATTATTCGGTCAACTCCAATTTGACGACTACACCGAGGGCACCTATTCCCAGTTACGATCCGCTATATCGATATTCGACGGGTGATAACAGAGGAGAGGCTGAGGTTGTGGAGGAAATAGAGGAGGAGGAAGCACATGATGGTGGAGAGTCTTCGGAAAAGTGTCAGAGCAAAACTTCACGACTGCAAGAAAATTCGGGACGAGAGCCAGAACAAGGAGAAGAATGGGGCCCGGATCTGGATCGCGAACCAGAATCGGAACTGGCTCTTGAGCCTGGGTCTGATGCTGGCTTTGAACCAAGGACGGAATCAAAGCCTGAACGTGAAACGGAGGCGGAATTACAACATGAACCTGCACCCGAGCCCGAAGAATCCGACATATGGTTTCATCCAGAACCACGAAAGCGACGACGAGAACCGCAGAAGGAGAAACAGCATGAACGGGAACCGGAACCTGGGTCAAATCATGCGGCAAAATCCAGTACTTGGTCTCGGGCGGAACAACGACAAGAACATCACCACCCCGTACAGCTAGACTCTGACATTTCGCACCAGCGGCAACTAAATCAAACCCGGCGTCTGGTGGATGAACGGGAATCAGGCTTTGAGCCAATATCTGGGAACACGCCAGACTTCGAACCCCTGCCTGAACAACGGTCTCAATCACCGCAAGAACCTGAACTTGAGCCAGGGCCAGAATCTCACCATGAAGAGGAACAGGAGCAGGAGCAGGAGCTTGATGATAATATGGAGTTTGAGCGGCAGCAGGAAACTGAAGAAGAAGCACAGCAAGAACAAGCACAACAGCCCAAGCCATGGCGGGTAAAGTCTTCAAATCAACAGAAAACTCGGTCGTTCGGAACACAACTGGACGTAGATGTCCGTGGTAACGTTGGGGTGGATTCGTCAAACCGCTCAGTGGACTATGACAACTTTGAAACACAGGAATCAAGCGTCCTATATCACGGCCACCTTCGAAGAGAATCACGAGGCGCTCTACCACCTGAACCATCAAGTCCGCTATTTAGAAAATCCCAGACAGATGTTCAGCAGCAACAGACCACAAAGACAATCATACAGCCCTCTGTTGAGCGGCCTTCATCTGTGAATAACTCCACCCCCTTATATGCGTTGAATTGTATTCTGACCCCTGATGAGACACCATCTCCTGTCCCTCCAGAACACCGCGACTACGACTTTCAGTACGATTTTGGTTCTCATGCCAATGTAGAGGCCGACGACGACGCCGAGCTTAATGATGACGGGCATAGACAAGCCACCGAATCCGCCGAGCCCGCTCTAGACGAAGAGATGCCTTCTTCACCCCCGACCGGAAGCTTTTCCCGACACGAGCAGCCCCGCCCCGAACCTCCATTACGCCGAGTCCGATCGAACTCGAACGAAACCCCCGCCGATCGAGTCACATCTTTAACCTCGCCTGGTCTTCCGGCACTCAACCCCCAGAATTTGATGCCCCCACCCGACTCACAGAACCGGCCGGCTCTGTCTCCAATCATCAGAGCTGGTGAAGCACTGCGACAGGTAACCTCGGACCCTCCGTCGCCTCCAGGCAGGGGAAGCTTCTTGCGCAGCCCCTTCCGAGGGATGCCCGGGGTCCAAGACAGCCATTCGCCGTCACCGTCAGCCTCTAGGGTCTCCCAGTCTCAGCCTCAATCTCAACCTCAACCTCAACCTCAACTTCAGCCGTTGCCCCAAGCCCAATTCGAAACAACCCCTAACCCGCCCGAAAGATTGGGCTTTGGCTTGTTCAACTCGATTAAGAATCTGGTTGCCCAAGGAGCGCAAGTCCTATCGCCACGGAACGCCTCGAGGCAAGCTTCCGTCAATGCCGGAGAAAGTTCTAGACAAGCATCAGCGACCGCGGCTGGCACCACTAGTAGTCCCATGGAGATTTTCATGGACGACCCGTTCGGTCCCGATCCACCCGGGTCTTCTAGAGGAAGCACCGGGCGTAACTCGCTCTTTGGCAGCATGATGAGCAAGCATCGTGGCTCCGGTGGTAGTCAAGATGCTAGTGGTACTGCCAGTGCTAGTGCTAGCTTTGAGAAAAGAGATCAAGGCAGTGCTAACGTCAGCGCCAGTACTAGCTTTGAGAGACAAAGTCGTGCGAGTAGCGGTTCTGAGAGAGCGGCGTATGGTTATAACGGGCTGGGAAGGCAGTCGGAAGAGAATGCCGCGTTTGATAGAGGGTTTCAGGTCAATACCGGCTTTGGCAATCAACGCCAAATCTTCGGAGAACCGTATGTTCAAGGGGATGCTGGCTTTGGAAGCCAGCACCAGGTCTTCGCGGAACCACATGCCCAAGGCGGCTTCGGCTTTGACAGACAGCAACGACCCAACACCGGCTTTGGAGAATACCATGCTCAAGCTAACACCGGCTTTGAGAGGCCGACACAAGCGGACACTAGCTTCGGTGGAAGAAGTCAAGCCAACACCAGCTTTGGTCGACAAGCCATTGTCAACACAGGGTTCGACAGATCTCAGACTCAAGCCCAGGCCAGCAGTAGCCATGCCATAAAACAACCTTCAGTAACTACCAACTTCGACAGGCAACACCAACCAAACACCAGCTTCGGGCATCAGCAAGCTGAGGCCAGCACCACCCACGATAGGCAAGCTCAAGCCGAGACCAGCTTCGCAAGCCAATGTCAAGCTACCACAAGTTCTTCCACCAGACAACCCCAAGCCAACCCCATCTTCGATAGCACAACCCAGGGTCCATCCTCCTTCTCCGAGCGCCAACAACATGAACATGAACAAGAAGCCATGGACTGGCAAGCCGAAGAGGAAGCCAGCCATCACAGCCACGAAATCAACGTAACCCGTGACCGCTCCGCATCCGCGAGCCTTGGTTTCCACCATGATAGCAGCCGCAGCCATGATAACACCTCTGGCTTAGAACGTACTGCTGCTCGGGAAGGCTCTACTACTCGGAGATCAGCATCAGTCACAAAAGACCATCCGGAACCTGAACATGAAGCTCGTGGTCATGGTCATGGTTATAGGGAAGTCATCGAGACTGGAGCTGTTACGGAAGAGAGAGGGGAAGAGCGGGTATGGGGTGGCTATGGGAGCGATTCCAGGTCTGGCCGAAGCTTCAGGGAAAGTAGTCATTCGGGTTCTAGGATCCATGGGGGACCGCACTCGACTCGGAAACCATCAATTCCGAGCGAACCCAAAGCTCCGCGGTATAGGGAAACCGTTGAAGTTGAGACGGTGACTGAAGAACGAGAGGTAGAGCATGTGTGGGGAGCCTACGAAGGTGATGCCAGGGCTAGGTCCAGTTTTAGGGAGAGTAGTCATTCTTCTGGGAGACATGGTCACTCTCGGCATGATTCCGGCTCGAGGCATGGTTCGAGACATGGGTCTCGCCACGTATCGGAAGAGCGGGAGACGAAGGAGACAAGGGAAGAGCGGGAACGAAGCGAAGCAAGGGGGCGGGGAAGGAGTAGGGAGGTGACGGAGGACATTGTCGAAGAGGTCCGCGAGGAGTATGAGCATGAGAATGAGCATGAGAGCGGACACTTTCACTCCGGTGGTCGTCGCTCGAGTGTACGTGAAGATGGGAGCCGCAGACACAGTTCCTCCCGCTCTTCAAATCGATCCGACCGCGACCGGGGTAAAGCTTCGTCTTCTTCTCGACAGAGGTCGGAAGAGCAAGAGACTCGGTCAGATCGGGAAAGGCAAGAAGAACGTGGGGTGAGAGAGGCGACCGAGGAAATCACGGAAGAAGTCCGGGAAGAGTATGAGCATGAGCATGAGCACGAGCACGAGAGCGAAAGTGAACGCTATCAATCTGGTGGTCATGCCCGTGAGGAAGAGAGCCACCAACACGGAAGCAGCTCCCGCTCTACCCGATCCGATCGCGACCGAGGTAAAGCTTCAGCTTCGTCTGCTTCTTCTTCTAGGGGACATGGTGCTCACCGCCAGCCAAGCTCAGAACAAGAAGTGAGGCAAGTGCGCGAAGTGACAGAAGAGATCGTAGAAGGAGAGCGAAACGAGTATGAAGAGGAAAGAGGCGGTCGCCACTCTAGTCACGTCGAAGAAAGTCATCGTCACTGGTCACGCGGCGGGCCGCACGGGTCGCAGTCCAACAGCCGAGCTAACGAGTCAATAAAGCGAGATGATTACCGGCGCGGCGGCTCCTCGGGGGAGGGAGAAACCACCAGAGAGGTGACTGAAGTGGAGGAGGAGGACGGGGGGAATGAGTATGAGGAGGAGGAAAGGGGTGGGCATTCCTCAGGGTATGTGGATGAACAAAGTCAAAGACAAGAGTCTCAGTCATCCGGCCGAGATGGAGGGTCCTGGCGGAAAGATGAGCAGCAGCGAAGTTCGGCTGAGCGGGAAAGGAGTGAGGCCGAGGAAGGCCGAGATGAGGTTGAGGAGGAAAGTGAAGAGCATCGGACGAGTCGTAGTTCGGATGCCAGTCGTCAACGCGAGGTCGCACAGCACCGGGCGAGTCGTAGCTCGGAAGCAGGTCGCCAACACGAGTCGCTGCTCGAGCACAGCAGGACTTCCTCGCGAGGTGATCAACTGCAGAGTTCAGCAGATCGACAAGCACCTGAAGTGGAAAAGGCACGCCATCAGAACTACTCTGAAGGCGAAGACTACGGGCTGGCTGATGCAGAAGAGAATCATCAACGTGAAGAATCTCTGCTTCAGCAGCACGGAGACGAGCACGAGCACGAGCACGAACAAGACCATCAGATGGATTATATCGAAGATGCAAGTCATCACCAAGCTGAGGAGAGAGAGCACACGCAGGGGCAAGATGAAGAGGAAGAAGAGGAAGAAGAGGAGGAAGATCTCTTCCTTCTCGAAGCCATGCGTTCATCTCCCGCAGTCAAGCCCAAATCTCACTTGAAGGAGAACAATCCTGCCGGCATTCTTCCCTCCGCCCATAAGCCCCAGCCGAACTCCTCTCGCTGGCAATCCAACAAAAGTCAGATGGTTCGCGATCAGCTGAACACAGCCGCCGCCGCAGAAGACAAAAGTGACGAGCCGGAAGAAGAGTATAGCCTGCTTCATTCCAGTCGGGTCAAGAGGTTCCGGCCTGCGCTGAAGCCGGTTCCAAACAAGAAGGCGAACCTTTTGGGGTTCTTCTCATCGCCTGCAACTATTCCAGACATAAGCTTGCAGGGTCCAGAGGGTAATAATTCTTCTCTTGTGTCTGAGCCTGAAGCGCTCAACAGGCAAAGTCAAGCCAACGGCGGCAAGGTGTCATCTGGCTCGGGAGTCCTTTTGGAACGGTCACAAAATCTTGCTACAGGTCAGGCGGCTGCTGAGAGGAAGCTGGGAACGACTCCCATCGGTCGCGTTGCTGCATCTCAACGTCTCTCCGTGCCGGTTTCTCAGAAGCCGTTCCACCCTTCACCGTTGGGCACAGCTCCCGTGTTGTCAGGGCAACCCTCCAGACCCCTGCAACCGACACAGCGCGTACTCCGGCACTCTTCCTCCATCGTCGGCTCTTCTTCGCCACCACAGTCTGGAAGCATCTACACTCCAGTCCCGCAGAAACAAAACTTTACCCCCATGCGACGCGAGCCAGGCGCTAAGCTCCCCTTGTTCGAACGTAGCGGCGGTGGAACAAAGACTGACACTGGCACGACTGGTGTGCCTTCTCTCAAAGACAACAACGACACAGGTTCAGGCTCAGGCACCACTCCAACTTCGATAACCGACAAACCTAAGCAGTTGCTGTTTGGAATTAAGGCGTCCATTTCCAAGTTATTCTCGGATCCTCCCGCTAAGAGCGTTGAGTACGGACAGCCGAACGAAGACGAAAACGAGGACGAGATTGAAGAAGAGCACCAAGAGCCTGGAGAACAGCAGCCTGAAGAAGAGGACCTGGTACTGGACGACTTCGACGAGATAGTTGAACTCGAAGAAGAACAATCGTCTACTGAGGAAAGTTTCGAACCACCACAGCAGCTCAGAGCTCTGCCCGACAAGAACTCGTCCCCTATCAAGTCTGCATTGCGACCGCCGACTAAGAGTCGCACGCGCACGCCCGGTCGGGTGGTGGAGTTTGCCAATAGTGTAAGGCAGTCGCCTACTCCGAGACGTAACGGACGGAACGCAGACAACAACATTTCTGAACAAAGGCGTCCTGGTCCTGTGTTTGGGGAGCGTTCGGCTCCGGTGGTTATCACCAGCTCGCCTAGTACCCATACGGAGAGTAGTCCTGTTCCTAGTCCAGCTGCTGGTGAGGAGAGGATTCGGGAGAACAACACGCCTGAGAGGTATGAGGAGGATTATCAGGACCAGGAAGAGGATCACAAACCGGATGGCGAGGCGGAGATGGACAAGGACTTGGACAACGTGGACATGGATGTGGATGATGACATTGAATGGTACGAGCATGAACCGGCGCCCGCACTGGCACCAGCACGGGCAGCGGCACCAAGACAGGCACCGTCAATTCCTCGCCCACTAAGCCCTGGACGAGGACGTCAACAGGAACGGCAGCCACAATTCGGTGCTGCCTCGCAACGTCAACCACTACAACCGCCGCTCATCAAACCTACATCAACCCTTGAGAACTCCCCCGTTATTCGCTCGGGCGTTTCTCTCTTCGGTCACGGTCGGCATAGACCACTACCGCCTCCTATTCCGCCTTCTAAGCGTAATATCGTTACGCCTCTCCAGCCTCTTCAACCTCCTCGGCCGTTGCAGCCACTCTACCCTACTCTACCACAACTCTCTCCTCTTACTGAACAACAACTCTCTCAGCCCTCAATGTCGACTTCAGCCTTGGCTTCGACCTCTCAGCACTATAACGGCCAAGTTTCCAACGCCGCTTCCACCTCAGCCGGCGCTTCATCCTCCTTCTACGCCGCCAACTCGTCTGGCACTTCAGCCGTCACTTACACGTCTCACAACCAACTCCCAATCCAGGAACAACAACTCCCCCCACCAACCCCCAACTGGACCACTTCCCACTGGGAAATCCTCTCCTCGGTCATAACCCACCACCGTTCCCTTAACCCCCGCACCCTCACAAAGGGTAAACGTCCTCTCCTCCCTTACTCTCTCCAGTCCTTCCTAGCCAAAACATACACCCCCTCTCCCCTCACAAACTCAACACGACCCTGTTTCCGGTCTTCCTATCGACGAGTCAGTGACCATCGAACAATGGCATTTGGACGTCGTCTATGAGTTCAGGGAGATGTTTAGGCGGGTTTGGGGAAGTGATGAACTTTATGGAGGAGTTTTTGGGATGCAAGAAAATGAAAAAGGGGGGTGGAGTGAAGGGGAGGTTGTGAGGCGGGTTTATGCTTTTCTGGTGGGGGAACGGAGGAGAGTGGAGGGTAGGGTTGATCGGAGTAGAAGAATGGGGAGGGGTGTTGTTCGGTGATGATTTGGATGTGTTTGTTATGTTGTGGTTATAGATGGGATAGGGGTGTAAGGATTATGGGGAGAAGAGAAAGGGAGTGTAAGAGGAGAAGGAAGGAAAAGGAGAAGAACAAAGTGAAAGAAGGACTGGATACCCAAAGTATGGATGCATGAGTAGGATATATCAAGTTGTTGTTAATGGTTCTTTGTATAAACATTGGTTCGTTTTCTAGACTCAGAAATTTGGACATACATACAATATCACATTTTGCAACACTACTGCCAAAGACTCAAAACTCAAATATTGATGCGGTTTATCGTGCTCATTTCAATACGCCCAACTAATATCATGTCTAAGCGTAATGTTAGACAAACCCCAAGTTGCTAAAACCCTAAACCGTCCCCCCATTCATACCCGTTTCTTCTGTCTTTCAGAGTTGATTACTCAAGTTGAGAGGCCTGGTTCGTATAAAGAACATCAACCACATTGCTGAGCTTCTCGATGGTCTTCAGCGCCGCATCGTACGAATCATCCCGGTGCGTCTCATCGTAGATGATGAGGCAGCCGGCACCCTGGTCCAGCACACCGATGATCACCTTATCCAGGATCATCTGCGAGAGCTTCCTTTCCACCTGCTGGGTATCCAAACCGACCATCTTGGCAATGTGATCAATCTCCACGCGGCTGAAGGGCTCAATGACCTTGATCAGGTTCTGCTCCAACATGGCATCGTACAGGCGTCGCAGATGGTTGCGGATGAAGGTATCGCTGCCGAGCTCGTACCGGTAGGCGGCCAGGGCGCGCTCGTACTCCTCGAGGGATCGGTTGCTGTGGGCGCGGGCGATGGCCTTCATGGCCTCGAGCGACTTGCCGGCGTACTTGACGGCCTGCTTGGAGGTCATGAGCTGGTTGACGTCGTCGGCGAGGTTGAGCATGATCTTGCAGAGAAGCATGTACTGCAGCGCAGCCTGGGCCCGCTGTGGCTCGTCCTGCGTGTGGTAGCCGTCCAACGCCTCAATGAAGTAACTGAAGGCCGTCTGGAAGTCCTTGTCCTCGGCGTGCAGCATGCCCGACTGCATGTCCAGGTTGGCCTGGAGCAGAGGAGGAGTGTAGACGGAGGCCGCGCTCGTGCGCGCGCTGGTGAGGGCGGCGCGGGCCTTGGCGATGTTGCCAAGGGCGTGGTATACCCGCGACTCGAGTAGCTGGACTTCGACGAGGACGAGCTTGTCGTCCATGCGCTTGAGCTCACGGAGGAGGCCGTTGATGAGGGTCAGGGCATCGTAGTAGGACTGCTTGGCCATGTACAGGGCGACGAGGCGGGTTTCGAGGTTCTGGCGGAGGAAGGAGCGGCGCTCTGATGTGGCCCATTCTATACACGACTTGGTGACGGAAATCTGGACATCAAGGGAGTCGGGAATGGGTTCGAAGAGGTCGAGGAGCTGACGGACTGTGTGAGTAAGTGTTAGTATCCTCATGAGCTTGTATAGTAGAGCCAAGCTAATGGCGGGGTCGTACCGAGCTTTGCCGTCTTTGCCTTTGCGAACGAAGAGAGAACTGTGCGGCTCTGAGTTACGAGGTCTACGAGGCCTTGTGTGTTCCTGTAAAGAGTGATGGGAGGTTAGTGACCACGCCCCTCCTCGATGACCACGACATACAACCCGCCACTCTTACTTCTCGTCGCGATAGAGCTCTCCCAGGTTGACCAAAGCTGTCTCGTATTCCCGAACGGCGGCGTCAGAGGTAACTGATGGCGGCTTGGAGATGATGTCCTTGTAAATCTGCTCGGCCTGGCGAGGATCGGTCGAAACCACCTTCTGCGCCTCGCGCACTCTCTCTGATGCTTCGCCCTGGGCCATTGTGTCGTGTGCTGTTGGTCTCGATCGCCAAGTGGAAATCGGGAGTGGTATAAATGGAAAGTTTAAATATCGAATTTGGTGATGATTATTCGAGGTCGTGGTGGTATATTCGGCGTACCGGTGGTCGCAGAGCGTCGTCGGAGAGGGTTGGTGGTTGGAGGTTGTTTGGGTGTTGAAGTTGGAGCTCAGGTTGTTCCCCGTTGTCGTGACGAACCTCACCACAGCAGCTGTTACCCAAGTGGAAGTGCAGGCGGCATGCCACTAACGAGAACCACTGTACGTACCGCTAGGTTGCCAGGCGCGACGTAATTAGCTGGAGACACCCACCTACACATCCCTGCCATCTGGCGGCAGGCAAGCCCAGCTCTCGGCAGCTCAGGCCCTGTCCATCATCAGACAGTGAAGCTCTAACACTCTGAGACTAAGTCTTTAGGAAAGCGCCAAGAAGGCGGTGAAGAGTCTTGCCGCTAGACCCCGCCAAAATTTCTCCAGAGGAAGGGGACGGGAGCTGTCAAACTGCCCGTCTCGACTGGTGCTCCCCAATTGGCGACAGACACTCCCGGCATCCATCCATCCATCAATCCATCCCAAGGTCGAGACCGTATCACAGCACCTGGGCTTTGCGACTTCCTCGGTGAACCGACAAACTTCAACCCTACCGTTTTTATACAACACATCAACATCTTTACACTCGATACTCTTCGGCCTCGATAGCCTTCCATCTACGACCCCTTCGACATCATCAACAGAGAAACACCGTCACCATGAAGGTACTCAGGCCTACCATACGCGACACCGATCAAGAGTCGCATACCTATTTCCAGGCTCACCACTGACATTTCTTCAACAGATCAAAGCCCTCAGCCGAAACATCTCGGCCCAACAGGCCCCCGGTAACGACGTCACCCGCGCACCTCGCAACCTTGCGCCCGAACTCCATCCCTTCGAGCGCGCTCGCGAGTACAAGAGAGCCCTCAATGCCGTCAAGTTGGAGAGAGTCTTCGCCAAGCCGTTCCTCGGCCAGCTAGGAAATGGCCACGTTCAGGGTGTCTACAGCATGGCCAAGGACAAGAACTCGCTATCTACCATCGCTTCCGGTGCTGGCGACGGTATCGTCAAGGTCTGGGATCTCACAACACGGGACGAAGCATGGAAGGTCGCCGCCCACAACAACATCGTCAAGGGAATGACCTTCACCAACGACAAGAAGCTCCTCACATGCGCCACCGACGGCATCAAGCTTTGGGACCCTTATACCAAGTCCGACACTCCTACCCCACTTGCGACATGGCAAGAAGGCGGACCATACACGGCCCTCTCGTTCCACCGCACCGCCAACTCCTTCGTCGCCTCCTCGGGTGCCGGCTGCATTCGCGTTTGGGATCTGGAGCACAGCACGGCTCCTCAGACAATACAGTGGCCGAATCACACCGACACCATCACCGACGTTTGCTTCAACCAGGTTGAGACCTCTATCGTTGGTTCCGTCGGCACCGATCGCTCCGTTATTCTCTTCGATTTGCGCACCAACATGCCCGTCATCAAGACCGTTCTCAAGTTCGCCGCCAACCGCATTGTCTTCAACCCCATGGAGGCCATGAACATGGCCGTTGCCTCGGAAGATCACAACATCTACCTTTTCGACGCCAGGAACTTCACCAAGGCCCAAAACATTCAGAAGGGTCACGTTGCGGCGGTTATGGATGTCGAGTTCTCCCCCACCGGTGAGGAGCTCGTGTCTGGTTCGTACGATCGCACAATCAGGGTGTGGCGTCGCGACCAGGGCATGTCTCGCGACGTTTACCACACCAAGCGTATGCAGAGGGTGTTCCGGACGACCTGGACTATGGATTCCAAGTACCTTCTCAGCGGCAGTGACGACGTAGGTCTTCTCTGGTTTATTTTCTCGTTGATCAGCACAGCTAACGTGACATGCAGGGTAACATCCGCTTGTGGCGTGCGAATGCCTCCGAGCGCAGCGGTGTCAAGGCGACCAAGCAGAGACAGGCGCTCGAGTACAACAAGACCTTGGTCGAGAGGTATTCGCACATGCCCGAGATCAAGCGTATCTCCCGCCACAGACACTTGCCCAAGGTGGTCAAGAAGGCGGCCGAGATCAAGCGCGAGGAGCTTGCGGCCATCAAGAGGAGGGAGGAGAACGAGAGGAAACACACCGTCAAGCAGTTCGAGAAGCGCAAGGCCGAGAGAGAGAAGGCCATCCTGGCCAAGCTGGAGTAATTGTGTGGTGTTCTGTTGGGCTTTCGTGTGCCATGGTTTGTGCGGTCTCTCATGCTTTACGCTATCTATGCGTTTATCATTTTTCTTGCATTGGGCGGCGTTTATTGTTAATGGGAAAATTGTCAGGCTATTTATTGATGAGGCGATTAGGCAGCGGAGTCTCACTCGTTTTATATACGGAGTTCGATACCATACATTTGAAGACAACTATTGATCACCTTTACTCCCCATACGAGTTGCAAACCTATGTTATTCAACTGACCACCACGCTCGATACTAGATAAATAGCGAGCTGCTGAACAGGCATGAACACGAAAGTCAATCCCGCACAGTCTACCTTATATCCAACCTTCGAGCCGGCCATATGCTTCGAGGGAACAAGATTGTCTGCAAGCATGTAGGTCCTATCGTGCGGGTGCCAAATCACTGGAGATGCTTTTCTGGCCGGGCTCTGGCGGAGTCGGATCCTGGAGGGCATTGACTGGAGAGTCATGGACCCGGTGCCCAAGCTGTCTTCCAAGTACCGGGCACCCTCATGGTCCTGGGCTTTCGTGGATGCACCAGTTTACCCAAAACTCCCCAGCGCCGTTTTCCAGAATCTTGTAAGGCTGGTCCTAGTGAAAGTCCAGCCGGAGGGACCAAACACTAACACAGGAAGGCGCGTGTCCGCAGGACATCTGGTTCTGGACGGTCTACTCATCCAAGCCAAAATCAGACATAAATTGTCGGAAGAGCCAGGAGAAGACAACAGTTATATTGTTGCTCTACGCTCGACGACGACGACTTTCTGGCCATCTGAGAGTTCCTGTTTTGGTGTTTCCTGCTTTCAGGTTCTTCGGAAACCGCGATGTCGATGGCGTGAATTTGAGCTTTCGTTACGTCTGGACCACCACCAGGAGGACACTCGCCTTGACGAACACCACCAAAATCTCCATTTCGTTCCAATCAACTCGGACCAAATCATGATCCAGGATGAATGCGCCTCGGACATCATGTTTTTGATACTCGCTCCGCTCTACGATAGGCGCACTGGGCAGCTTCTTCATCACTGCCGAATCGGACATTTTGTTTTGATGGAGAGAGAGATTCAAGAAAAACTTGGCTTTCATCCCCGGGAAGAAGATGGATTGATGGTCTTGAGGTCTGACCAGAAGCTGACTAGGATCACGGTAGTCTAGTTCTAAGGCTTACTGAAGAATCAGGATATGGCCAAATTGAGTGGATTTAAGGTGTCTTGAGACAACCTTCCGTGGTCTGATGTCCAACCAAACTAAAGCTGCCATTTGGCCATTGGGAATTTGCACTGAGTGGATCGTACGAGACGTATTTGAACCTCGGTTTTGGGAGCGCCCCCAAAGTCGACTTTTTTCTAATCAAGAACCACCTTGCCTATCGAAAGAACTCTCCTGGTGACTATTCCACCACCCGGGCCCTCACTACCAATGGACCTGCCCCTTCAATGGGCTATCTTCGTCCTTCTCCGGAGGGGCACCCCATTCGTAAGACAGAGCTCTGTACGGCTGAGTACTCAAGCTTTCTGGATCGAACTCGATATGGTGCAGTGTGGCACAAACAGGCTGAGAGTCTTGAGTCGAAGATGGCACGGATATATCGAGAGACTCAATGAGAAGGAGGCGGATGTGATTCTCGGCGAGAAGAGGTTGATACGGATATCCTCCAGCCTCAGCACCCGAGCAACTTGGATCCTCAGCAACTGGCCCGCCAACATCATCTTCCGAGGGCCAGAATAAGTCCTCGAACTCCTCGTCCTCTCCCACAGCCTGCTTATCACAATCAGTAAATCTGAGAACAGACGAAAGAGTGTTCGAAGGTGCACCAACCGCTTTGAAAAACGACATTGACACTACTGAGCTAAGTAATGGGATTATGAAACAAAGCGCCTTTTCTGTCCGGCTATCCTCCTTTCGTGGTGCTGGAACTGCCCGTCTGTCGGTCTCCTATCCGGTTCGAGAATTTGACCAAAAATGAAATGATGTGGAAAACAAGAAGATACCTCTATCCACGACTGTATGTGTCGTTGACAATCTGACTTCAAGTGTCTTCAGCCTGGTTCGCTTTCACAACCCTTGATGCCTAAAGGCAACCCCGCGTGTACAGCCCCCAAACTCCAACCACTCACCTCGATAGGGACCGGAAATTGAGCCAATCAACATCAGCAACATGAAGTCAAATATGCACATTTGCTTGTGTGGCTGATGGTTATCATGCTGTTGACATATGGATGAGTGGGCTTGGGCGAATTGTGACTTGATAATAGGCTCCCAGCATGATAAAGTCTACGGTGAGAGGAGCCTTGTTCTGAAATTGCACGTTCTGCTCGACGTCACCTTCAGTGGCAGTAACTCCTTTACACAGAGGTCTGTATGACTGCGTGATTTTCTGGTACGAGGGCTGTCATCTCATTTATTAATAAGAAAATCTTAGGCACTGAAGTGACACCGAGTGGATCGATGTGGTTCAATCCCAACTATTGAATAGATCCGTGGATACTTACCTACGTTCAAGCGATTTGCAGTATTGTCACAACTACGTCTTTTCACTGTTGTTTTGAGAACCTACAAGCTACAAACTTTGTTATGGACAGCAAGCAACGGTAATATGGCCATAACGTTGATAGCGTCAAGCGTGCTCTTCAGGCTGTGATCTTATTACCCGCCTCTTTTTCCCCAGACTTTTGTCTCTGTTTGGACTGGTCTTTCGGTGCCTCTCATTATTCTTTAGTCTAGCCCAACGTCTATTCGGCATTCCCTAGGCGTTGTTACAGTTTACCAGCTGGATACTATTATATACCGTGTTAAACACGCTAGACGCCACGGTAACCGTATATCCATGAAGAAATAACACTTCGATTAGAGCAACTTCAAAGTTGGGAAATGAATGGAGAAGTCGAAGTTCGATTAAGAGGATATACAGAGGTATTTCACGGCATGTATCGAGATTCATCCAAGGAAAGTCTGTCTACGTGCATCAAAGATCCTACGCTACCTTGTCTTTTATGTTTCCAACGTTAGTCGGTATATGTCAAGTTGTAATACATACCTCTAGGTAAATTCATCTGTCTCACTTTGTCCCCAACATGATCCGCGCCTTCGTGGTATTTCTTAAAATCTACCACAATCTCTGCGACACTTTCTCGAAACTCCGAACGATAAACTCATTCTTTCTGTCTTGGCTCTTCTAATACAAGGACTAGTTCAACTTGGTCTTCCTTACAGTCTGAGCATCGGTTCTTGGTTGTCCCTCGGTTTCTTGCTTCAACCTCCTCTTGGGCAGAAAGTCAGTGGGTGTCACGACAAGACAACCAACCTGGCTCACAACCACGGGTACCCGAGCGCCTGTATCCAAATTAAAAGGTGCTCGTGCACTACCCATTTGTACCGGAACCAACCCTGCCCAACCCTCAGCAACCCGGTATTCGCCAATCCTATTTTGTGAGACAGCCCCATCATCTTTGCGTAAAATACATGAGTGCTGTCGTATGTCGTTAGTAGGCTGGAACGGCGGACTATAGCAACAGCCTGAAGGTATACATCTATTACCGACTTGGTATAATCCGGCGTGATCTTCCCAGTGCAGTCGTTCGCTATTCCCAACATTGTATAAACATAATCTCTTGGATCTGTTGCCTTAAACCCGTTCAACAGGCACAGTTTCATCCACCTAGCGAGTGGTGTCTTTTTTCTTGTCATCTTCAGTTTCCTCAAAGTGATCACTTGAGCTGCTGAACTGTTGATAGTCTGAGACCTCTGCCACTCAAGCAGACGTATAAGAAGCACATCTTGCTGAGATGATGCCTGTATACTGTTGGCCATCCACATCTCCAACGCGTTTTCAAACCTCTCCTTCGTTATCGCACCATTGCCGCACAAAATCACGTAGTCTTTCGCCAGTACAAACTCCTGGATAATCCACACCCGACGCCAATACGATGCCCAACAAAGCAGCATGAGCCCAAATGACATCTTTTCAGAGTTCCCAATCCCACTGAAATGTATGCCTGGCAGCTTATATATGAAACCGGTCGTGAACCATTCACTCTTGAAGTTCCATCCCACACCCTTGTTGACCGTTTCCAACTTCTCCATGGTAGCTTCGAGACTCTTCCTGTATTCTTTGTTTTCATTTCCCACAGCCACCTCAGTGGCGAGTTGCTTCAGGGTATGATGAACCCTCCCCCGGGGGTGTCTCAATTTATAGACGCCTTCACGCAATTTTCTCAGAGTCCCTTCTGGCACTTCTTTAAACTCCATGCCCCGTTCGTTGATCATCCGTATCGCCTCCTCCGCCAGTCCCCAGGCATCCCAACCACACCAAGACCATCTTTGCAGACGCGAAGATGTCTCTCATTAACCCCACTTGATGACCCTTCTCATTGTCGTCGATTTGGTTGATGCACAAGGCATCCACCCAGAGCGGCATCGTTGTATTACCGCTCATATTAAAATCAGCATGGATGACAGCCTTGAGGGCATCATAGAGATTCTGACAAATGTGGACTGTATGTCCATCGATGTTTATTGTCGGGAGCTCCGTATTCGTGTCCGGGGCCGGTCCACATTCGTATGAAAGAGCTCGGTATGCTTGAGGGCTAGCATTGTCCAAGTCCAACTGAACGTTTTGTAATCTGGGGGAGATAACGTACTGGCCGTCACCTCGAAGGAGGGAACATGTAGGTGAGTGAGAGTCGAGGAAGAGCAAGCGGATGTGCTTGCCATGCTGTGGAGGCTGGAGAGGCTGGTAAGGGTATACGGTGGTTTTCAGATCTTCATCAGTGGACATGCTAGAAGGCTCTTGTAAAGGTCCGGGCTATTGTAAAGAAGGGAGCTCTACATGATATTCCGACCGGTGTTCGGGATGGGCAACAGGAGCCGTTGATGGAGGGTTATGCTTTGGGCTTCGACAGTGATTGAGGTCAAAATCGACGGCGACTGTTCTCGAGTCCATAATTTCTGTGTTGTGATCAGTCTCTAGAGCTGGGGCTGAAGAAGGCAGCATCGCGCTTGTCTCCGTCTGGACCACCAATGATGCCACAGACAGGCTATGATCGAAGATATGGGGTCAGTCAGTTTTGCTGTGTTGATGAGTTGTCCTTGGTTGCGTGATTGTTTAAATGGTGCAGGAATGAATTGTTGGGTCTGACATTGGGCATAACTCTGCTTTGGTGGCAGCTTTATCGCTTCAACGAACTTTGTCGGAGATTCATTATTTGCTTCTGATTCGCGAGCAAGTCTGGAATAATGCCGGTGGTGGCTGAGGCTGTGTCAACGGTTGGATTGACAACCTTTCGGTCAACTTCAATTGTGTCAATGTCGAAATATCACAACACTTAAGACCAACTCTCCCCTCTTTTGATTCTATCTTCATCCCTTGATGTCCACATAGCCAAGTTACGGTCGCCGCTCAGGCTGGAACACCAGGCAAGTGTCAGCCACAGCCTCAAGTTATCAACTCGTCCGCAATGTCCTCCAACAGCACGTCAGACTTCGGGCCCCAGAGTGAGCAGTCTTTCTCCCCTCAAGAAGACAGGGAGTTGCCACCAACTTCTTGCAAAGCGTCGGAGGATCCCACTGGCAATTATCCCTACCAGCCTCTCCAGTCCAACGGGCACATACGCCTCTTGCTCCTCGAGCACCCAGGCCCCTCTTCCACTCATGACACCCCAGTCATCTCAGCTACCCTGCAGGAAGTCAAGTTATCTGTAGTCGGAGAAACGCCCTTCCAGACGTACAAAGCCCTTTCTTACGAATGGGGTCTTCCTCTTTCAAACCCCTCAGACACCCCGACGATATTTCTTGACAACTACCCTATCCGCATCCGCCAGAATTTGTATGATGCCTTCCAAAGCATCCTCCACAATCACCGCCGACTTTACGGTGGATCGCCCCTCTATCTCAGGGTGGATGCCCTGTGCATCAATCAGCTTAATGATGAGGAAAAGGGTCACCAAGTTCAGTTGATGAGAAAGATATACGAAGGCGCAGAGATGGTAATCATTTAGTTGGGCATGGGGATCAAATGCAATGATAGAGCGATAGACGTGCTTAGCATGGATCTTAGGGGTCTGCAAAGGTATCTAAGTCATGGAAAACTGACTGACGAGGAATGGGAGAGGATCAAGGAGCTTTATAGCGAGGCGACCTACTGGGAAATGGTGTGGATTTTGCAGGAGTTCGTGTTGGCGAGGAATTACGTTGTCTTGTGTAGCGGGGCATTGATAACCAAAGAAATATTTGAACGGGGTTTGGGGGTTGCTAAAGATGGATCAATGAGGGAGGATCGAGACCCTCTGACCTACGGGGAGTTTCCGGACTGGCCCGACGACCTCTTGAAATGGTACTCGCCGGTAGTTCCACTCATCGTTTTTAGGGAGTCAAGACATTCAGCATTCCGTTCGGAGGTTACCCTCGACATTTGGCTGGATATGATGTGTGGCGACCAATACCAGGCGACAGATTCCAGGGACTATGTCTTTGCTGTGTTGGGCATCTCGGACGACGGAGACAGCATTGTCCCCGATTATAAGCTGTCAACTTGGGGGGTATTCTGTTTGGCCTTGTCAACCCAGACAGTGAGGAACAAACTATCAGACAGTGCCGATCTTTACAACATCCAGCATTGGGGAGGTCTCATGGGGATCCCAAAGAATCTGGCTTCGGAGCTCCTGGAAAGGATGGTATTAGCAACATGCAAGACCGAGCCTGGAAAATTCCTTTCAGACCAACGGATGTCTATGAGATATTGGCCACATTAGTATAACTCAAGACAGGCAAGAGACCTGGAAGTAGTTGAGACTGAGGAAACGGGCAATTCAAATAGCACATAGGTACTCACAATCTGTTGTAACGTATTTTCTCCCACTTGGTAACAGAAGAAGGGAACTATAACATAATAGAGGGAAAACAGACAATAAAGACGTAACCCATCCGGGACAGAGAGCCGTGGCATTACCACTACAGGTGAATAAGTCTAAATCCCTCCTGACCCCGATCACAAAGAATCCTGTGTGAACCTGATTTCACTTGGAGAAAAAGCAAAGCAATAGCAGAGACACTTACATCGTATATATCCGCATGTTAAACACACAGCCCCATACCCCGCTGCTAAGACAGACAGACTAACCGGCTTTTGTGATGATTCGGGCAGCTCTAGGTGCAGGTCTATCTGGAGTGCTTTCCCTGGGGTTCATCTTCAGCCATCATATCCGCTGAATATTGTAGACTGTGGGAAGATGGCAGATGTGTTAGCGATAGGCCCTCGGTGTACCAGACTGTGTCAAAGCACAACCCCTTCAAGAGGAATACTATACTTTCCGTACCGTATTTTGGCGCCTGTAATTCTGCTGAATGAGTGAACAGCGAGTGATTGCCTCGTTCCACTACCAACCGCTCTCCTGCCATGTAATTCTCCTTCCAAATGTGCCCAACACACAAAAAAAAAAAAAAGCCTGCGAAACAGACGATGACGAAACCACTGATCCTCCGACCAAGTGTCTAGAAGTTTCAACCTTGATCTGAGTACAAGTCAACAGACAAGTGACTGAATAACGGAATGACATACCTTCCCCATCTTATTGTCCTCGCATCACGCCGTCGCGCGGAATACCATAAGAAATGGTCTCATCTCCCGTCCGTTTCCCTAGAAACCCAAGCTCTCCCTCCCGCCTTTCGACGACCTTCACCCGTAACTTACACCCTACGGTCCAATGACACCAGCTCGCATTGACTCGACGAGCAACTTGAAAAAAAAAGACCAAAAAAAAAAGAATCAGACGGTCAATCTTGGCAACGGCCAAATACTTATTGAACGGACTTTGACCAATAGCTGACCCACCCACTGCCTATCTCCCTTCATGTACCCCTCGGGTACCGTATATCTTTATCCTCCAGCTTTCAACTCGACCTCACCTTTCCTGCATCCACTCCAGTCTCACCTTGTTGCGATATCAGAGGCAGCAACCTGTCGAGTGCGGTATAGCATCATCGTCGGTTCACGTTCTGCGCTAAGGGTAAGTGAGCAAGTTTATCAAGAACGATTGTGATTTTGCCAGTGGATGGATTTTCGTCGGCGATGTTTGCCTCATTTCATTGAGATGATGCCGATATTTGTTGCCTCGAGTCACGTTGTCGTTGTCGCGAACCGCCTTCTTTTGTCGCAGTTCGTCAAACAACGCTGACCTCTCCCTCACTCCGGGCACATCGCTCATCTTCTGGAAAGATCGAGATCACCTTCAGCCGCCTCTTGTCTTGATCTGACATTCATGTCGCCGCGAATCGAAGCTGACCTTTCACCTCCAGACTTTCCCAGTCGCAATCAACCAAACGGGCCAATACTCCGGCAGAAAAAGGGAACAGCCCCATCCTTCTTTGACCACTCATAGGCGCAAGAGCAACTCCTCCGTGAGTAAATCCCCAAAATGGGCAACACCAGAAAGTCACCCAGCAAGCTGGGCCAGTCGCCCGCGGTGAAGTCTCATCACGCCCGCGTCAACTCCACTTCTAGCAACGCGTTCGGTGGCCCCTCGACCCCTTCCAAACTGGGCGGCGGTGGCGGCGGCGGCGGCAGCGCAAGGAAGAACGAGAGCAGCACCCCAGCGAAGGAGTGGAACTTCACCTACCTGCCCCCGAGCCACGAGGAGCGTAAGAAGAACGGTCGCGTCGAAGGCAGGAACTTGATCACTTGGAGCCGTAAGTACCCCGCCCGTCCTTTGTCGCAGGCAATGAACCCCATCTATCTCGAAGCAAAATCACTAACCATCCCTCCAGGTCCCCGCATGGCCGAAAAGCTTCTCCTACACATCCAATACGAATGCTCCCGCTACCGCGTCGACATCCCCTGGGACTCCATCGCCCACCGTCTACACCCAGGCTCAACCGGCAGCGCCATCCATCAGCACCTCAACCGCTTGCGCGGCCACCTAATTGCCGAAGGCCACTTGGTCCCGCCCATCTGTCAGAAGCCCGGCTCGCGCGTCTTCGTCGACCCGCACGTTCGCGGCTACATCCGCGCTAACCAGGAGAACCCGGATGATCAGCTGACTACGCGTCCTGTGAGGTTTGACGAGCCGCTTGAGGACCGCAAGTTTAACCTGCCAGATGCTGTGGAGAACTTTGGTAGAGGAGGTGGAGGAGGTGGTAACTACGGCGGCGGCGGCGGCAGCGGTGCTGGTACCCCCCGTCGTGGCAGCGTCAACGGCAACGGCACCCCTCTGGGACGCACCCCTGGTGGTATCCTTGCAGGTGTTGGTCCCATTGGTGATAATGGCATTGGCAGCTCTGGCGGTAGTGGAGGTGGGCGCATGAGAGCCAGCCGTGGCAGCGGTCGTGGTGTCGTCAAGATCAAGCGCGAGCCTTCCCCTGATCCGGCTGACCTTGATTCTGATGAGGAGTACCGCCCAGGTGCTAAGAAGGTTCCTAAGTCGGCGGCTCGCCGGTCGGCTAGAGCTAAGAAGGTGAATACTCGCCCGACCTATGCGGAAGAGGAGGACGATGACATGGAGTATTACGGCGTGGTTCCGCGTCAGTCTGTCGAGCAGTATCAGCAGGGCGAAGCTGATGTTGCTGATGACGAGGGCGAGGCTGAGGATTACGGCGCTGATGCTGATGAGTATTTTTTGCGGTACGATTTGGACAATGATCGCCGGGGCTCTGGTGTTGGTGCTGGTAACGGCAAAGGTAATCGTATCGGTAGTGTCCCTTCGTATGTTCCTCAGTTCGACGACGAGGGCGAGGATGCTGATGTAAGTTCCTTACTCTTTTCTCATCCATCACCGGTATCTGACCTGTTTGCTGACTCTTTTTGCCCTAAAGTTCGAAGGCCTTGACTCTCCCCCAAAGCCTGCTCAAGTGCGCCAGGCGAACAACAACGGCTACCCCACCAGAAACGAGTATCGTCTCCCTCCGATCACCAACCTCATGCGCAACACCAACGCAAACGCCGAAGACGACTACAGCCACGGCGCGAACGAGGCAATGTTCAGCGACCCCCGCTCCCCCTCGGCCTGGGCAGTGCTTCTGAAGCGGTGGCTATGTCTAAGGCCCCGCCCCCGCCCTTGATGCGGCCCGACTTCTACAACTTTGCCAGTGCCCTGCATTCCGGAGGAGATGGAAACTATCACTCCCAGCCCATGCAAGGCAGCAGCAGCCATGGTCACGGCCAGGACACCCAGTACTCCCACGCATTTAGCCAACAGGGTCGGTCCCAGGATCCCTTTTTGGGTCAGAATAACCGCGCCTCCAGCAAGGGCGATGGCAACCAGATGTTCGACTTCCAATCGGAGCCGGATGATGACGATGGCCATGAGCTCGAGCAGTCGCCTTCCAAGAGGGCGAAGCATGCTTGAAGAAACGGGCCGCCCGCTTCACCCAGTTCGGCAACCAGCGCAATCAGGCATACACGTGGATGAAATTGCAGGCCTCTGCTCACACCTACCCATAAGTATGGAATTCCTCGTTGGAAATTTCAGTTATTTCTTTCTTTCTTTCGGTTTTCTTTGCTGTCTTTTTTTCTTCCTCTTCGGTTGCTGTGGAGTGGCTTTTTTTTATCCCAGTTTGTCGTCAGGCATTATGGGAGAGAAAGACTACTCACACCAACCGAAGGAAAAGTGAGCCGTTTGTTTTTCTGTTTCTCTTTCATTTCGTTGCAGATTCCTTGCCGATCTTTGTCGTTTTATCGCAAAAGGAGTATTGACAGAGGAGCATTTATAGCAGGAGGTGGCGCTAAAGGATATTGACCAGCGTTGGGCCAGCTATAACAGACATCGGTAGAGCATGGAAGTCAGAGCCAATGTTGCTCTTACGGACATGTCGTCTGTTGTGGAGGACTGTGCTTTCTTAGGCGAAGTTATGGTGGACAACGGTGGAGTTTCGGAGCTGAGCATTTGAAGGCGTTGTCTAGCTGCACCGTGACATCCAAGCAGCGCAGGGCCAGATTGCATTAGGGACCATCTTGTTGAGATTGGCTCGTTTCTTCATCCCCGGTCATATAAGGTGTGTGGTGGAAAATTTGTGATCTGCCGGCTCACATTAGCTTCCTTCCTATTCTGCTCTTGAGCCCGGAGGATCAAGGGACCATACATTTATATATCGGAGCTGGCATCATCGTTTATAGCTGTTAGTCAATGAGAGGTACTCACAAACAACTCCGTTTGTTGAGCAGCTTATGTGCATGTCAAGATTCCATTCGCAGTGGGTATGCTTGACAACGATCGACGCACCCACACACAGTAAGTACAATTAATAAGAAGGAACGAATATGGAGAAAAAGAAGAATGGGTAAGTAACTTCAGGAAGGAAAAAAAGGAAGGAAAAAAAGGAAGGAAAAAAACATACAACACCAGGGATTCGCTGGTCGTCACCGACCCAACTACTAGTCTGGCCCTCACTGGCTTATCTATGGGAGAGCGGACGGGATCCCGAGTTTTCCAGTGGGTATGGTCGTATGTGCTTATTCTTTTCTTAAAGTCTGCTTATAACTCTAGCAATGGATTGACAACTGGGGCTGGAGCTGGAGGTGATGCTTTGGGTGGGGGTGGCTGGTGACTGAATGATTTTTGTTATGATCAGGTTGGTTGGTGATTTTAGACGCCTGTGGGTTTTCGGTGTTTGGATCAAAGATGGATCGTAGGCGAGTTGTATGTCTGTAGGTATAAGAAACTTGTCTATGCTTTTAAGTAGACATCAACCCGAAGACGGCAAAAAGAAAGTCCCAACGCAATGAAAATACAGAGCGACACAATGAAACAATGGCGTAGCTGTCAATGCAAAATATAAAAGGCACGAGGAATGAACGCTGTGAACCTTGGACATGATATTGGAGAGTGTCTGTCTAACTCCAATCAAGTCTTCGACATTGACATTAGATGCGAAATTGGACGTTTGAGGTTAGAACCGGCAACGCGGAAACTGAAGAACGTACAACAATGCTTTGGGATATGAGGGCGGAGACGAAAAAATAAAGTATAAGCAAAAGACGACTGAAGCCTGTTACCAGACTGAAAAGAAGTGATAAGTGAAATGGAGTAAAGCGGACTTTGAAAGCATCCTTTAAGAATGACTGAATCTTCGATGGTAAGCTGTGATTGGCGAAGACACTCTCACGAATGAGCAACACCGTAGACAGTGAGAGTAGTATAATGTAAATGGGAGCGAGAACTGCGGAAGAAGATTTCATCCAGACAATTTTGGTGAATGGAAGTATTACTCAGAGAAAAAAAATGCAGTTGAAGTTGAGGGCGTGGAAGAGGTTGTGTGGAGAAACCGAAGGAAGGACTTAAGTTCAGATCGAATGGAGGTTTGTGATTGGCTCTCACACCTAGACTTTAAGATGCTACTTGGGACGGTGTTATACGGAAAAAGATCATGTTGCAATTGCTTTTAACGCCGTAGCAACCGCACATTTTGAGTAGTGATCATAATTCTACATTCTGAACAGCGGGAATAGGACTTATCTTAGCCGCCAGGGTTTTATGCCAGTTGCAAAACTAAAGTCAACAGTATAGGCAAGGCTTGGTGACACAAACATGATCAATGAGGGAACATCATCACATGCTAGACCAAAGTCTAGACTTCATGGTTGGCGGTGATTGACAAACAAAGCAGACCTGTAAAAGGTGGGTTGAACAGGGATTGGTGGACAGGCCATACATTTAAGGTTGTCGAGACCCGAAAGAATATGCACGTAGCCGTCAATTGACAGACACTTGTCCGGGTGAAATAGGTGGAGAAGAGAGTGATGGATATCAACTGAAAAGGATGGGATGAAGGAGTGGTTGTCGCCGTGATGGGAAAGCTGAGAGAGAGCGGGAATTGAGACGACTCCCAATTCTCGACTTCGGTTCGGCCGGTCATTGCGCTTTCGGGCTTCCACTACTGCCGGTGCCGTATGTGCCGAAGCTAGGAGTTGTTTCGGAGTGTTTCGACCTATGACTGCTGGCGCCGATGATGCCGGGGATGCCGAGTCGTGGAAGGCCGGTGTTGAGGCTCAACTGGGGGGTGACGGTCGGCTTTACAATGCGCTTATTTTTGCCAAGACTGACCAAGTGGACGGTCCAGGGGGGTTCGGTTGCCGGGTAACTCTGGGGATTGCCTGCCGAGAGCGAGGTGGTTCCCCGGGGAAGAGGAGCGACTTTGTTGACATGGAAATGCATGGACGTCAGAGGAGCGTACTGATTACTCACCAGCCAGCAAGGTTTCAATGAATGAATTGGCCACATTGATGGGTTGATCCAACGGCCTTGAGCGTAATTGCCGATAAACACAAAGTTGGGAAATTGGAGTTTGTGTGTTTTGTCTACTCGAGTGGAAGGTACGAACCGATCATTGATATGCTGCGCGACATAAACACCGAATGACAGTGATGAATGAGGGGGAATGATTGAATTCAAACAGCGAATGGTGGGGTGCGGATGGTTCCAGAAACAGCGACAGCAGCGGAAATCGAGGGAAAGCAGCAAGCCGCTAACCCACAAGCGACCTAGCGGCAGCGGGGAGCTCGGGCCATTCGAGATGTTTAAGTCCAGCATTTTTTCTCGACGGCGACACGCCCACGCCCGCACTTTTCTTCCCCAGTTCTTTCTGACAGTCCGCGATCTTAGCATTTCCTTTGCTCTCTCCTTTTCCCTGAAGTCGACCGTGATACCCCAGTGATCCTTCTTTTTTCTCTGTTTGTAGTTTCGTTTCTTCACACAATACCCCCAAAATGCAGCGCGCGTTGACCAGAGCCTCCGTCGGCAAGGCGGCCACTCGCCTTCCTTCCCAGCAGCTCCGCTTTGCTCACAAGGTGCGTTTATACAGTACCCGGCCATGCCGTCATGATATCGGATGACAATTGGCGCATACTGACAACTCCCGTCCGCTATACAGGAGCTCAAGTTCGGTGTTGAGGGCCGTGCCGCTCTCCTCGCCGGTGTCGAGACCCTCGCCAGGGCCGTCGCCACCACCCTCGGTCCCAAGGGTCGCAACGTCCTCATCGAGTCCAGCTTCGGCTCCCCCAAGATCACCAAGGGTTAGTACACCATGCTGAGGATATAACAGAGAAACATGGAATGTGTCAGAGTAGCTAACCCCCAGCCCAACAGATGGTGTCACCGTCGCCAAGTCCATCACCCTGAAGGACAAGTTCGAGAACCTCGGTGCCCGCCTCATCCAGGAGGTCGCCGGCAAGACCAACGAGGTCGCCGGTGACGGTACCACCTCCGCTACCGTCCTCGCCCGCGCCATCTTCTCCGAGACCGTCAAGAACGTTGCTGCCGGCTGCAACCCCATGGATCTCCGTCGCGGTATCCAGGCTGCCGTCGAGGCCGTCGTCGAGTACCTCCAGGCCAACAAGCGCGATGTCACCACCTCCGAGGAGGTTGCCCAGGTCGCCACCATCTCTGCCAACGGCGATAAGCACATTGGTGAGCTGATTGCCTCCGCCATGGAGAAGGTCGGCAAGGAGGGTGTCATCACCTGCAAGGAAGGCAAGACTCTCTACGACGAGCTCGAGGTTACCGAGGGTATGCGCTTCGACCGCGGTTTCGTCTCCCCCTACTTCATCACCGACGCCAAGTCTCAGAAGGTCGAGTTTGAGAAGCCCCTGATCCTCCTCTCCGAGAAGAAGATCTCCCAGGCCTCCGACATTATCCCCGCCCTCGAGATCTCCAGCCAGACCCGCCGCCCCCTCATCATCATTGCCGAGGACATTGACGGTGAGGCTCTTGCCGTCTGCATTCTCAACAAGCTCCGTGGCCAGCTCCAGGTCGCCGCCGTCAAGGCCCCCGGCTTCGGTGACAACCGCAAGTCCATCCTCGGCGATCTTGCCGTCCTGACCAACGGTACCGTCTTCACTGAGGAGCTCGACGTCAAGCTCGAGAAGGCCACCCCCGACATGCTCGGCTCTACCGGCTCCATCACCATCACCAAGGAGGACACCATCATCCTCAACGGTGATGGCTCCAAGGACGCCATTGCCCAGCGCTGCGAGCAGATCCGCGGCGTCATGGCCGACCCTTCCACCTCCGAGTACGAGAAGGAGAAGCTCCAGGAGCGTCTCGCCAAGCTCTCTGGCGGTGTTGCCGTCATCAAGGTCGGTGGCTCCTCCGAGGTCGAGGTCGGTGAGAAGAAGGACCGCTTCGTCGACGCTCTCAACGCCACCCGCGCTGCCGTTGAGGAGGGTATCCTCCCCGGTGGTGGTACTGCCCTCATCAAGGCTTCCGTCCACGCCCTCAAGAACGTCAAGCCCGCCAACTTCGACCAGCAGCTCGGTGTCACCATTGTCCGCAACGCCATTACCCGCCCCGCCAAGACCATCATTGAGAACGCCGGTCTCGAGGGCTCCGTCGTTGTCGGCAAGCTCACTGACGAGTTCGCCAACGACTTCAACAAGGGCTTCGACTCCGCCAAGGGCGAGTACGTCGACATGATCCAGGCCGGTATCCTTGACCCCCTCAAGGTCGTCCGCACTGGTCTCGTTGATGCCTCCGGTGTCGCCTCGCTCCTCGGTACCACCGAGGTCGCCATTGTTGAGGCTGATGCCGAGAAGGGCCCTGCTGCCATGGGTGGCATGGGTGGCATGGGCGGCATGGGTGGTATGATGTAAGAAAGAGAAGGAAATTACAAACTACCAGTGAACCACACGGTCAGGGTGTGAAAAATGTGTCTTTTATTTTCCCTTTGATTTACGGCGACAACATGGGTTTGGGGGCATCGGGTTTGGTGTTATCACGGACTGTAAAAAAAATGTGTGTCATGTAATTTTCTCTCCTCTCTACACCCCTTTCCTTCATGCTGTGTTCTTATTAGCATATTCCGGCGGGCATTGTTTGGATGATGATGATGCTCCTTGTACTATAATCTACGGAACCACAGAGGAGGGTTAGAGTAGAGCGAATCATGAGAATGAATGAAAACTGTACAATATTGCTACTTTTGTTTCCTACTTTAAGTTGCAAAAGCTGTGCACTTGCATACCTTATGACACGTGAGGTTCTTAAAAGAAGAGCACTGCGAAGCTTACGTTCAGGCAACCGTTAATAGTCAGACAGACCTTGGCAGAGAGCCTTTTACATGCAAAAGGTCATCATGTTGACGCTGAACCCTAAAAGTCCGACTGCAGTTTGCGTTATCATGGTGGCTGTGAGATATCAAGAAGGTTGTCAGAACTTAGGGTACTATAAACGTCGGGTATTGTGAATAGGATGAAGGTTGATATTCAAAAGGAAGCTCGTGCCAATCAGGGTGGTTGGTGGTACGAATGTCGAGGTGGGACAGAAATTACACGCTGCTACACTGAGACGGCGCCAAGTAAACATGTCTTTAGTGTAGGTAGTGGGGCCCTTCAACCAGGTGGCAGTCTTCTCCCGCCGCTGTGAACTTAAAATCTGTCAACGGTGAGGTGTGCGTGTACGGCGTGTGCACGCCGCGTGGCCGCCGTTTTGTTTCGTTTCGCAGACGATTTGACAGATTGAAGTGACAACGGAAGAAATGGACAACGACGGCGACGGACTGGAAGACACCCCACCATCTCATAATTCCAGGCGGTGGCTCCCCCTCCATCGACAATCCACCTCAACCTCTCCATCCAGCTCTCCATCCAGTTTCATTACCTTTTCCGTTATCAGTTCTGCAATTTCGAAGCTTCAACAGGTAATTACCCACTGTTGCCTGATGACCTCAGACCTTTCGGTTGCCGAGGTTGATAAACGCGTCTTTAAGCGGGAGGGTTGGCTGATGAGAGAAGACGACGACGACGACGTTCTCATTTCCCGGGTGGTGAAACGTAATCTTGTAGAGCTTCCCATGCTTCCATGTTGTCTGTCGTTCACTTTCGGCCACCCCTGCTCCGTCTGTTCGGTATCATCACAGCTTCCTTTCGGGGAGCTATCAGCCCCAACTCCGTGAATGACGCAGATGCACACCAAGACAGAAGACGGGAACTATGACAAAAAGGTACCCAGAGGAATCACAGACAACCATTCGACGGAAACCCTTCTTTTTATACCTAGTCGGTAACTAAGCAGGCAATTACTATCATACCGGCGTCCTCAAAGGTTAACACCGCTATCAAACCAAGCCAAGACCCGACGTCGAGCGGGATCCACTCTGCACCGTCCCTCTCTCCGTCCGTCTGTTGGAGCCCACACCCAAAGTGACGGAGTCCACAATGTGCTGTTCAATGGCCAGCAGCTGCCCTGCTTTGCGACGGGAGAGAGGGACTGTCAGGGCTGATACTCGCATGGGGGAAGAAGTCGCTTTTAGACCTGACGAGTATTTGGAGCTGTTCGTTCGTGTGTTGGAGCTCATCAGATTGGAGGGCCAGATTGGCAGTGCCCGGGGGCGGCATCCAGTGCCCATTCCGAGTGGTGCCCAGTTGGCCGGTGCAGTGCTGAATGGTGCTGGTCAACGAATGGTGGCATTCCACTTGGGTGCCCTAGCCCGGCCTCCATCTCTCTACCTGGCTGCTGGCTGCTGCTGGCTGACGAGACCTCCACGGCCTGACCTCCATGACTGCCCGCTGTTTGGGAAACCCCTCGCTCCTTTCGCATCAGGCTCCCAACCCTCACAGTTCAGGTGTCTTCCAAGAGCTCTCTTCCCGGTCCCCGTCCCCCGTCCTCTCCCCGTCCTTGCTTTCCTCGTCTTGAGTATCTTGACAACTCTCCCGTTTCTCTGCCTTGCAACCATTCATAGCACCTTTGTAATCTTCAATCTAACGTACGTACGGATTCGCCAGCGAGGATCGTCGAATTGTAGCCTTGCCGCCGCCGTGTGCTCCATCCCCTTGCCCTCGCTCCCGCCGCCGCCTTTTCCAGTTCGAGTTTCCATGTTGCTACCCCTCGCCTGCTCGCTCCGCCCCCCGACGGGACTGCCTTTTCTACCTACCACCGTCCCTGTTGTGCTGACCCGACCCGACTTGACTGACAACCTTCCCGCGCCATCCAGCTTCCGGCTCCCACTCCACATATAACGCCCGCCCCCCATTCTCGCGATCGGTTCACCCGTCGTCGTCGACTTTTTGAAAAGAACACTTTTACAAACCCACCGCAACACACAAATCCGACATCATGGTAAACCATCCTCTCTCCTGTCCCCTCCCGCTCCTCGCGCGCGCGACCACCGCTCGCTTTGCTTGTTCCAACATGGCGCTGACTTCTTTGCCTTGATCGCAGTCTCAATCCGGGTTAGTCCTACCGTGAACCTGCTACATCTGACCCCCTTTCCGCCATTTTGCTTGCCTCGCCCCCTGGGTCCATCCTCACCGATGGTTCGGGATAACCGCAACAAACCTGACGCTGCCCTATCGTCGCCTTGTCCGTCCATTGCCCACCCGTTACCGCGGTGCAAGCCAGCACATTATCTCGAGATTCCCCCATCCTATATCACGCAGCAGCGACAGAGTTGCATCTGGCGGCCGGGTAGCTAGCGCGGCGTTGGGACATTGGGGGCAGGACCCGCAAAAGACAACAACGACAACGACAACAACAGAACCCAAAACATGGAAGAACCCCGATCAGATAGCTAACGTGCTCTGCTTGCCTCCCTCTACAGAGTTCAGGTCGACCCCGAGTGCCGCAGGGCTTTCGACAAGCTGATGTCCCGTCAGCTCAGGTACATCATCTACAAGCTGTCTGACGACTTCAAGGAGATCGTCATTGAGAGCACCAGCGAGGGCCCCACCGAGAACTACGATGAGTTCCGCGAGAAGCTCGTCAACGCCCAGACTAAGAGCGCTACTGTAGGTCCTTCTTTCCCCCCCGGTGACTGCTTGCTTGCAGCCATAGTGTCGCAATCAACCCAGCCCAGCCCAGCCCAATTCAGCCCCATAATGCGAAAAGGAGCTATACGGACCCCCGAAACCACCATCACCATGCATCGGCCTACCCTCACCTCTTAATCTCTTATCCATTGTGGGCGAATATTTGTCTTGTTTATTCTCCCCACCTGGGAACGAAAAAGGGGGAATACGGAAGGAGGGGTCTTGGGAACAGTGAGGGGTTCTTACACCCAAAAAGGCGGCCAGACACAGGGGACTGCCAAGACATGCCAACCCCCTGCTGTGGCGTTTCCCGCCTGCGTGGACTATTCGAACGAAAGAAACAAAACATTTCTGCGAGAGCGCCGATCGCTAATGAAACATACAACTATTGCAGGGCGCCGTTGGCAAGGGTCCCCGATATGCCGTCTACGATTTCGAGTACAAGCTTGCCTCTGGCGAGGGTTCTCGCAACAAGGTGACCTTCATCGCCTGGTCCCCTGATGATGCTGGCATCAAGGTGCGTTCCCCTCCTCTTTCGTGATGACTGAAACGCAGCACCAATAACTCACTAACAACAATCAAAAACAGTCCAAGATGGTCTACGCCTCCTCCAAGGAGGCCCTCAAGCGCTCCCTCAGCGGTATCGCTGTCGAGCTCCAGGCCAACGAGACGGACGATATCGAGTATGAACAGATTAATCAAGACCGTGAGCAAGGGTACTGCCGCATAGATTTCCCCCCGTAATCCGTATTAAGAGAAGAAGAAGAAGAGAAGAAGAGAGATATGATTTGTTGAAGCGTTGCGTTGTCGAAAGATGTTCGCAGTTGCTTGCTGTTGCTGTCGGACGTTGTTGTAATGACAATATAAACTCCACGCTACTATTCTAACACCCCATTACCATATCAACTACTACTACTACCACCTCTACTTACAAGTTACTCAACTTCCATATTACTATTTGTGTTGGTTTGGAGATGTCAAATGCTGTCTGCTCTGTTCTGCTTGCGAGGAGTTTAGTTATGATGTCTATATGTCTAGATACGCGATAAGGGTCGTAGAGGATTGGAAAAGTTGAATAGAATACACGTCCAATCTGGTTGTGCAAAGGTCTCATGTCATTACTCGTTCTGTGTGCACATTAGAAGAGTCTGGCCTCGAAGTGATATCGTCAGCCTTTCCTAGATCCTGCCGCGGACAATTAGTCGATCCACGTCTGCCAGTTCTGAAGACTGAGAAAGCGTGGGACCTCTTCACCAGAACATCATGATATACCATGGAGCTTGCAAAGATGTGTGTAGCAATCCAGGGTCATACCGGTACCTAAAAGGTGGCATACATACAGTGGTGGCTTATATTGTACAGCAGTCAAGTTGGCTCTCTTCAACTGCGGTAAACACCCTTGTTTCTTATTGATCACTCCATCACTTCACCACGGGCTTCCTCGCATCTTCTTTTCCCTTTCTCATCACACCTTTGCACACTCTTCAGGCCGTCCTCTATTACCTGAAAAAAGCGTGTTTCCCTACTAGGCAGTCATCTTTACCAAAATCGATATTACTTCCTCAGGTGACCCCATAATGTCCTACTGTCTCACTTTCACTCATACTAACCCTTCCAACGTTCCATCCATTACTCTTGTCTACCACTCCCGGTTAATATAACATATTTCCTCCTTCATCAGTCCGCTCTTCACTGAAGACTCCTAGAGACAACCAAGACCTTACTTAGTTCTTTCCACTCCAAGCCCCCCTAAACTTCCCCACCACCTCCTCCGCCGCCTCAACGTCCCTTATCCGCTGCTGCAAATACCCCTTCAGATCCTCCCAGAACTCTTCCGTCTCGAGGACTGCAGAGCCACTGAGGCCTTGTGCTACCGGTCCCGCTGCTTCGCCAGTTGTGCTTGTCTCCGTCTCTGCGTGCTGTGTAGCATCCTTCATTTTCACCTCCGGCACATCAGGAACCGCGTTCTTAGCAGCAGCCCTAGCCTCCCTCGCTGCCTTGGCCTCCTCAGAATCATACGTAGCCTGTCCACCCATAACCATCAAACTGAGCTCCAACTCCCCGCCCTCGAGAACTGTTCCAGCATAAACTTCCTTCAGAGACTTGACGTCACCGGCAGGTTTCTTGTTATACAGCAACTTGAGCTTCTCGATCGGCATTCCGGTTTCTTGAGAAACGAAGGTCTTGATGTCCAGGATCGAGGTAGTGGCGAGAGGTTGAGGGGTCGGGAGGGAGAGAGAGAGGGAGGGGTTGCGGGGGGAGCGGATGTGCACTAGGGCTGTTGGGCCGGTGGCGGCGGAGGGTGAGGAGATGCCGGATGGAGAGCCGGGCGTGGTGGTGGTGGTGGTTGAGGCTGAGGCTGAGGCGGTGGTGCGGGAGACCTTGCGGAAGGGACGGGAGGTTGGGTGATGGGGGAGGGTGAACTGTTTTTTTTGTCACATGTCAGCCTTGTTGATTTGATGTGTTGGTGTGTTCAGAGGAGGCGAAGTAAGGTAAGGAGAGGGGGGAAGGGGAGGGGAGTGGATGGGTGTAAGTTTGTAGGGTGGTAAAGCATGCTATAAAGACAAAAGGTAACTTACAGGAGTACTAGCAGGATACGTCCTCGCATCTTCGACATGATCGGCCGAGATCTTGGTCGGCTTGGTGTCCAGGACGGCCAAGAAGGTTTTGGCGAAGGCTACTTCGGTGGCCATGATGGGCGGTAGCTACCTGTAGTTGTTGCGATTCGTACGTAGAGGTAGATGGGTGTTGTTGGGATGGTTCTGCTTTTGTCTTGGTCGCGCAAAAAGCTACTGTCGTTTATGCTATTCGTCGTCGGGATGGTGACGATTGGTGATTTAGTGGTGGTTTGGTTCGCGATGTAATTGATCTCGAGATATGGCAGTGGTTGTTTGGTGTTGGTCTTGCTCTTGCGATCAATCAATCAGACAACGTCAGTGCTCCTGGCACTCTGGCACAAGCTCCCCTCCGTGACGGCGACGGGGACCGGGGTGGGGCATGGCGGACAGGGGAGGAGATGAAAATGGGGTCGAAGCTTTCCTTATCTTATCGGAGATGCTTCTCTTGACTTCCAGCCTGCAACTCCTGGCCCCCTGTGATTTGTCGTTTGCAACTGAACTGAAGCAGCGGATAGCCTGTGGGTCGAACAAGAGCCTAAAACTTCGAACAAGGGGTAGCTTTGCGAATCTTGGATTTGCTTCAAGGGTGAGAGCTCTTTACAGCCGTTTAATAAGTGGTGCTCAATACCAAGTCAATTGTATAAATATTCTGAATCGAATGCGTTGGCTTCGCAGTCAAGTTACTGTCGCCATCGGATTTGATTGATGATATCTAAGAAACAACTAGATGTCAAAGCAATACTGGTCGCCCAGTACTTGCTATTATATGCCGTTGTCTTCGAACCTCATCATCTATAGCCAATGCGTCCACAACTCTGAGGACTATGGCCTGTCTCTCTGCTCATGATTGTCCACTTCACGGTCCTTTATCTTCTCACTGTCCACCGAGTACCTCTTGATCATTGTATACCTCCTCTTTCTCGTGCACTGCCGCAACACACCCTCCGCCCTGCCGCTCATCTTTCCCCCATCGGCCTCCCACATTCTTCCCAGTACTATAGTACAATATACAACAGCTGTAGTCGTAAACGTCATTGCTGGTGTAGGCTCCCCGTCCATCCAGAGAGCCAAATCTCAGCATCACACAGGATTATACTATATATCTTTTTGAAACCCATCAGTGGAGACGGAAGAAGAACAATCAAGTAGAAAAAGGTTCATATCGGGTATGGAAATAAGAGAGAAGGAGAAAAAAGAAGTCGTCATAGCATCATAAAAACCTAACCTTTCCTTTAACCGCCAAACCGCCTGACGACCGACGCACGATAGACAAAATCCCGACCCAACCTGTGTCCTAACCTAACCCAACCAGACCAACCGACCGACAGACCGACAAGAAAAACAAGGGGGGTATCCTTCTTTAGTTTTCCACAGTCCCATTGACAATATCACGAATAGCCCATTTCCACGCCTCGCCACGGGTTGACCTCCCCGTCGTCCACGCCTGACACTTCTTCCTCCATCTTTCTTCCTCCTCGCGCTGCCGACGCACAAACTCCGGCCCGACATCGAACTCCTCGCCAACCAGCCAGTCATCCTTGACATCGCTGGTCCTGCCACCACCCCCATCCGCAGAGGTGATGGTGTGGTCCTCCAAATCGGGGATGTCCTTGAAGACATCCTCGTCATCATCCATCGCCTCCGATATCGTCGACCCGTTCTTCGACCGTCCACGCTCTGCTGCTGCCTTGTCATTTTGCGGGCCCAGCTTGAGCCAGCACATGTTCTGTGGATCAAACACCATCCCCTTGACCACCTGGACGCCCTTGGTCGTCCCAATGTTGGTGATCAGAGCCGGGCGCGGGGTCGCGCTTTCCCTCTCTCGCACGACATGCTGTACCTTTACTGATGCCGTCGACGGTGATGATGCCGGCGCCTCAAACGCCCGCAACACATTGTCGTTCCCTTCCCACCGAAACGTCTCGGGATTGTAGCACATGCCCTTGACAACTATGACGGACAAAGTTAGCATTGATATGTTTTTTCTGAGAATTTTTAAATTTTGTACAGGCACTCACTCTTTGAGTCCTTTGGGGGATTCAAGTTTGAGATGAGGTGCGGCTTCAGCTGGGGAGCCTTGCGCAGCTTCCTGGAAGACTTCATGGTCGCCTGAGGCGGTGCTGATGGGGTTGCTTGGTGAAGGTTACCTCTGTTGGTAGACAGCTGCGCGACGCGTTGGGCCGTGAGTGGAGCAAGTTGTCCAGAAACGTTGCGCTGGGCCAGGCAGGATTCCCGGGCTCTTCGGCTCGCGGCGGTATCACGAGCGAAACTGGGGACGTTGGAATCGTTAAACCGGGCCGGGGACCGCGACGTGACCGGAGGCGAGGGCGTAACGTTGTTCCGATCGTGGGGGGCGATGTTCTGGTAGAGCCTATTCCGGGCTTGGGCCTTGGGTCCGCTGTTAACAGGTTGCCTCAAATACTTGGCCTCCGCCTGGGTGGAAGTGGGAAGATCGTCGAATCCGTCCAATTCGTGGCCGTCTCCAAAGTTCCTAACCCGGAACGGCTTGTTAAGCTGCTTCCAGTTGCCTTCGGCAGCCATGAAATCGACGGATCTGTGCTTGCGGGGGCTGGGCGATCGCTTGTTGGAGGCCCGGGAGTACGTTCCTCGGGAGGTAGGCCGATAATCGATACCACCCTCAGACTGATGCCGGAAGCTCCGCGTATTCCTAGCGGCATTGACATTGTACGATTTTGATGCCGAAGCTCCAGCCGGCAAGAAAGGGGTAACCGAGGGGACTGGGCCCTTTCGGCCTGTGGTGACAGTGCTTTCCATATTTCGCACTCGCTCCACTGGTGTCTTTGGTCGTACAGAGTTCTGCGTCCGAGTTGCCTCGGTCCGAGATGGGGGGCGCTCGTAATTGCGTGATGTTGTTGTGGTTGGCCGTGCCTGGTTTTGAGGCCGAAGACCAGGCACCGAACGCTTCATGCGGAGAAGCTGAGCATTTGTAGTAGTAGGCTCGGTCTTTTGTGATGTGGTAGTCGTCTTCTGTGCCATGTTTCTACGTGTGGTCGTTGTAGACGGTGGGGGCTGTGGTCCTGAGGACACAATACTTGAGATGGAAGCCTGAGAATTATGTCCCGAGCGTGTCAACGAGCGTCGTGATGAACTCCTCGTCACTACTTCTCCGGTTTCGGATACAGGTTCGAGTGAAGACTGTGTTTGAGTTCGCTCATGGCCCACTAATGACCCGATCGACCCCATAGGTCGTGGAAGACGAGAAGCAGCCACGGGCTTGTTGGTGAACTTGAGAGCCACCGAAGTTTTGGGCCGATTTGGGCTATCGCCCCTTGTGTCCTTGACCTTGATGTTGCGATGTAAAGTCAACTTCTTGGAGTCGAACACCTCTCCATCTCCAATGTCAAGTCCAGAGAGGAAGTCTTCTTGCTCCTCTCTATCTTTCTTCTGTGCTCTTTCCACTATAACCGGTTCTTCCGGAATCCGTTCCGGAGACCTGCTTTGCTGGCGACGATGCAGTCTTTCCTCCCAGTTAAGTGGTCCAGGAGGCAGAATGATGCCATCAAACTCGTCTTCACTTTCCGCTACAGTAGAGCTTGCTATACTGGGACTGAAGGCCGACACAGATGAAGTTGAAAAGGCATCGCGACGAGTACCGCCGAAACGGGTTCCTAGACTTCCTTCGCCCCATTCGAAATCATCCGAGGTGTTGAGTGTTGGAAGCCTGGGGGACTCTCTTCGGTTAGAAAGTCTAAGAGTCCCGTCCATCGGTAGCTCAAAATCGTGTTCGAAGTCGTCCTCATCCGGAGTAACCTTTAGAGGAGTGGCGGGCGTGATGAAAGTAACAGGCTTGAGGGTATTGCGCCTCTTTTTCACTTTGATAGTCTCAGTCCCATCCCCAAAGAAATCATTATCATCATCCATATCTTTGAAGCGTTCCAAGTCGATAAGGCCAGTTGAAGTAAGCGACGGGCGGGATGCCTTCCTCACTTGGACGTCCATAGGCTTAACGGTGAGTTTCTGCGGGGGTAAGGCACGGCCTGGGAACGTGTTGCTCGTTTTGCGCATGGCCTCCGGACGGCCGAACGAACCGCTGGTTTTCCGCACTGGCTCTAGGCGGCCTCCAAAGGAGCCGCTAGTTCTCCGCGCGGGCTGGGGATGCGATTGGAATGAGCCGCTGACCTGTCGTATGGCCTCGGGAAATTGCGAACTATCCCGCTTCTTGATCTGTAGCTGGCCGGCATCGGAAGGGAACTCCAAATCATCAACCCAGTCCTCCTGAATAATCTTTCTGATTTTCCTCCCACCCAGTCTCTTGATGGTGCCTCCCATAAGGGCAGAGGGTGGTACGTTTTTTGGTAATGGGATGCCGGCCCTCTCGGCGGCAGCTAGAGCATCCAATGTCGACTTTTCATCATCTCCTGGCAGGTGAACCTGCTTTTCCTCCTCTCCATGGACGGATTCGAAATCGGACCGGAAGGACGAGTGCGAATCGCGGCGATGGGGGTGAGCGTTGGCCGTGGTGGAGTGGCTCTGGATGGTAAAGTCATCGCCGTCGATAAGGAAATCGTCATCGTCCCAGTTTTCAATATCGTCTTCGACCGGTGGCCGAGTCTTTAGTCGTAGGGTCTCCATTGCCGGCGATGTCGCGTGGTCCTGCAGGGTGCGGTCCACGTTGTGATGTGCGGTCAAAGGGTATTGGTGGTGGTGGTATCGGGGGTGTGTCGCAACGGGAAGGTTCCTCTGGTATTAAATGGGGACGTTTTGCGACGTGGAGTGACGACAGCGATCTAGTCAGTGGTGAGGATTCATAGTCGTCACCCGAGACCCTGGGGCCGCCGATCACTATCCCGAAGCCCCGGCGAGGATTCCACCTGGTCCCCCTTTACACGAGCGATGCGATGGTCGAATCCTTGTTGATCCCAAGTTGGAATACTTATCGGGTGATATCCCAAGCAGCCGGGATGAGCAGAGTGATTAGCGTTGGCGCAATGCGACCAGGGCGTGGTGACTGGTGTCCGGATGCAGGGCGGGAACGGGTGTATGTGATGATGATGATAGAAGGGCGAAGTAGGGCGAGTTGTTGGCGGATGGGTTGTGTGATATGTTGGTTTGTGTTGTTGTTGTTGTTGTTGTTGTTGTTGTTGTTGTTGTTGTTGTTGTTGTTGGGGCCTTGTTGTCGTTGTTGGTGCTCAGGTGCGGCAGAGTTCAGGTTGTTGCGACGAACAGGATCTGACAAATGAGGGGCGTGGCGTGTAGAAAGAAGCAAAGTCGTAAGCGTAATGGTAAAGTGCCAGAATCGGGTAAATGCTCTATCGATGTATTGATAACTGCCGTAGGGGATCTTGATGGAGTGGGCCAGCGAGTAATTGCGATGGATAAGCTATTGAGAAAATGCACGAATCTGGTGCTGCTAGAGAAACTCCGTTGCGCGGGTCAGGTTCAACAGGTGAGTGGTAGGACTGGATTGTGTGGTTGAGTGACGGGTCGAGGTAGAGATTGTTGTTGGGTGAATTAACGCAGGATTGTGAATGAAACTGAGGAATTGGTTGAGACAGAGAGAAACGGAAGGCTGGAGCATTCACGGCGGGAGTGAACAGTGAGAGCGCCCAGCGCCTGAATGCGAATGAATGAATGATCAATGAATGGCGTGGCTGGAAAAGTCAACGGGAGCAGGGAACCGCAGTCGTGCAGTCGGGATGTCTCCAGGGTCGTGGTCGTGGTCGCAGTGGGATAGAAGAGAAGCGCGAGTGGTCGGGGAGTGGAGAACTGGAGAGAGAGGGCCAGGGGCGGGAGTGGGGCATCGAAGGGAAAAGAGATGGAAGGTGGCCCCCGAGCCTGGCGTCGTGCCTGGCACGCCTGGCTGGATGCGCGTGGGTGACGCCCAAGCCAAGCTTTCCAAACCAAGGCCTGTGCCAGGGTTAGTGCAGACAAGTGCAGGGCTGGTAATTTTAGCGCAGGGTTAGCGCAGGTCTCTGCAGCCTCTAACAGGAGCCTCTAACAACGACCAAACAGCCTCCTGCAACTCTGGCAACCACCACCGAAAAAGACCTGGAGTGCCAAACAAAGCGCACGCAGAACGGGGTTGGGAGAGCGGGTGTTTTGGCTGGTTTGCAAGCGTGTTTGGTCCGTTTTGCATCTTGCATGGCCATGGCTTCCTTAGTTTTTGAGGTGGCAGGGACAGCAAGGCGGGACAAGGGGCGCGCTTCAATGGCCAGTGTTCGTGCGAAACGCTAGCCATCCGTCAACCACCCAGCCAGCCGGCTCCATGATCGTGGTAACTATTCATCAGAGAGTGGTCAGTGCTCCCATCAGTTCTGCTTCAACATTTGCGCTCCAAGACACATGGGAATTTACAAGTCGATACGAACTAGACGAGCAATGCCCCAATGTCAGGGACATATTTAGAACCAGCTGAGGTCTACCATTTGACGGCTACGTATTCAAAATCAAGATCATCCAGAGCAACATGTAGCACATGACAACCCGATGTCTTCTCTTGGAGACGGGTAAAGATATCTGCGAATTGCTCGGTAACCTCTAATCACACATCACTAATCGAATGATTCTGTGCGCGATTTTGTGGAAAAAAAATTTAAAAAATTTCATATTGATGCATCTTTTTTAACCAACCACCCAAAATCTCGAATCGGGATGCCGATGTACCATGTGGTTCGATGCCGAACATGGACTTTTCTGCTGGACAGGGTCTTTGTGCATCTTCTTCAACCCCCCGGAGCTTTGCTCCCCTTGCTTCACCTTTTCAACTCCATCAAGGATCCAGTTCAGGGCAAGGACAGGCTTGAAAACAATGGAGATCTAAGACGCATGTAACTATGTAAGGCAAGTAAAGCCATCACACTGAACCGTGTATTTAATGTATCAAGTCCGTAATGCTACGCATGGTCTAGCCTTGATTGCGGTTTGTGGTGGATCGCGTCAGGAACGCAACGGGACAGCAAGGGGAAGACGGGAACAATGAAGAGCGAACCATTGCCTCTAAAAACGGGACAAAGTCGGGTCTTATGGACAGGCTGATCCCCGCACTGCCAGGTGCTGCTGCGTGTTGCCGGCCGGCCGCTAATGTGATTTCTTGCATATCGCCCCGATTGATTGCTGCTCTGTTTCGCCGGCCGGTTATCGGTCTCCCCTTGTCATCTTCTTTGGGTAATTGGCTGGATTCTTCACAGCGATGTTCACAACTGCAGTTGAAGAGTTCAAAGACTTTGGCGTTGAAGATGTCTCAGGAACTCTTCATTGTATGCAGGGCGATTGAACACTTTGGTGGGTTCTGCTCTTTCTTCAAAGGGCACTGCTGCCTTGGACCCCGATACCGACCGTGACCCAATTGATAGATGGCAATGGGGCTCTTTGATGTTGTTGCCTAGAACTACCAGAAAACGAATATGTTATAGTAGCTCGGAATTCATATATGAAATGCATATACATGACACGGAAATGCCTTTTTGTTTTGTCTCTTCACTCAACTTGACCTGACAAACAAACGCGCAACATCCTCCCTGTTTCGGCTGCGCACACCGGGAACTCTTCCCTTCAAGACATCCTCCTGACGATATCCAAGACGGCAAACGGAAATAGCATCGTTGTTGGTGCTACCATCTGGATCCGTCATCGACGACTCCCGTCCAGCTGAGGCCCCAGTCAGTCGTCTCCGTTCGTTTCCAAGAAACAGACAACAGGACGTCGACACACACACGCTCCCGTCCATTCCGTGCAGCTCACTGTTTCCACTTCCCCGCATCCCGTCATCACTCGCAGCTCCGTCAGTTTTGACTGTGTAGTCGTGCAGGGTGCATTTCCACAATTCCAACACTCGACAATTCCTAGGTGCGGGCCGTCAGTGCAGAGCGCAGTGTGCAGTGCAGGCCAACCAACAGCCCTCTGTTTCTATAGGTGTGCAGTGTTGGGGAGGACCTGACCTTCTTTCCAACAATCGCTCACCGTTCGTCACACCGTCACATCCTGGTGACGTCTCGACTCCGATTCGTCGCCATCTCCGAGTCAAAGGGCTTACAACGGTGGACTATATCCTTCCGAGACCATTACGTGCAGCATAAGCGCAGAAATCGCCGATATTTTCCAATCTCATCTCATCAGCTTTTGTTTCATCTGAGCTAGACCATCCCCTCGTACCTACGCTTACACTGTCCTCCATACGAGGCCGTCCAATTTAGGTCGATTAAATCCACCCATAGGGCGGAACCTGGGGAGCCCAACGACCATCGGAACCAAGGCGGACGTCAACGCGGATCGCGGATCGTGACGTTTTGACACCACTGTCACATACAGCCTGCATACAATAACGGAGAGACGGCGATCCCATCTTTCCCCGGACCCCCCCCCCCCCCCTCCCCCTCCGCTCATCTCCCCATCCCACCTTTTTACATCACTATATCAAAGTCTCACACTCATATATTACTCCATTTGCGCACAAGCCACACAAAAAGAAAATATGACTTCATCCTCGTCAACGATTATCCGTATCCCCCGGACCGATACCGATCAGGAGGATGACTTCATCCTGGGCGAGGTTACCCACTCGGGAACCGGAGGATCATCCGCGAGGGGATCGAGCAAACCGCTAAATTTCAAGATTGTTGCTACGGAGGGTGAAGAGCCGTATGCGCTCACTCGTAAGTCTTTTTGAAACCTCGTCGTTATTTTCGCTGTTTATTTAGGGGGTTATGCATCCATTATATCTATCATATGGAATTATGCAGGGACTGTTCTCATTGCCCATGTATGCATAATAACCCCATGATGCGTGCAGTTTGATTTCAGATCACAATTTGTGTCGAGATGACTGTTGTAGAAAGAACAAACTTCGGTTCAAGAACGTACATGATATAAGTCCCTTGACTAACACGCCTACAGTAAAACATGACCAAATCAACTCCCTCCGCGCCAGCAGCAGTTCCTGCACCCCCACAGAGTGGGAATCCATCCTTTCCTCCCTCTTCATAACAGCCTCACCAGTAGCAGACATCGAAGCCGGCGCCGAGGTAGAATCCCGCGGCAAAAAGAAGTCCATCGCCATCACCATCCGCCGTCGCGTAGCCGGCATCAACCAACGACTAGGCGCATTGACCCTATCTCACTCACCCTCCTCCGAGATCCAGCTCTTCGACTGGTGTTTGCAACTCGCCATCTCGCGGCAGACCGCACTCTCTTCCCTATCCACCTCCGCAGCACAGGTAGCGGAGCTCGAGGCTCGCATCGCTGATTTGAAGAGTCAGTTGGAGGAACTCACGCGGTCGAAGGTTGAGCAGGAGACGGAGCTGTTGCAGAAGTTTAGGGCGCTGTTGAATGAGAAGAAGTCGAAAATTCGTCAACAGCAACAGGAACTGAGTAGAGTAAGACCTAGCTCGCAAGACGGGTTGTCGGGTGTAATTGAGAGTGCGAGGGGTAAGTCCGGAGTGAAGGTCTCCAAAAATCAACTAGACAAAGACGAAGAAGAGGAAGAGGAAGAAGATGGCGGCATCAAGATTGGCAGGATAGGAGGAGGGCGCTCAAAACAGCAGGAACAGCAAAAAAAGAACAGCCCGCGTCTCCAGACCAGGAAAACGAAAGGCCACCAAAGACGTATCATCAGACGAGGACGACGATGACAACGATGGAGAACCCGAAAGATAGATGTCGACTCGCCAGAGTCAGAGCCGGAACCGTCCTCCAAGACCATGGGACAGTCATCCTCTAGCAAGACCCTTGACGTCGAAGACGACACTGATAGCAATAACGACGAAGACGAGGCCGAAGAGGAAAACGGCAAAATCTCAGGTCGCGAAACTCCAGACCGCGACGATGACGAAACAGCCAGCGAACCCGATGAGATGGATGAGACAGTAGAAGCGGGAGAGAAGGATCTTGATGTTGGTGGCTCGCCTGCTTCGCCACCACCGCCGTCGCCGTCGCGATTGGCGACGAGGGGGAAAGGACATGCGGCATCATCGAAAAACGACAATGACTCCTCAGAAAAAAGATGACTACGGCGGCTCCTACTGCAGGAAAGGGGAAGGCAAAGGAAACGCCGACAAAGCCAACGCCGGTTTCACATGCTAAGAGGGCGGGAGCAACGGCTACGAGAGCTTCTCAGCCTGCTGTTGCTGCTGCTAAGACTGTGGATGGGAGTGAGACTGAGAGTGATGATGAGTTGTGAGTAGCGAGTGGACTATGGCATGCAACAATTTCTCCAAATATATATATTGGCGAGATGAGACCATGCATGCCTGCAATTTGTTCTTTATGTGTATTAGCAGTGTGCTTGTCCAGACTTTTCTATGAATGTATACCATGTGTCTCTCAAGACTCTCCAAGCATCGTGTCTGCTTTGGACAATAGACCAGACATCCAAATTCCTTTGGGGGTTCGTTTCACGTTCTCTCTCGGTGTTATGTTATGTTAGGTGTTGCCCTTCTATGTTGTGAGTTTGCTTAGGCCCAATGGACACCTCAACCAGTGTAGGGAGAAGAACATCACCATCATCATCGTCATCCCCTCATCAATCATCTACTTCTTGACAGCTAGAAGAAGTGTTCCATAACCTCCAGGTGGAAATCTCTCAGTCATTCCCTATTTCAACACCGTCGTTCCATTCCCATTAGCCTGTTGCCCCCCTCCGACAGCCGCAGTAGCAGCAGCCTTCGAAGGCAACACCGGTATCCTCCTCCCGTAATTGCCCAACGCCAACTTAGTCCCGCACGTCAAACACTCCGCGCCCTCGGGCACCTCGCAAAAGATGCTCAGACAAATACTGCACACGAACCCGGATCAACCACATTTCGATGGCAAAAACACGCCGCCCGGAAATCCACCGAGTCCGCGCTGGGCGTAACCAACAGATCCGCCACGCTGGCATTGCTCCCGAGGAACTTCTGTCCCTTATTTCCTCCTCCCTTAGCCGCTGCTGCAGCATTCGCAGCCTTTTCATTCGCCTTATCCTCTTTCTTCGCCTGTTGCTGCGAGCGTTGATTGCCTGCAGCCGCCAACCCCTGCGGCGCACTCCCGCTGCCGAAACCAAACATCAGGTACTGCAATAGCCCTCTCGGCTCCTGCGCCCGGATGAACGTGCCGCGCGTGATGTAGCTCGCCTGCTGCAGGAACGTCGCGCTGCCCCGCAGCGCCAGCGTGTCGATGGCGATGCGCGCGTGCGCCGCTGCGAACACCGCGTTCATGGTCGGGATGTACTGCGAGGGTGAGCTGTCACTTACGCTGACCACCAGGATGCGCGCGTGCAGCCCCGCCAAACCACCCCCGCCCACGCCGGGGAGCGAAGCGCCGTTGCCGCCGCCTGGGCCGGCGCCCGAGGTTGTGGAAACGGAGGACTTGCTGGCTGAATTGGGGGTTGGGCCGGTGGAGTTGCTTGCCGGGGCGAAGAGGAGGGCGGTTTTTGTTGATGTGCGAGAGGGCGAGGGTCAGAGCGCCGGAGATTTGCGTGGTAGTCGTGGAGGTGATGTCTTCGGTTGTTGTGGCGGTTATGAGCGAGCGCAGGGAGGAGAGGAGGGAGCGCTCGATTTGGGCGAAGAGAGGGTATTTGTTCGCGGGCGGTGGTGGTTGTTGTTTATTTGTGGTAAAGGAAGCGTCGCGCATCTCGATGTCGTCGTTCGGGTTTTGCGGTTTTCGTTGCCCGTGGGGGTTTTGGTCGGGTGCTGTTGGGTAGAGCCATACTGCGCGGTTGGTGTGTGATGCTATCAGTGCTACTTGGTTGGAGTTATTGAAGGCTAAATGGGAGTTGACAAATATTAGGATGTTGGCGAGCGCTTTGGTGAGGGGGAGGACATCGTTGAGGGCGGCCCAGGCGCGTGGGTTGGTGTCGATGATTATGGTGTAGAGGGAGGGGATGTCGTCGGTGTTATAAATTTCGTAGTGTTCGGAGGCATCGACAGCGTCTTGGACCGTCATCTTGAAGATGATCTGGCAGTGACAGCCTCGAACTCGTTTCAGGGCTGGTGTCTCGTAGAGCTATAGCATGGGTCGAGGCTGGGTGATGTGCTGTCGACCCTTTGTCGCCGCGATAGTCTACTCGATGCGCCGATGCTCGTAGGAAGCTCGTCTTTGTGCTTAAATGCAGCGACAGAGGGTAGCTATGCGGGTGTTCCGTTGTGTAATTCTCGTCGTGATGTCTGTCTTCCGAATTGGCTGGCGCAAGAGGACCTTAGGGTTCTCGTCGATGTTGGGTGCGATAACGTAAATGGAGAAATGCGATAACGGCCTGGGTTGCATGCGAAACGCGATACAAAGAAGGCGGAAAGAATCCTGGTCAATTGAGCACACGCTGCCACGTGACAATTCGCTAGTGCATAACCTTAAGTCGTGATTAAACAAATAGCCGGAATGCAATTAGGATAAAGATATGCAGTTAAACAGAGCCAGCTCTTTCCATCCGCGCCTCTTATTGGTTAGATATACCCTCCCTTCTTGCTAAATGATATTGTCTTCGTTTTGACATCTCCGTCACCTCCCTTTGCTCATCTTCTCCTCTTGCTGCCACATCCGTCTCCCGTTCAACAACTAAGAATCGGAAACCAAAACCTCGAGTAAATTGACAGACGCGCAGGGTGCGCAACACTTTCGCAACAACAACGAGGATGTCGTTCCTTTTTATCCATTCACACCGTCGTATCTTCCATTTCCGCCAGCCTCACATATCGAATGAGACGATGTCAATCAACGCTATTGGTTTTGCTGCGGACTGAAAGTGAACCAACCCACGTGGAAATGGAGCTGAACCCCGACTTCGCTAGTCTTAAAGCCGGCACAAGGTCTCTCAGCCGCAACTCAGGATCGGGTCCAGACCTCACCAGATTTCAATAAATCCATTCCATTCCTTTCAACACTGCCCAATGACACCCCACATTGTGGATGCTCCCTCTTTTGGAGTTTGGGGCGTTCAAGCTACTATCAACAAGTGCCGAGGGTTTTCTTGAGAATGATGGTGCAAGACTTACGACCGAGTGGCTTGAAGTCACCAGCTGTAAGGTTGAAAGGCTGTCCTCGGTCTGTCCGTAGTCGATAGTCGGATCTTGGATTGTTAGGGGTCTCCCTGGCGGCGACAACTCTGCCTTGGAGGCCTGTGGCTCAAGACTATCATCGGTAGGTTCTGTGAGGATCCGAGGAGGAGAACTAGAAGTATATATAAGGAAGGGACAGCCAGGTCGGTAGGGAGTAGACAATACTGAAGCTTCAACTTGAATCACTGTTCTTCTCGTGCTCTTTACTCTATCCACATCCATTTTCCTTATCAGTTACAGTTTTTTACCACTCAGTCATCACCAAATATCATCCTAATCATGGTGAGCTTTACAGTTCTTCACTCTCAAAGGCACCCTTTACTTATACGAGACACAGGACTCCTTCAAGGCCGGCGACATCATCGAGTCCGGCAGCTCCATCAAGTCCAAGAACGGCAAATACGAGCTTGTCTTTCAGGACGACGGAAACTTTGTCCTCTACGAGGTGTCCCACAAACGGCCACTTTGGAGCTCTAATACCACCAGTTCCTACCGCAAGGCTTCCAAGGGTCTCTTGCAGGACGACGGCAACCTCAGACTTTTCGACGACGACAACGGAGAAGTATGGTCAAGCCATACCGGGGGTAGGGGCGACGCGAGCACCGTGTTGACTGTGCAGGATGATGGCAATGTCCGACTCATGTCGGGCGAAAACCAGCTCTGGGCCACCAACACGGCACAGAAGGAGCCGGAGAAGCCTGCGAACCCTGAAGTGGGAGCCAAGGACCGTCTCACCGCTGGCGAGGAGTTGACCAAGGACCAACGCAGATCCTCTCCCAGCGGCGAATACACCCTGATCATGCAGGCTGACAACAACCTGGTCCTCTACAAGAAGGACAAAGGTCCGATCTGGGCCAGAGGCAAGACTGCCGGAAATTCTGCCGAAAAGCTCGTCTTCCGTGGAGACGGAGAGCTGGAACTGCTCACATGGTCAGGCGCTCAGAAATGGGTGACTGGCACTGCTGGTAGAGGCAACAGCGACTCCTTCTTCGCGGTCAGAGACGATGGCAACATGGTCATCTCGACTGACGGCCAGATTGTCTGGTCATCGAAGACGGGCCCGGAGCTTCCTGAGGCCAAGAGAGATCGCCTCAAGGGCGGTCAAAGACTTCTCGCGGGAGAGGCGCTCACATCACCCAACGGCAGGTTCACTCTTACCTTCCAGAATGACGGCAACTTTGTCCTTTATGAGGGCAGCGAGCCCAGGTGGGCTTCAGGCGGTCATTCCTATGGACAAGGTGGAGGCTGGCTTCTGTTGACTACCGACGGCAATATGACTTCATTCGAGGACGACCAATCTTCTCAGTGGTCATCTCGAACAAGATACAGACGCACTGGAGGAGATTGCGAGCTAATCATCCAAGATAACGGTGCTGCGGTGCTAAAGCTCGACGGTGTCACCACCTGGGCTGTCAATGGAGGCTCCGCAACAACATACGAACCCCGTGATGTAAGTACCTCTACCTATTACCCTCTCTGAAACAAAAGTAGACTGACATCTTATGCAGTTCTCCCCTGTCACATCCGGTGACAAAATCAGCCCCGGACAGTACCTGGCTGCCGGTCAATCCATCACCTCCAACAACGGCGACATGATCGCAACGCTGGATGAAAACGGCCAATTTGTTGTTCGCTACACCAAGACAGGAGACTCCATCATCGTTTCCACCAATCCCCGCAAGGAAACCGCTACGAAGCTGACCGTCGGCTACAACGACGACGTGATCCTCTGGGGTGAAAACGGAACCAAGATCTGGCAAGCCTCCAACAACATCGACAAATATGCCATGCATTATGACGACGATGACAGGGAGCGCTTCTTTAGCCGCGAAAGAAACGGCGGTCTCATTCTCAGCAACAACGGCAAATTGAGGCTCTACGGCTCCGGCTGGCCAAATGACCTGATCTGGACCAGCGGCCGTTCCTTCGCCGGATTTTCGGGCAAAAGAATCTCGCAGCTGAAGCCCGGCGAGATCCTCGTCATCGGTCAGAACTTGCTCTCCGACAACGGCGACCACGAGCTCTCGCTCCTGCCCTCCGGCAACCTCCGCATCCGCAACACCCGCTTCAACACCAGCGTCTACTACTTCACCAACGACGACACCAGACTCACCGACGCGCACTACCTCGAATTCGGCCAAGACCACGTCCTCGAGGTCCGCGGCGAGACCAACGGCATGATCTGGCGCTCCTCTAACCGCAAGTACGAGCCACCGCAACGTCGCGAGGGTGACCGTCACGACAGCGGGAGTCGCAGAATCGACCCTCCGCGCTTCATCCTCGACAATCGCGCCTCGGCCTACATCAACGCCGTCGACTACCAGTACCGCGCCGACTACAACGCCTGGCGCATCACCGACCTCGAGTCCTGCCTTAACCCTGTGAAGCCTACTTCTTTTGGCGACACCCTCCGCCCGAATTTCACCATGAAGCCCGAGCACATCCTGACCAGCAACAGCGGCGAGTACATGGCGAAGTTCAACAACAAGGGCGAGTTTGCGCTCATTTGCAATACGGATAACAGCCACGGGTCGGCAAGACGGGGCGATATCATGTGGCGGGCTAAGGGCGCGGCGAGTTCAAATTCGGTTTGGGTCACGGGCGATGGCAACTTGTGTGTTGGCGACGAGGAGAAGCAGAAGGTTAAGTGGCAGAGTGAGACGGCTGGTTCTGGGACGGAGCCAAGGTTGGTGGTGCAGGATGATGGGAACATGTGCCTCTATGCGGGCGGGAAGTGCGCGTGGCATAGTAATACCGCTGGAGGGTGGAGGAGGGATTATGATTACTAGGGGGTGGTTATTCCTAGGTGGTGATGTCGTTGGTGTGCAAGTAGGCAGGATATGAGGAAGATTAGCGTCTTGGATAGTAATGCGACTGCAATTTTTGTGTTAAACCTTCAGTTGCCCTAAAGATCTGTCTTTCCCAAGACTAGAGATGAACACCTTAGACACTGGGTGTGTCGTAGGTACCTGCCTTAACAAGGAAGCCGGGAAATTAAACAAGCCTACGGACCACACCCACAGCTTCCCATGGGTATTCTCGAGAAACATCGAGATAACCCATTATCAATTACCTAGCCAGTCTACCGGTCTTCCTTGTATGCCATCAACATGATTCCGTCCAGCTCAGAAGGTGATGATGCCTTTGATTCAGAATGTTTGCTTGCTCAGGGATTAGTAAACAAAGCCCATGAAGACGGGACCCTAACCCTGCTGCTTGGCACAACCCGGCGACCTGAAGATGAAGGGCGTCCCCGATGCTCGCGGATACAGTCCAGCGTTTCAGATCTAAGATTCAGGAGGTAGATAGACTGAATTGGAGGAGCTTCGGTCCTGGCTGTATCTCATGGCTGTTTTTCGTATATAAAAAGGTTCTCTCAATCATTCTGCCTCGCTCCCTTTTCCTCCTTCTTTTCACGAGTGTCCTTCCCTTTTTTGCGAACGAGAAAACCGAGAAGACACCATCCAGCAAAACGGCACAGGGGCAACAACAGCAAAGAGCAAAGTCGAGGTAAAGGATCGCTCAATGTATTCGTTTGTTTTCTCCTTCGGATTCTCCTGTGGCTAGTTCTCCCGTCGCTGTTGATCACGGGCTCCGACCCCCTTTTCTCCTATCCCCTTTTCTTTACTTTTTCCTCTTTCTGTCCATGGCCCCTTATATATCGCATCTTCCACAATCCCATCAAACCAATACTCACTTCCGTCAACAGACCCCAGAACCTATCCCCCACAGTCTCTGCAACTCCATCTCCCATCTTACACTTCCTATCCCTATCACCATTCTCACGTCTTCAAAGTCTCAGTACTTGGAAGCGCATCCCGAACAACAAAACTCCGGCCCGACATTTCCCTGATCTTGATTCAACTCCTGGCCCTCCTCATTAGCGCTGTTAGCGTTGTTCCTGACGATGGTCTTGTGGCCGTCGCGGCACCAGGCGCAAAGAGACTGGCCGGCTGGGGCGGTGGCGGTGCAGCCGCATGAGTTGCCTGAGGTCTTGTGAGCGCAGTCGGGCATTGTGGTGTTTGTTTGGTGTGGTTGGTGGGTGCGTTATAGTAGTCGTGGAAGTTGTTGAAATTGGTAGGTGGGCTTTGGTTTGTAGCTGCAGTAGGTACTCGATCGGAGTGGCTGACTGATGTCGATGATACTGGATTTGGAATTTGTGGCAGTCAAGGGTGTGTCGGCCGATGGAGTTATATAGCCGAGGCTTGTTGCTGGTTGGAGTTGTTTAATGGGCTCCCGTGGTAACGAGGGTGGAAAAAACGAGCGGCTACAGAACGATTTCTGTTTGACGGTGATTTTATGAATCACGAAGGGAATGAATGATGCATTTGTCCTCGGTTCCTCCGTAAAAGTGAAGCAAAAGCTGAAAGTTGGCGAACAAGTAACCCTCAATCAATGTGTGTGTTTGGTGGTGGTGGTGGTGGGGCTGGATAATAATCCAAATGAGCGTTAAGCGCTAAGTAAGATGAGAACTTTCCAATTTCGGCTACCATGTAATGGGCAATGGAGATCTTCGGGTTGTTTGCCGGGTGCCGTCGATCGTGGGATCCCACGGTAAGGACGGAAATACATTTGCTCTCATGGGACATCGGGACATTGGGGACGAAAGTCATCGCCGCATAGTTACGGATTCGGAAATTTTCCCTATGTGATCATACTACCGTAATTATGCGTGATGGAGATTGTGTGTTTTCCATCTTGGGTGGCAGTGGGCGGCTGCTCGGTACCGAGATGCTGGCCGACAGCGGGAGGCCAAAAAGTTATAAAATGCCATCCATCTCCTTTTGGTTTGCCATTGTCGGAGGTCTGATGTACCCTCGCCGAACATAAGATTGCCATGACAATGAGAATACTCACTTGCCTTACGAAGAGTCATTGAACTCGCGACTCTTCGTGTGGAGGCAGAAAATTCATATATCTTTGTGTCAAACGAATAAGAAAAGGGTGAGTACTCGTTTACGTGATACCGGAATCCCATAACGTCGTCGTGGCCATGATTTCATAACCTCGTGTAGCCTTCTCTTTCCCACTAGCGCGAGCTGATGTTCCGTCCAGATACATGCCACGATGTCCTCCCCATTTCGAGTCCTGCAGATATTGTTGGTCAATACTAGGAATTACTAGCCTTACAGAGTCCCTGACCATGCGACTGACTGCCACTGGAACACATGATTAAGACTGGAACAACAAAAGAAGAAAAAGAAGTGCAAACCCCATAAAACAAAACTCCTGCACGTCAAAAAGCCCCGGTGAAAAGAAAACCGCAAAGCAAACCCAGTCAGAAATATCCCTAGTATTGATAGTTCATCGTGATTCGACGAGTATCATCACCTATAGGACACCTAGCCCTGGTGATCATTGTGCCCACGAATCTCGGGAAGAAGCTGGGCGGCAAGCTGAGCATCGACGGAGTTGCTGCTCACAGAATGGCATGTTAGCTTCCACAAATATCGAGGAGAAAATAAGGGTTTCTTTTCCCTACTCTTCGTCTTCGTCGTCGTCGTCGTCATCATCGTCACCCTCCTCCTCGGCTGATAGCTGACCGCCCTGAGACTCTTCCACTGCATCATGCTGCTGCATCTCGTGGGGATGGCCAATTCCTTGGAGGTCCTGAGTTCCCTCCATATCCGCCACTGGGACAGCCGTTCTCATGCCTAATTGCATGCCCGTAAACTGGGCGTTCTGGTGAGCCATCTCCGTCTGGTCTGGGGCAGCATGCTGTTGCTGATCAGCTCCGACAACAGGAGTCCCGTTGATGTTACTGCTCTCCCCGGCTTCTGGTCCCGCAGAGATGGCCTTAGCCTTGCGCTTCCGGTTGGGGGTAGGGCCCGTATACAGCGAGCAGGCTGACGTGTTGTCGAACCACTTGCAGTTCGAACAGCTGTTATGGAAACTCCCTGGCAAGATCCGACAGACTATAAAAGGACCCAAGGCATTTTTGGTGCGGCGATCAGCACAGTGGGTGCACTGCTCCGGGGCATCTATGCCGCGTGAGTGAATGAGCAGACCGTTGACGTAACTAGGCCGCTGAGAGGCAATGTGGCGGGCCGTGATCCATCCGGTGACAAAGTAGATGTACTCGCGGGTGGGACAGTCGTTAAAGATGGCCCGCTGGGTATCGTGAACGAGAGAGTCTGCAGTCAGGGCGTCCTTAATTCGGATGGCGACAGCCGGCAGGGGCTGCTCCTCCTTGGCCGCGTTCCATGCCTTGACCAGCGGGTTGTCCTGGTAGTCACCGTCCTTGACTGTCCTATTTGGACGACCGGGAGGACGGCCGCGACGTTTCTTGGGGAACGCCGCTGGAAGCTCTCCTCCTCCTTCTCCATTTCCTCCTCTGCCCTGGGTGATATCTCGGCCTTCCCCCTGAATAGCAGTTAATGGCCCAGGGGTCCCCGTCTCCGTCACGGGAGAAGCGATGGTGTGTGCGTTCGTGTTGGGATTCCCGGGCACGGCCGACGCGAGAGCATGGTCTTGGGATTGCGCCCCGACCTCTGCTACGCCGGCTCCCGAGTCTGCCATGGACGTGATGTCGAGATGGGTATTCGAGAACCAAGTTCGATGATGAGCCAATTGGAGGTGAGGGCGATATGCTGGGGATGCCTACAAGAAAGGTCGTGATGTTCTCCTGCCCCGAGGCTCTATTTTGTACGGAAGTACTACAAGCCAAGCGGCGAGAATGTTCTTGAGTCCCCCAGTGCGCACGAGCCAAGCTCACAGGCCTCGCGTGTCTTGGCAGGAGAGCCTAGACTGCGATAGGCTTGAACCCCCCCCGGGGAGGTGCGTAATGGGGCGCTTCTGCCGTCGCTGCAACCTGGAACTGCCTTGTGCTCCAGTGAAACCCCCGCTGATGTTCCTGCAACAACCGCCAACTTTACCATACCTCAACCTCAACCTCAACCTTGCCTTCAACCACCTCATCCTTGCCCTGACAAGACGTCCATCCATCGACATCACGGTCATGTATTTTCGTTCGGCTGTTTCTTTGCTCTGTATTTGACTTTCATATACCCTGCTGCCTCTTGTTCATTGCATTGTCGTTTCTTGCTGGTGGCCTGCCGCAACACCTCGGTCGTTGGGTCCACGATAAGATAGCGTAACCGCGGCATCTCCAAGTCAACAAACAGGCCACCGCCAACCATCAACCATGTCGAATCCCAACGCCCTTCTCCTTCTCGCCGACCACATCAAGCTGTCGCTTCTTGAAAGGCAACGGGCAAAGACCCTGGAGCTGTCCAGCGACACCCAAGATGGCCACATTTCGCGATCACTTGACCAATTTCGCGAGGGGCTTGAATCTCTCCGAGCTGAACATCAGCGCCTCCAAGAAGCCGGTGACGAAGCGTATGCTTTGCCCTCTTTTTGCCTCTCGATAGTAGTAGTCACTAACATGGACACATCCATTTAGAAAGGCCTCGACGCTGAATGATACCCTCTCGTCGCTCCAAAAGCAATTCGACGATCTCACCTCCCAATTCCATGGCTACGCTTCGCCTGCCACCACCTCAACACTCACCCAACCCAATGATCCTTCTCTTGCCGGAGATTTTGCCCATGCCCAATCGTCGAAACCCGTAGCACCGTCCACGACTACTCCTCCGCCCATTGAGCGTCGTGCCTCCAAGACCGTCCGTTTCTCGTCACCCAACAGTGACCTCGAAGCCCAAGCCCCTGCCGCCTCCAAGTCTGCTCGCTCTCAACTACTTCCATACCGCGATGACCCCGTCTTGAACGACGACACTGCCGGCTATCGCGACGCCATCGACGGGCAAGACATGGACAACGTTCAGGTCCACGCCTATCACCAGCGGATTCTGGAAGAGCAGGACGCCCAGCTTGACGCTCTAGGAGCGAGCATCTCACGGCAGCGCGAGCTGAGTATGCAAATTGGCGACGAGTTGGACAGCCAGGTTATGATCCTAGATGAGAGCGAAAGAGCGGTGGATAGGCATCAAAACACGTTGGATCGGGCAAGAGATCGGGTCGGACGCTTCGCGAGGGCAGCAAGCAACAGTGGGGAGGGGAAGCAGATGGGCATCATTCTGGCATTGATCATCATCTTGGTGCTTCTGATCATTATTACCAAGTGATTATGGGGCTAGTTTGAACGGAAAAACCCCAGGAGACATTCATCTTCGCCGGACAAGGACAGTGTCACAATTTGAAGTCCGTCAGGCGCGTGTTTCCTCGTCAGGTCAACAGGGAAAAAACATAAACGACAGGCTTTGGAGGAACGATCACCCACATTTCATCTTTTTCCTTGAATTTTGTTTGTTGGACTGGATATATTCATGGGTATTTGCATTTCACATTGGCGTGAGGCGTCGCATCATGTACAACGGTCGCTTATACAGCAAGCGCTTTTTGGTACGGGATTGACATTCAATCTTTTTCTCAAATCCGAACAACATGCACACACCACCGTGTTAACGCACATTTGTGTTGGAATCGGAATGACCTTGTCACAATGGGCTTGCTCACTCACCCGGACGGCCTACTTCATCGTCGTAGCCCGACTCGACATTTGCCATACCGGCCGCCTCCGAACAGCGACAATACTCCCTCGGACATGCAACTTCAATTACTCATGGAACGACCTGAACTTTATATTATGATATCCGTTCTGGACACGGTGGCCCTGCCCACGGCAGGATTGGCAGGTTGGAATCACACCGTCCTCGCGGTCCTCTACTGGTTCGCTCATAGTCACTACTCCAAGTCAACGAAATCAACAAAGGGGATTGTAGTATAGTGGTCAGTACTTCTCGTTTTGGTTTTCTCACAGCGATCCGAGAGGACCCAGGTTCGATTCCTGGCAATCCCACATTTTTTGGCGCCTTCCACTCCATCATAACCGGGGGATAACTTTTTGGGCGTTTTCGACATGGCTATCTTGGAAAGATGTTTGGTTTCGCTTTCACGTTCCTTTTTTTTGGCGGTGGTGAGAGTTATGGGTTATTACTAACAGTATCCTTGAGGAGTGGGCTTGTTTTATTTGCTATCGAGCTATTCCAGTCGAAGAACGATGAGCATATCCGCTTGCATCCAACATCTTCAAGCAATTACTCAAAGAGTGGAATCCGTTGTCAGTGCAGAAATGTAACATTTTCCCCCCAGACCCGAAACCGCAATCAATCATAAACATCTTACTTAACTTTTGATAGTTATGAATCAAACGAGGGGAATCTCTCAGACGAATTCGAACCGAGCTGCAACTATAGATGGCGCATTCTCTTTTTCCAAGACATGTGCTGGCCCGCGATGCCGTCCTTAATGTCAATAATCGTTAAAATTCCTTCATCAAGGCAAGATGGCCGAGCGGTCTAAGGCGCCACGTTAAGGCTAACCCTTAATCTCCTCTCAGAGTTCCGTGGTCCGAAAGGGCGTGGGTTCGAATCCCACTCTTGTCAGCACTTTACATCATCACCGGGCTCAGGCGGTGGTATTCCTTTTTTTTCAATTTTTTTTTTCATTTGTTATTGTTATTTTCGTCAGACACCGTCATGAGAATCAGCGGACAAATCCGTTCGTGGAAGCATAAATGCCGATCATAAACATTTAGGAAGCTGGCTTTGACGACAGGGCCTAGAGAATGACATAGCTCAAAAGGTCAATGTTAAAATGAGGTATCGCCCGCGAAGCCGGACATTGAAAGGGAAGAAGAGTCGAGGACAAACGAATTTTGGTTGTAGCGATCCAAGAGCTTGTCGTTCAAAATATATACTCCACGATTGGAACGCTATGTATCTTCCACTATGTTATTTTATTATTGCCTTGATAAAGAATGTCAACTGAATCATAAATAACATGAAGAAACAAACATGAGCAAAACAACGAAAAAGAAAGCGCAGAAAACTCCGATTTAAAACACTAAAAAAATAGATGAAGATGAAGCCGGAAGCGTCAAAAATGTGGGATTGCCAGGAATCGAACCTGGGTCCTCTCGGATCGCTGTGAAAAACCACAACGAGAAGTACTGACCACTATACTACAATCCCTGTTGTTGAAGAGTTCGGATTCACGTACCCTCTAAGAATGCAAAGGCAAGAAATTCCAAATGTTGTCCCGGATACCAACTGGAGATACCTTCGGCGGTGTCATTCCTGTTCGCTCTTCCACATGATGGAATACCTGCTTACTCCCTTGGTTGCAATGTTTTGGTAGTTCTGTTGAAGCCTACTAAAGTGCACATGAATCCCGAATACCTGAGAATCCCAACTGACTGCCGAGAGTTAAAGGAGTGATGTGATGCGATGGCTAATCACTATGTGCGGTGTGGTGCACTCCATTCTCGTTCCTGCAAACTGCAGCGCGCTGACTGATGTCACCACTGATCCCATGACCAAAGGAGAAGGAAACCCTCAGGAGACTCAATCCCAAAAAGCCCAAAACACCAAGCTATTTCCCCTTACCTGTAGTAACGTTATTTGTCTATCTTTACTAGATTAGCAGCTTCGTTGAAATGTATGGGGGCTTACGGATAGCAGTGCTGAATGGAGTCTTTTCGCCAAGACTCATGCCCCTTTGGAATAGGAACCAAAAGCGGAAAGTCGAGAGAGTGAGATGTTATTAGTGCTGATATTTGGTGGAGGTGAGGTGGGCGAGAGGAAGAGGTAAAAACGCCATTTTAGCAGGTAGGAGTCAAGGGTGATGGCGAAAATACGGAGAGGAAAAAAAAAGCGAAAGGTGTAGGTAGGTAGTGGTAGGTACAAGAAGGAGAGAGAAGCTCATGATGGCTCGCTGAAAGATATATCAATCAGTACCCTCCCTCATATTTCTTTCCCGAGCGAGAAAGAAAAAAAAAAAAAAAAAACCCCCACAAAAAAAAAAAGTTGTTTTCTCAGAACACCTACTCAACGGGCTCTCGTGGCGTCCAGCCAACGATGGATACCTCTCTAAAATACGAAGAAAGAATCCGTACACAGAAGCGGTGCATGGTCCCCTTCGGCAAAGGACGCAGGAATTGCTTAGGCCAGGCGCTGGCAACGGCGGAGCTGTACTCGACTTTCGGCAACATCTTTTGGCGGTTTGATGATGTGATGGTGGAGGAGGGGGTGATGAGGGAGGATCTGGGGCTGGTGGAGTTGTTTTTGGGGTATCATCCCAAGGAGGCGAGGAAACTAAGGATCTTGAGGGGGGAAAACTGTGTGACGGGTGTGGCGTTGTGTTGATTGGATTATTGGATGAACCATTCTTCGGATGAAGAACGCTTGATTGAATCAAAGAAGGTATTGACCGGCGTTATATGTGGAAACATGTGTATTGGAAGACGTGTGTGCCTAAACACGGCCATCTACTCTTCGCAAACCATATGGAGTTGAGAATGCAAGAAATGTGAGAATTAATGTTGGGATTCGGATGTAAGTGAAAAGAGCCGGAAGAATCTTTGGGAAGAGGAAATAACCTTGAGATTATTTTCAGAAGTGGATTGACCTCATCTGATCACTCCTGAAAGAAGCCCAACTTGATCCACACTCACTTGAGTTCATCCTGTCAATCGACTCGTTTTGACAAGTTCCCTCTACGTTTGACCTGCCGTCAATGATGTCAATTTCGAGAACTTGGCTATTCACAGCCAGCTTATCGTTCTCGATTTCATGAGCTGTCCGCCTCCACTATGTCACCTCCATCAAAGCATACAGCAACCTCAACATCACAAGCCGTGAACGCGGACACTACGCTCTCAATGTCGCAATTCCACTCCCGTTTGAGCCGCAAACACTCTCGTTACACACAGCCAGCCTTTGCTTTCCTCAATTTAGGTAGCAATAAAGGCAGCAATACTTCTCTCCAGTAGTGTACACGCAGAAAGAGTGGTGTGCTGGCAGTAGGCCTCTCCCGCGCCAAGACTTTGCATGCTCTTGATTGAATGGGACTCACAGGCGACCGTTCTCTCACTGGCCGTTTGTTCGCCCATGATTATCCCCGGAGCAATCATCTCCTAGCATGCTAGAGGCGTGTCTCTCTGCACTTGTTGACTGCCTCCATATGTATGGAGATAAGCCGCCTCCAGATTTCCCCCATACATACCTGTAGTTTTTGGAGGCGGAAGGCCCGCGATGTCTCCTCGTCAGCCTCAGAACCAAACGGACGGCCGGGCCTCAAGCGGCAAGTAACCCTTCTGATGCAACGGAGAGTATGTCGAGAACCGCGTACTTCGGTTTTTCATGGCGCTGAATGGAAGACGGCCGAACGGAAAGGAGTTGTCAAAGTCTTGCGAGGGATGAAGCGATGGATGGGTATATGAACCTCGATCTCCTTCTTCGATGTCCATCCTCATCCCCATCAGCAAAGAACTTCTGCCTCTTCAAGGAGATACCATTCTGTCCAAGCCCTTTCTGCCACATCCAGCAAAAATCACAGCCAAAATGCTGATAGCCATTCTTGCCCTTCTCTCCTTCCTCTTGGCCTTCGGCCTCCACCACGTCCTATCCCACCAAACCCGCCTCTTGCACCAAATCTTCAACCAAACCATCTTCAACACCTTCCAGCTTGCTCGTCTTATTGGCCCTCCAAACCCCAACGACTCACTGACAATTCCCGACCCCATTTCTGATTCAACCTCCGTCTCTAAAATACCAGCGGCCCAAGCGCTAGCCACCAAGCGCGTCAACTACGCCCGTTCCGTTATCGATTTCTCATATGCCGGGCCCAAACTCGATTTGGAAAACCGCCTTAGTCTCCGCGCCCTGGCCAACTCCCGTCTAGTTACGGCGTTCGGCATCAACACGTCGCTCACCAGTTCGTCGGTCACCGTCCATCAGGAGTTTCGCAAGTTGGCGAATGCGTCAATCAGCAAAAGTAATGCAGATTGGCAGAAGCTTTATGAAGTGGCCATGAACTTTCTTCGGGTGAATGAAGCCGGCCAGGATATGGTTCGCTTGGCAGAGTGTGTTCGATGCCTGTGCTTTGTTGTCGTTCTGGTCTCACAGTTTGGGGCAGACCTTACGAAGCTTGATGAGGGCTTAGTAAAGAAGGTTACTGATGAGATCAATGCGCAATGGCTGAGGAGTAAGGTGAATGATGGGACTTTGAGGAGGTCGGCGAGATTGAGTCACTATCTTTACACCCTTTTTGAAGATCCAGAGAAATCGGTTGTTGAGGGTGCAACTATCAGCTCAACGCAGGCACTTGGATTGATCATGCCGCAGTACGAGACACTGTGGCGTGTAGTGCTCCTCACCTATGTCACTGCGTACCACCGGCAGTCTGATAGGCGGAGTTTGAAGAAAAGAGTCAGAGATGTTCCAGTGTGTTTGGGGAACGCTGCCAAGGAGAAGGAGGCACTCAAGTTAGCAAAGGTACGTCCCAAGTTCAGAACTTTACCGGAACATGCCACTGACACTCACCGTCTCTCCAGGAGGGCCTGCGTCTCTACCCATCCAACAACAGAATCTATCGTGCTGTCCCTGGCCCTGAACCTCCAATTTTGGTTTCAGCAGATGTTCAAGCATGCCATCGTGACCTCGCTGTCTGGGGTCTCGACGCTCTTGAGTTTCGACCGGAGCGGTTTGACAATCTCGCACCTCTCCAGAACGAAGCCTACTTCCCTTTCTCTCTAGGCTCCCATAAATGCCCGGCTATCAGCGGCTTCGGGAACAGGATGGTTACTATGCTCGTGGTCTCCATGGGAAGGGCTCTTTCTCCAGAAACTGGAAGGCTGAATTTCAGAGATGCTAAACTGGACGACGACACTAGAACGTCTTTGCCGACTGGGCGGGACGAGATGGAAAAATGGTCCTGGGATCGGACATATGTTTAGCGAAGCTAGCAAGAGGCTCAGGAGAGCTGAACGTTCTGTGTGTTAGCAACGCGCCCTAAAAACACCAGCGGCAGGCCCGCGGGCTTTGAAATGAATGTCAATGTACTGCTTGCTGTGTATGTACTGTTCTCAATACTGTTCCCAATCTGGCCCATCCTTTTCCCACCCAGACCTTGCATACTGCGTGCTTCTTCTGGCCTACCCACGTTCCCGACACCAACGCGAACCCCCTATACCGTTGGCTTTTCGAAGGGTATCGTAATATCAGGTCGTTTCTCCAGGCATCCTTATGCTGGCTTCATTCCCATCACCCCTTTCAAATCATTTCCCCCATTCCTAACCTTTCTGTGTCCGTAGCTTATCACCTCATCTTCCTCGTACCTCATCCATTCTCGTGACGTCCGACAAAGTTTCGTTTGCTTATCACCGGATCACGTCACCTTCTCTATCGATGCCTTCCAAGCTCTCCAAGATATCACTACCACCAAGCATGCCTACCCCTCCGGTTGTGGCTTTCTTGTCCGCCGTCCATACCTCATGAAATTTGACGCTCTTATCGCTCGATGCAACCATAATGCAGCCTTCCATCACGGTGCGGCTTGAGCCTCGCGCCCTACTACCGCTGTTCCCCGATTTGCGAGCATCATTAGGTCCGCCGGGATAAGGAATGGCATAAAGAGCTCGGTGCTCTCCAGCCCAGGGGATAGCAGCAACTTGGCGGCAGTCAGGCCAGGAGAAGACAGCAATCCGCACCGAGTGTTCCGGTTGAGCGTAGCCAAAGGTAGCGGCAATCTCCCGTCGGGTCGTCGACCAGATCAGACTTGTGACTTGCGCAGCCACAGATATAGTTGCAAGGGCGGCGCCGGAAGTTGTATGAAAGAAATGAATGCACTTATCGTTTGATCCGCCACCAGTTGCCACTAATCCATCCTGCCACGGACAAAAGGCGATTGCTTTGACTGCAGCTCTATGCATCCACCTATACCTTTCGTCTCCTGGCTTGAGGATTGGGATCACATTGGCGGGCCTTTGGGTTGTGCGAATCTCCGTGGCAATCTCTGTCGCTGACGAACTCTGTGAAACTCCTTGCGTGTGAGAGTGGTGCGAAATGTCAGTTTGCCGTACGCGTCCCATGTTACGGCGTGCGTAGTTCATGTCTAAAACTTTTTGCGTTTCGAACAGACAACACAAGTTGTCATTTCCTCCTGTAGCGAAGCGATCGCCAGCGGGGGACCAGGATAGGCCACAAATCTGTTGAGAGTGTATGTCAATGCGGGCCAGTAGCGTCAACTGTCCTTGCCAGTTGTGTCGCTCAACTTCCCACCTGTCCGGCCATTCAACAGAATAGTACCAAACGCGGCCTGCCTCATCTCCCACTAGCAGATCCTCAGTGACAACGAGCACACCGGGTTTGAAGGGAGAGCTAGAAGGCCGCATGGTGCATGATGGTTTCCAACTCAAGCAAGCAATAGGTGAAGGATGAAGAACCTCAAAACGCGGAGTTGGGGCAGCACGTGAGGTTTCCGGGTCTGCATCGTCGAGCAAAGACATCAGTCCTAAAGTTTTGTTAGACCGACCGTATGCCAAAATAGCTTTGCGGCCATCTGTCGAAGAGAATGCCACACTGGTTAAATGGCAGTCCTCTTGGGTTCCGGCATTGAGCAGCCGAACTCCGCGGGACTCTGACCAGCCGTAGAGAAGGTCACCCAGGCCAACAGCTAGGGTCCGAGAAGTGGCGGAATAGGAAAGAATTGAGCAGTAGAAATCGTCTCGTAAGTTGGGGGCATCGAGTACCCTACAGTACGTTAGCATGATCGAAGACATGGAGGGACGGGACCACCTACTTGAAAGGAGCGGCGGGCAATGATCGGTTCTCTTGTTTCTTTTTCTGCTGCTCTGAGGCTTAGTTAGCCGATGCGTCCTGTCTTTGCATTACTCTGCGATACTCACTTGGACACAATCCTTCCTTGACCCACTCTGTTCCATTCCATTGTGTGTGTGACTTGCTGGACCTTTTCTCTCTGCTTTCGCTTTGGTGGGGAAGGATGTTGACGTCCAAAACTCGGGCCGCGCGGTCGAGTTCCAAGGCAGTCGCCAATCGGGCTTCATGTCTCTCAAGTTCCTCCTCGACTTTCGGCTTGATAGTTGGGAATGAGGTCCGGAAGAGCCTGGCGTTTGTCCCACTCCTCATCAAATGGCCAGGCCGTTGTTAACTGCTGTCTCTGCGGGCGGAGCAAGACCGCCAACGGCCCAAATTGAGCCAAGGCTAAATTGTCTGTCTCGGCCGGTACTTGCGTTGGTGTTGACAGGACTAAGGACGCTGCCTACTGAACAATCTAGTTAGCATTTATGCAAGACATATAGTCTTAAATAGTCTTACCTCTGTTCCGACTTGCTGCTCTATCAGAGCGTGATCGTGTGTTAAGGTCGAAGGGGCTGGTTGCCACTACTCTCCGATGACTAGAAAAGGCATCCTCAGTGGCTGAGTTGTGACGGAGGAGTTTCTCGGGAGTGGTCAACTCGTGCGGCGACTTGCTGGTGCGGAACCTTTCAACAGTGTTTGACGAGAGGGTCCTCGAGGGTATGAAGCGATCAGGAACACCCCGGCTTTGTATCTTAGAGCTTCGCCGTGGTATTTTGGAGCCTAAATCGGAAGCAAAGAAGGACGTAAGAGCTGGACGAGGGCGAATTGAGCTCCTGGGCAATGGCGCGGGCTTATGGCGCTTCCTAGGGCTTTCGTCGTCCGGACACTCGATGTCTACTGCTCCTGTGCCAAGCACACCAGCATGTCTTCCCTTGTCACTGTAGGCTTCTAGTTTGTACTCCTGATCTGAGGTGTTCTTATCGTCAGACTCGGACAAGTTTTCCTGATCTGAGAGATTCCCATCACCCAGTCTCCACAGATAGTCGGCCTCAATGAGTGTCCTTTTCTTGTGAGGGGTGATGGGAGTCGGGGGAGCCGAGCCATAGCCAGAGTCAGATGAGCTGTGAGGGGACTCCTGAGGCGAGCCACATATGTGATATTGACGCTGGGCTTCTTGGAGCAGGGGAAACGGCGTGTGAAATGTCATTGTGCTTGTGGGGCCGGGGACGAAGGCTCGAGAGCCACGGTTGCTGTTGTCGTTGCCCATAGCGAAGATACAGCCGACTATATACTGAATGAGTTGTTGATGATAGCACGAGTAGCAGACCTCGAGTGAGAAAAGGATAAGGTGGGAAAGAATGCTTTAGTGAAGCGACCCCATCAAGTCCGAGACGACGAAGGTTGTCGAAGCTGAAGTGACGAGATAGCTCGATGAAGTCGACCGGATGATGTGATAGAGATGGTGATGATATCTGAGAGAACCTGCTGTTAACGAAGGGCGTGTGGAGCGATAGAGATGGGCGAGCTGTGTGCGAGAACCTGGACGAGAAGTGATACTCGTCGTCGGTGTGCTCGAACGGTGCTCGATTTGCCGTCCGAGATTAATAACCGTATCCAGATGCTGGTATGGTTAGTAGTGCTGCTGCTGTGCTGGTGGAAGCGTAGTAATAATTACGAATGCGTGTTCCTAGGGAGAAGCAGTAGGAAAAGAAAATGGAGTCGAGGAGGCGTATTTGGAGGTTGGCGATGAAGGTTGAGCGTCAGCAGTTTTCTGTGAGGGAGGACTGATGTCGAAACCGAGAAAGCGTCACCTAGTAGACGTCCACGCCGGCCATTTCAAGAGAATGATGAAGCGCAATGTCCTAGTGAAGTGGGCGTTTGCCTGTGAGCGCAAGAACGACCCCCGGGGATGAAGCGGATCGTGATGATGAAAGTTTGGTTGGTCAATCTCGAAGGTTCAAGGGGAAGGAGGAAAGTTTGCTGAGGTCAGTCAGGTCAGTCAGGCAGAGTGGACTCACTCATGAGATGAACACTCAGCAATCAATGAGGCACAATAGTTCAAACAGGCAGGCAGGATCGGTTGATTGGAAAAAGCCTGTCATCCCAAGTCTGGACAATAGGAAAGAACGACCCTGAGTGGGCAGAGGGCGAGTGAATGCAGCAAGACCATGCCGAGACCGGCGGGACTGGAGTGGACATTTTGACTGCAGTCCACCGAAGTGTTGGTCACTCTTCCAGATTCAGAAGGCACGATGCTCAACGTGGGTCTCAATGATAGTTGTGGTTCGGCAAGTACCATGAGTGCATCAAGGGCCAGACGTCAAAACACAAAGACGGGAGTTGAAAGGTGGAAGGAGGACCTGAATGAGAGGATGGGTGTGGAAGTCGTTCCTGCATGATGTTGTTGTATGCGACATCCACGATAAGCCCGACAAGCCCCACTTGTTCTGGAGCTGTCTTGCCAAGCCTCCCATACAGGCCGGGGTTCTCCAGGTAATTTACGGTAACGCTACACCAACATGGGCATAGCGTTACTGTTAGCAGTTGCCTGCCCCGTGCTGTCCTCCCCGACGTCACCTCAACAAAGGCAACGGAACATGTCCCTTTGAAGCAAAGCCCCGACCCCCATTCCAAACCCCTGAACCAACCGGTTGACAGTCGAGAGTAGTATCATGGCCGATGTAAGACACCACCGGACTCCAGTCTAGACAGACACTAGCTTGGCAGGCTGTTGACTGATGGGGAGGCGCATCCCAGCAAGGCGGATCCAACCACGGCATAGCCCGCACCTCGAGAACGCGCACCGAAGAGCAGCGCCAGAAGGACCTCGAGCGCATCAAGGACTACTGCAGCCTTGAGGACCAGGTGCGCGACCACGCCGCAAAGAACGACTACTCCCCCGACGTCTTCGCCCTCACCTCCAAGCTCCTGCGCCTCAATCCCGAGTACTACACAGTATGGAACGTCCGCAGGCGCTGCCTAATCTCTGGATTATTGTCCAAGCCTTTGCCTGGCTCCTCGCCCTCGAAGGCGTCGCCGACTTCTTCTCCGACCGCCACTATCACAACCTCTTCCGCCGACTTCTTCTCCTCTTTGTCGACCGAGACCCCGCCCGCCCCCGAGTCCCAGACAACTGGGAAGAGTGGTACAACAGCTGAGGAGGACGAGCAGGATGAAGAGCAGAGGCAGCAGACGCGGCAGCAGGACCAGCTGAACGACCAACAAATACTCCAAAAGGAACTACACTTCACCATCCCGCTGCTCCTCGAATCGCCAAAATGCTACTGGATTTGGAGTTACCGGTTATGGATTTTGAAGCAGGTGATTGAGAGACTGCCGGTCCCAGTAGCGCGAAAGATTTGGGAGGATGAGTTGGGCTTGACCTCCAAGATGCTCCTGCGAGATCAACGTAACTTCCACGCCTGGGGATACAGGCGGCACGTGGTTGATCAGCTGGAGAGTCCAGAGCTGGAAGGCAAGAGCCTGGTCGAGTCGGAGTTCGAGTTCACGACCAAGAAGATCGAACAGAACCTCTCCAACTTTTCCGCCTGGCACTCGCGCAGCAAGCTTATCCCGCGGTTGCTGGATGAGAGGAACGCAGATGATGAAGCGAGGAAAGCGTTCTTTGAGGAGGGTAAGTGTGCCCCTCATTGTCAGTCGAAAACCAATCCATCGAAACTGACACTTATCTCTCCCAGAACTTGGCAAAATCGGCGAAGCAATCAACGTCGGTCCCGACGATCAATCCCTCTGGTACTACCACCAATTTCTCATGCTGAACCTCGTCAGCTTCGTCGGGCACCCGACCATCACGCCCGCCTTCACGCAAGAGGAGCGTGTCACGTACCTGCGACGCGAGATCGAGGGGATCCAGGAGCTGCTGGAGGACTACGACGACGCCAAGCTGATTTACGAGGCGTTGTTCGACTATACCCTTTATCTCTGTCAGCTGCAGGAACGGAAGCCGAACGAGCAGGAAGAGGAGGACTTGAGGAGTTGGTTGGGAAGCTTGAAAAAGCTGGATCCCATGCGCAGTGGACGGTGGGCGGATTTGGAGAGGGATTTGGGGTTGAGGGTTACCAGGGAGGTGTAGCCAAAGGCGGAAAGGTTTAAGGGGGGAAATATGTGCATGGGTTGTGTAATGGCAGGTACCAAATAGATCCCAACTACTGTGAAGGCGCCGTCCAAATTGATCATTGATATTCAAAAAGAGCAACGCGCCCAGCGCAATGTACATGTGCAATTGACCGATGCTTCATGCACGGACTTACATTCTGCACAAGGAGTGTGCAACCTTCCCGATACCAGACCTACACGTGGGACGTTTGGTACAGCATGGCATCCACGAGTCTACGACATGCTCTCCCGTCTTCCATCTCATCTTTCCCATGCAAATGACCAATGTGTCGTGTGTTGATGTGAGTCATCTCGAGGTCACGAGCCTTCTGGTTACCTCTCTGTTTGCCAGCCACAAGGTCCCTCCATCAAGTCTTTGTTCTCAGTAGAAACTCCGGTGCCGTTGGTGCCAATTTTGCCCGTCTTTGCACGTCTTGCCCTACCGAGCTAAGACAGAATTAATGGCAAACGGAAGGGGGAAAGGAAGTGAGAGGGAAACGGGAAGTGGTGGATAAATGGAGTGAAGGGTGGTTGGTATCGAGGTAAAGTTGGTGCTCTGTTTTTGTCAGAGACACTGACTGTCTGGGCCGCATGAGTTTTGTGAAATGGCACTCATTGAACCGGAAATTCTTACAAAACTGTTGGTATGCAGGTGACGCTTTTGCACCCAACTCTTCTCTATCCCCAACTCTACCTAGATGCATGCCAATCTAGCCATATTGACACAGGAATAATACATCATGATACAATACAATACAAGTCCTCAGTTGCTGCTGCCCCCTTTTACTCATCCCTAAAAGCATCAGCTAGAGTAACCGGCACGTCCTCGCCCTTCCCCCCCCTCAAACCCCACCACTCCCTTCTCTCCAACAGCGTCTCCCGCCTCCTCAGCTTAAAAGTCCGATCCCTCGTCCGCCAAAACTTGGGTCTCTGCCACGACGTCCCCCGCCGCAACAAATCTCCATCGATCTTGCGATACCGCACCTCGCACTGCACCCAATCGTAAGCGCCTGGGAGGGAAAGGCCGAGGGTGGGGAGGGCGATGAGTTTTCTGAGCTTTCTTTGGGAGGGAAGGTACCAAGTGTCGGCGTTGCAGGGAACGTATTTGCTCTCCTCCCACTTGTCGTAAAAGGCCAAGAGGTCGAGTATCTGATTTTTTGTCAAATTCTTCTGGAGTTGTTGGATGGTCACCGTTTCCGGAGTGGGAGTTTCGGTATCATCCTCGGCGATACCGGCCGCGGCCTGACGTAGGTGGTCCGGCGGCTGGGGCCAGTATGCTTCGTTGTTGTTGGTGTAACTCAGGAAATCGGCATCCGCGTAGACGGCGGGGAGCGTGTACCGGATGCGGCCGGGCGCGTAGACTTTCAGCATGTTAGTGAGCAGCTCCTTGTTCTTGACCTTCTCGCCGAGGAGGAGACCCTCGCGGAAGTCCTTCTGGTACGCGGCGTCGAAGGGGGCGATGCGGATGTTACAGGGCGAGCGGTGGCGGAGCCGGATCCAATAGCGGCCGTCCCAGAGCTTCCATTTTTTCCCGCCGTCAGTTGGCCAATCCGAAGGTTCTTTAAGGAAACGCGACCGCAAGGGTACTGCGGAAATTCGAAGCTCTGGGGCGCGAGTCTTGGTTTCGTAAGGGGCTCGGGAGAGTCGCCAGCGGACGGAGCCGTTGGGCTGGATAAGGGGGTCCATGTGCACGCCGGCAATCACGTAGCCTTTGGGCCTGCCCTGGAGTGTTGGGTTCTCCTTGTCGTCGGGCAGCCTCAGTTCGGGAAAGAGCAACGAGACGGAATATTCGAGTTCCGCAAGCGTTGGCAGCGTGGAATGATGGGGCGTGACCAACGATATCAGTCTCCGTACGATGATGGCAGCGATGGTGCGATAGTGAATAAGACGCTTCTTGCGCCAAACAGCAGACCTCCGAGACAGTCTGGGACCTCCTGGTAGTTTGTACCTGGGCATCTCCGCCTCCACGGTCCCGGCTGTCGTTGCGAGATCACGGACATGTAGCCGCTCGAGAACTCTACCGGCTTCGGCTTCCTCGGCGGCAACTCTGGCGCGGCACCGTGCTCCAAGCTGCAAAATGGCAGGCTTCTGCAAGGCGGCTGGAAGATTGTGATGCTTGACCAAGTATCGGATAGCATTGCGGGGAGTGAAGGTCGGGTCTGCATTCGTGTAATCTTCGAACCAAGGAATGTCGTTCTCCTCACAGGTGGCAGTGAGCCTGTCTTTGCTGAAGCCAAGTAGAGGGCGGTAGATCATTATGCCACCATCCTCTGCCTCGACCTCTGGGACTGGAGGGACGTCTCCCCCTTTGCGATGTGCGCGCTGGTACTCGTTGAAGTACTGGCTTCCATCACTCCTCATGCCATAAGCCATTTCATACTGGAGCATTTGCGGATCGAGCTGATTACGCAGGCTGGACCTCAGGATTCTCTTCATCCGCCTTCCCGCCGGCATCCTGGTCCAAAATGGGTTGGAGGACGCTTGGTCATCCAGATAACCACTCTGGTAGGCGTTATAAATATCGTAGCACTCTGGAATGTCTGCCGCAGGCGGGATCCCCTGAAGACCGCGGTAGCCACGGCCGCTTATCATCCTCATCAGGATGGTTTCGTACTCATCGTCCTCATGGTGGGCTGTGAACAGGGAAACAGCATTGTAAGAGCGGCATGCGCTCGCAAACGCGACATAGCGAAGTTTGCGGCCTAGGGTTTCGATATTGGGTTGGGTCTTGGGGTCTACACCGGGGCCGAGTTCAGACCTCCAGTTTATAGGCTCAATAACAGGGTATAAAAAGTCTGGGAACTTGGTCCTGATGACATTGGCCACCTTCCTTGCCTCCTCGTCACTACCCTCGCGCAAGCCATGGTCGATAATGACGGCGCGGACCTTGTTCAAAATGTTGTCGCTGATGCGAAAGGCTTCCATAGAGGGACCGCTAGAGATCAGCGAATGAGTATCTTGTTTCAACCGGTTGAATAGGAAGGCCAAGGCCATAGAGTCCACGCCTCCGCTTATGGCACAGGCGACCTGGCGATGCACGGGACTGAAGGCCGGAGGGAACCGGGGGAGGCATATTGCTTGGAGAGCATCTTCGAACTCGCGGGCGCTGATTGCCCGGGCGCTGCGGTGGAAGACTTGTAGCGGCGTGACCATCCCATCGCCTGTCCAGATGTGGTGTGTTCACCTCACCTTGAGGTTGGAGGAGGAGGATGGATGGATGGTGTGGCAGATGTGGTAAAGTGACAAAAAGAGTGGAGATGTTGAGCCCCGGAACAGATGTTTTGACGATGACAGAAAAGTAACCTAGCTGCACTAACATTTAATTCAGATCCATGTGGCCCGAGCTCTTTTACCGTGACGCTCTCCAGACTTTCCAGTAGCGGCTGCGTTGCAGTGGCGTCCACAGCGCTTGGACGCCTATCCCAGCTCCATTTAAGGTGAGTGTAAGTACACATATTGCAGAGGTACCTCAAATCAAGCCTGACAGGCCTCGTCCGCGTTGGAGAATGAAGTACCTCTTAGCTGACAGTACAAACATCTTGTGCGGTCCTTTTCACTTCCCCAACTTTGGAAGCTTCCATTTCTCTTCGATCCCGTCGGACAAGCAAGCATTCGGAAGTTTATACACGAATTACCAACTTCCACAAAGACTTTATAAAGGCCCGTCGTCGAATGTGACCAGACACAACAGGTAGCATCCCGTGTATTTGGAGTATCCCCGAGCTGGAGGCTTCCCTTAAGCTGTTGGTTTTAATCAACTTTATCCAGAATGCCAAGACATCCTTGCCCGAGTGTGTTCCATTCTTTCCCCAGAGTTGTCATCAGCCTCAACGCTCAACGAATCGCAGTATTTCCCAACTTACACTAGATACTTCCTTCTATAGGTGGTAGCATCCGACATTTGCTTTCCATTTTCCAACCCCTACTCCTACTGCCTTCCTTTTGATTTCCCGGTCTCTCGAGTCGTTGCTTATCTTTTTCTTGCCTGGTTTCCATTCTCCCAATCACCACTGCAGCTCCCCCTCTTTCCCTCTTCTACGGGTTAGGTACCTTCAACATCCGGTATCCAGCATTGCATCCATCCACGCACCACCGGGCAGTGCACGCATGATCTACTAAGCAGCTTGCCCAGCCATTACATCCACCCATTCATTCACTTTAACCACCTCAGCAAGCTGAACGGCTTCGACGTCTTATACGCCCTCATCCCGTCCACTATTACTCGTCCCAAGCCATATACGTCATATTATACCTCGATACGCAGGTACCGTCCTTTTAGACTTTGATACCATCGACCGGTGTTGGACTCGTCGACCAGTCAGAAACATCCGTACCTTGGATTCTACGCCAAGAGAACGGAAAGCCATCTCGCTCGCCTGGACGCTGAGAACCCGCAGCGCTCTCACCCGACCACTGCATTCCCAGTCCCCACTGCTCAGCTCCCATCCGTCATAGCAGACATCGATAGGTACAAAGACCCGGCTCGACGCTCGCGCATGATTGCTCTCCCGGTCCTTTAATCTACGATATGGCCAAAAAGGCTCGCCAAAGAATCAGCTATGGTTGGTCTTTTTTTGTTGTCTTCAATTCCGCCCGAGGCGCAATACGGCGCGCATGGCTAATCACATTCGTACTCTATCGCAGTTCTCGAGCTCCCAAACTCCTCACCAGGTGGCCATCGTCTCGGCGTGAACGGTCTCGCCGTCGATCGCGACAATGCTATTCTGTGAGCTCACACCCATATCCCCCCTCCCCGTCTCAACCGATACCGATCGATTTCCGTCCATCTACTGATTCAACTCGACACGACATAGCTACTCCGGCGGCCGTGATGGCATAGTATGCGCCTGGGACGTCCACCCTGATTGCATCGCCCCGACTTCCCCCCACTCCGCCGTTGTCGATACCTCATCCTCGCGCGCCAATGCTAGGCCCAAGCAGACGACCCGATTCCGTTCCCAAACACAAGCGCATACACATTGGATCAACGATCTTGCTTTAGCCCAACAACATTCCGCCGTCGTATCCGCTTCGTCCGATCTCCTTGTCAAAGTATGGCGACCCCACGGAAGCGACGCCAAAGAACCAGCCACCATTGGCCAGCACGCCGATTATGTCAAGTGCGTTGCGACACCGTCACAGTCCACCAACTGGGTTGCCTCGGGTGGTCTCGACCGTAAAATATACCTCTGGGATTTATCAGGCGCCGGCAAGCGACTGGAGATAGATGTCAGCGGCGAGGAGGTGCGAGAGAAGGGTAGCGTTTATGCTTTGGCCGTCAACCACTCCATCCTCGCCAGCGGCGGTCCCGAGAGCGTGGTTCGACTATGGGACCCCAAGACGGGCAAGCGCATCACAAAATTCGTCGGTCATACCGACAACATCCGGGCCATCCTGGTCAACTCTTCAGGCGACATGGTCATGACGGCCAGTTCCGACCAGACGGTCAAGGTCTGGAGCGTCACTGCAGGCAGGTGCATGCACACCCTCACCATGCATAATGACAGCGTATGGTCTCTTTTTGCCGAAGACCCTGAACTCGGCGTCTTCTACAGCAGTGATCGGTCGGGCTTGGTGGTCAAGACAGATGTGAGAGGCACCTTGGGCGACTTGGACGATGGCCTGTCCTTGGCTGTCGCACAGGAGCACGATGGTGTGAGCAAGGTTGTCGCTTGTGGAAACTCTTTGTGGACGGCGACGTCTCGGTCGTCCATCAACCGCTGGCAGAGCGTCGACACAAGTGCCGACATTCAGCTCCCAGGGGGGTTCCGACCCCAGAGGGCCTCCGTTGTGTCGACGAGGAGCAGGGAGAGCACTTTCCAGTCTGGATCCCCAGCAGGGTCACCTACCCCCAAGCGGGAGATTCCGGCCAAGTCCATCTTGCGGATCTCAAACACGGCCTCTTTTCCGCTTGCCCTCAGTCGGGATGGCGCAGAATCGGTAGCAACACACACGCGCAAGGGATCTGAAATAATAACAGACCCTGCGGTAAATGTAGTGGAGCCGATACACCATTTGCCGGAAGAGACGATCGAAGGCCAATTCGGCCTGGTCAAGCACCGTCTTTTGAATGACAGGAGGCGGGTCCTGACACTGGACACGGCTGGAGATGTAGTGTTGTGGGACTTGATCAAAGTGAGACATCTCAGTTCCCGGAACCTTGTGAATGTGAACATGACTTGTGCTGACCGTCTTGTTTCATTTAGTGTAAACCCATCAAGAGTTTTGGAAAGAGACATTTGGAGGATGTAGAACCGGAGGTCAACACCCTAGAGGCGGTGGCTCCATGGTGCTCTATCGACACTAGCTCGGGCAACTTGACAGTGGTTCTAGAGCCATTCAACTGTTTTGACGCCGAGGCGTATGCCGATGAGCTTACACTAGAAGAGCCTGTGGAGTTCCGGGAAGACCAGAGGAGTACGTTTCACTGCCGATTACTGTCAACTTGGATTGTGCTAACCCTTTGCAGTAAATCTTGGAAAGTGGATTCTACGCTACCTTTTTGCAAACCTAATAGATGAAGAGATACGGCGTGATGAGGCACACAGACACAAGCTGAACGAAGCATTGCAAAAACGGACAGCCGTTGGGAGGGCGAACCCCGGGCTATCGATATCAATCCCTCCCCCGCCGGGTGGTTTCGACTCGCAGGTTGCGACGCCGCGGGCAAACGGCTCCCGGTTCCCTCCTGCGACACCAGGGTTCGCAATTGGACTGGCTACTCCAGGCTCGCCCATGGGACCAGGAGCGGACTTTGGAACGCCGCTCAGTCCCCTCGACAGATTCTCGTCGCAAGTTTCTAATAGGCAATCTGCCGAACGAGTCGATTACTTTTCAGACGCCATCAATTCACCAGATGCAGATGCAAACAAGTCAGCACAGACTCCCGCAGCTGTTGCAGAGCCTCGGCCCTCAGAAGACAAGGCCGGGAAGACGTCAACTGAGAATGGAAAGGAGAAGGAGAAGGAGAAAGACAAGGACAAGGAAGTTAAGAGCCCCAGCACGCCGTTTGGAAAGAAGTTCCGGATGAACATGTCATTTGGCGGCAAGAAGCTCGGTCGCTCAGCTTCCAATGCCGTGGCCGATAAGCCTGCCGTGGTGGATGAAAAGGCCGAGGAGTCCGAGTCCTCTTCGAACCACGAGAAGGAGTTCGCCGACAGCTTCCACGGCGTAATCCAGAAGATCCACAACGAGTACGACAAGCAGCTGACGGAAAACCCCGACATGGTGGTTGAAACACGCATCTGCCCCAGCCTTCCCAATGACACGCCAGTGCTCAAACTACCCAAGGGCACCAAGGTGATTATCCAGGAAGAGACATCGGGCGGTTCAGCCGAGTTGTATCGGGGAACGGTGGAGTCGGTGGGCGCGGACGTGGACGTAATCGAGCAAAAGGGTCCCCAGTGGCTGGGCGAGGTTTTGTTACTGAACGCCATCCCGCCCAAGGATCCCGTCAAGGTGTCGTTCGTGCTGTACCCGTGGCAGGACACGCTGCCGGCCATCACGGTGGCGGACGGGAACAATCGCCTGAATGCGAATAGGATGCTGAGGGTGAGGAAGATCTTGGCGTACGTGGCGGAGAGGATCGACCCGCCTGCTGACCCGGAGAATCCGGACCCGGACGCGATGAAGCCGGAGGAGTACTTGGAGCTGTACTGCAATGAACAGGTGAGTTTAGTCAAAACCCCACTGCCGAAACTGGGCTGTTGTTGCTGGTGTGCTAACGTGAACAACCACCAACAGCTCCTTCCAAACACTATGAGTCTCGCAACCCTTCGCGCACACGTCTGGAAGGGCGGTAATGATATTGTCCTCCATTACAAAGCCAACGGGAAGAAGGAGATTCTGTTCCCGTCGGCGCCACCCCCTAGCGTTACCGATGGCGGCGGCCAACGCCAGAGTCAGGAATCCCCGTCGACAACCGGGACAGCAGCAGCCGGCGGACAGGGACAGATCGGCCAGGCTGTGGCAGCAGCAGCTTAGGAAGATAATGCTGTCAGACAGGAGAGTTCGTGGACGGGGGCGTCCCTGGAGGAATTTGGGTATTATTAATTTCGTGTGTGGTCATGCACTGCCAGCTGTAATGTTTGGACAGTGTGTGGCTTGTTTCTCTTGTCTTGTTTATTTTGGAGTTAGCGTGTTTGTACATAATGTTGTGTCTTTCTTATTCTTGCTTCTCGTATCTCTTGTCATTGTCTGAGATCACTCGACGGCCGTTGGTTATGGACATTGGCAAAGCGCTTGTTCAACTCTTAGCGGCTTGTTCTTATATAGTACAGTAAGGGTTTGTTGTACATAAGAGGGTGTAACTTTACTGTTTGTTACTCCCACTGGGGTATCTTGAACTCTATGTCTATGCTGTTTTTCTCGCTCTCGCTGATCCGGTCTCTATGTTCGATGTCGAAGAATTAATGACATCGAGGTAAATCCCACCTTTTTGTAGGCCTTCCATTGCAAAAATGTAGAAATGCGTGCTCTTCCCCAACCAAATAAACACGGTTTTTCTTTCCCTTCTCCTCCGCTTAAAGCGACACCTCCCCACCAGTCCTCTTCTTGTTCTTCGTCCCCTCAAACGCATTAACAACACTCTGATAACTCCCCAAGAAAATCGCTCCTCCGATACTAATCCACATCACCCTGGGTCCAATCCCGCTAAAGAACGGCCTGAGCCCACTGCCCGTCTTCGCTTCCCCATCCTTCCATATCCCCCTCACCACATTCACGATCCCCTCCCGCCTCTCGCTCAACATGATCCTCGTCTTGAGCACATCCAACGGCGTCGTCAACGCCGCCGCAAACCCGCCCGCCAAGCTGCCATACAATGCGCTCTCAGGGGCACTAACATCCTTATCATCCTTGCCCCCTTGCCGAATCCCCAAATAATCCCCGGCCAGTCCGCTGCCTCCGTTCGCGACCCCATTTCTTCAACGACTCCCATAGCGGGAACTGAAGAACAGTAAACGGCACCTCCCTCATCACCGTAATTCCCCACCCGCGGTATAGTTCCCTCCACACCCCGGTCAACCCAATCGCTCCGCGCTGATGCAAGATATGCTGCAAACTGCTCAGCGAACTCCCGCCATGCTGACCCGCCTGCGCGCGCTGCTTGATAACTTCCGTCGGGACACGAATCGCACAAGCGGCGATTTCGCCCAGCGAAGCAGCAACACCGTGCGTCACACCGGGACTCAATCCCCCAATTCCCCGTCCTTGTAGATCCGCCTTCTCTTTATCACCGGTCGTCGTGGTGACCAGTGTGGGCGGCGCGAGAAAGCTCTTGGTAGTTTCGTACGTCACAAAGAAGAAGGCGGCGCCCGGAGCAGAGCCGATCACGCAGGAGCCTACGCCGCGATAGATACCGCGGAAACCGCCAGAGGCAAAAAGCCTTGGGCAGATTGTAGGCGGGTTTTGAGCGTGTCGAGGGGGAAGAGGGACAGGTCGACGGTGGTGCCGGCGAGGGCGCCGGCTAGGAGGGCGGTTTGGAATTGGGGTGGGGAGGTTGATTGGGATGTCATTTTCGCGGTTTGGGTAGAGGTAATTCGCGGCACTTTCGGGAGGTTTGGGAGGAGGGTTTGTAGGTGTCGAGAAGGATCGGAGGGAGGTTTAGTTTCGAGGAGTGTTGATGTCGCAAAGCTTGGTAGAATCGGGCCAGTGGTGATGGTAGGCGTTCGCGCGCAATGGATGGATGGATGACAAGATGACTCGATTGGGAAAGTCAACGGAGGTTTATCGAGATTGCTGATAAGGACTTTAACAACTTGACAGTCCAGGAAATCGTGATGTAACCACCGACAAAGCCTCTCGAGAAACCAATTAGATGTACTTGGATTCTTTCAAACCCAATTGGCCTCGAAAGAAAAGAACTGTCTACGAAGGTCGTTGGTAGTTGTCTTCGGTAAAGGAATGGTCGGAGCTATTTTCCGCGGACAATTACTTTCGCGACGGCGGCATCGGACGGCAGGAACGGGGTCGCATTTCGTGACGCACTATCAATGAGGGCCGACTCGGCAGGCAAAGGCCGACCGACGGTGGGGCCGGTTGCGCCGTGGTGGGGAGGTTTTGGTGAGATGTTTTGGTAGGGAGCTCAGAGTGACGTACATGTAAGAAGAACAGAGGAACTTGGGGAGGACGTAAAGTTAACGGTAAGCTCAGAAATAAAAAGCCAAAGTCAGTTTCATACCTAAAGCTGCACAGGATAACAGAATGGAGGTAAATCAAGGGAATGTGATTTAATTCGTATCATGTCTCTTTGACATGGGTAAGTCCCTCGTTACCATTTCCCTATGCGTCGAGGATGCCTAACAATGTCTTATCGGCTATCAATAACACACACAACATATCACCACGTGCCTCCCTCGACAATGTCAAGGCATCAACATCGACATCGAATGCATCATTGTCGCACCGCAATGGGTCCTTTCTTTGACAATACTCGTACAATTACTTTGACAAGTACTCCTACACTATTAATTATTCAAAAGTTATCGGTCGTCCATGGGGTGAACTACTCGTCGGCCAGCCGCCCCCAATGCCCGAAACCAAACAAAACCATCCCCCTCCCTCTTACCAAATAGAGCAAAGAAAAGAAAACGAACCACTATAAGATCGTGACATCAGAGGTCGTAATCCCCACGATCCTAACCACATATCCTCATTGTCTCAAAAACCCACCCCCCTTACTTGCCGCCTGACTCGCCCTCCTTCTCGTGGTCGTCGGCATACTGCACCCCCATGTCCATAAAAATGGTGGTACGCCTATTGTCGGCGCAGGCCACCGCGGCCTCAACGGGCGACAGCATAATGTGGCCTTGGGCCCAATGGTCTCCGCCCGGCGTACCGGAATTCCTCTCGTTTGGGCTTTCAACCCAAGCCCGCGCTAATCCTGTTTTTTCAACCGGTTAGTTCATGCCGTTCCATATGCTCATATCACTCGATATGAGCTCGTTCGTTTCCCATCTTACCGCTGGCAGCTTCAGCCTCATAGGGGCTCATCATCGGATGGTATCCGAAGTTGGTGGTGGTCGCACTGGCGGCCGGGCTGGGCTCCGCGGGTGACACGACCCGGCCGGATCTGCTCTCACCGGTTTGCACTTGCAGTGCCGGGGGCGGGAGAGAACACTGATCGAAATAGCCGGGCTCGCTAGGGCGGCGAGTGCCAGCCCTACCCGAGGCGCCGGGGGAAAGAGATTGGGACGGCAAAGCAACTGTGCTTTGCTGTTGTTGTTGCTGCTGT